TTTTGCCTCAAATCCTAAGGACAGTTTCACTCTTTCTCTCACAGAACCTCCATCAGGAAATTCAAATGCAGACGGAGATGAGAGCTGCTTAGAATCTTTCTCTTTGGAGGACAGGGTGCTTCAGCCTGGTGAAAACTTAAAAATATGGTTGTCTTGCAAGACAAAAGATATGGGCATGTATTCATCAGTTGTGTATTTTGATGCTGGAGATGAAAAAATCGAAAGGGTGGTTTTCCTCTTAGTTGAAGACAAAATCTCCCTGTCTTTGGCTTCGAAAAGGCCTTATTCAAGAGCAAGGAAAAAAGACAAATTTGTTGTAGATACTTTTGTTGCAGGTTCACGTCCTGCAGGGAAGCCAACCCGAAGATACATAAATAGACTTCCAAAATATGAAATTCCCAGGGACATTAGAGAGTTGCTTGAGAATGACCAAGTTCCTCAAATTGTTGAAGAAGGTCTTACAAAAAGGACTTATGCATCTTATTTCAAAACATTAGTAATAATGGAAGAGATTCAATTGGAGGTAATCTTATTTTCTATACTCTTAGTAGCTTACGAGTAGTAAAAAATCTACTGATCTTTGTTTCTTTTAATTCCTTGTCACCGACTTCTACTTTCAGGAAGACATGAGGATTTATGACATGGAAAACATACCTATGAGAAAGAGGAACAATCAACTTTTGTCTATGGAGGTTCCTGGGCTTGCTGAGAGAAGACCATCGTTGGTTCATGGGGATTATATCTTTGTCAAGCTCACATCTCAACTTCGTAATAATAGCTCACATGTTTTTCAGGTTTGGTCCTTGTATGGATGCATGTCACATTTTCACTTGGCAGTCCTTACTTGGATAAAACAAATCTTTATGAAGAAATCGTTGCACCAGAATTTGGTCGTTATATTAGAAGCAGATGCATACTGTAATTGATTACACATTTTATATTTTCTTTGATGTTATATAGAGCCTGATCTGGTAGATCAGAAAAGTACATGTCTTTGTGATAGTGTTATCTTGATCATTGGCCATAGAATGTCATATCATTTATGTGATGTATGTATAATGGAGATATTTGTTATGTGTCACTTGTCTTCCCTATTTACTGCATCACTCTTGCATTTCATATCTGCATTGACAAACATCATGAGGGGCAGCTAAGATAGACTGAACACCCTTGTAGTGCTTTTTCCACTTTGAATGTAGGTTCTAAATCTTGAATAAAATTAAAGCCAAGATTATTACAGATTAGTAGAATAATAAAAAAAAGTGATTACTTTGTGTAATAGATTTTAGACGTCTTTCGTTTTTTCACTTGAGCCTGTCCTAGTCTGTTGGGATCCAATTGCAGGGTATGGAATAGAACTTGAGTCCTACAGACTATTTATTTTCATTTGTATAAACATTGAAAAAATTTAGAAAATAAAATAAAAGCATGATGAATGGAAAAAGAAACAGACCTGACTGCACGATACACATGGTCTGCAGAAAATGCAGCATATGAATTTGCAATTTCTAATCCAACGAGGACAAGTTCAGCAATTCACTCTCTGGTTTCTGTTACTGCATGAGTGAGTTGTATTGATTGCATGATTCAAATTGCGAATCAAATGATTTCTATAACCATGTGTATGATCTTTAGAGTAACCAAATGTGATGTGTTTACTTTTAGGAAAGCACTATGTCTGAATAAGGTGCATTCTGTTATTCATTAATTTTGGGTATTTTTTATTTTTCATTCATAAATTTATAATTATCAAATTTACTTGCCATTAGACTAGATGTATTTATCATTTACAGTAAAGATTCTTCTCTTTATAAAATTATCAGTGAATTTCTGTAGGGATTTATCCACCGAGTTGAAGCTGATGAGATTTATTTGAAGTTTGATCCTGGATTTCACTTTTACCACAAGGATGAAAATAGCTATGATGTTCACTTCACCTATAACAGGATCAATATCAGAAGGTTATATCAAGCAGCTGAGGCAGCAGAAAACTTGGGTTCTGAGTTCCTTTTTCCATCTTCATCGAAAAAGAGATACATCAAAACTACTGCTCTAGTACCCATATCTGGTACTTTTAACGAGGAGCAAATTTGTTCAATCAAAATGATTCTTGGTTGCAAAGGTGGACCGCCTTATTTGATTCATGGACCCCCTGGTACGGGAAAGACAAGGACAATAGTAGAAGCAATCCTGCAGCTCTATAAATATCACAAGAATGCTCGCATTCTTGTGTGTGCACCCTCAAATAGTGCAGCAGACTACATACTAGAGAAACTCCTTGCTCAACAGGACGTTGAATTGCGAGAAAATGAAATATTCAGGCTCAATGCATCTACCAGGCCATACGAGGATATCAAACCAGAAATTATCCGCTTCTGCTTCTTTACTGAAATGGTATTTAAGTGTCCCCCAGCCAACGCCCTCAGTTATTATAGAATCATAATATCCACATATATGAGTGCCTCTCTTCTTCATGCTGAAGATGTTGCTCGCGGTCACTTTTCCCATATTTTTCTGGATGAGGCTGGCCAAGCTTCCGAACCTGAAACCTTGATCCCTGTATCCCACCTCTGCACAAAGAATACCGTAGTTGTTCTGGCTGGAGACCAATTGCAATTGGGTCCAGTAATATATTCCAAGAAAGCAGATGAGTATGGGTTGGGAGTTTCATACATGGAACGATTGTCTGAACTCCCATTATATGCTAGTGGAGATACAAATTATGTAACACGACTGATTCGGAATTATCGATGTCACCCAGCGATTTTACATCTTCCATCCAAGTTGTTCTATTGTGGGGAATTGATTGCCTGTAGAGATTCCACAACTTTCACGACGATTGATTTGCTACCTAATAAGGAGTTCCCTATTCTTTTCTATGGCATTCAAGGATGCGATGAAAGAGAAGGAAATAACCCATCTTGGTTTAATCGAATCGAAGCTAGTAAGGTTATTGAAGTTGTCAGGAGACTGATAGGCGGAGGGAATATAAAGGAGGAAGACATTGGAATAATAACTCCATATAGGCAACAAGTGTTGAAAATAAAACAGACACTTGAAAGTCTAGATATGGCTGAAGTTGAGGTGGGTAGTGTCGAGCAATTCCAAGGACAAGAGAAGGAGGTTGTTATCATATCAACTGTTCGATCAACTATCAGACACAATGAGTTTGACAGAGTTTACTGTCTTGGCTTTTTGAGCAATTATAGAAGGTTTAACGTGGCTATAACTCGTGCAATATCATTGCTGGTTATAATTGGGAATCCGCATATTATCTGCAAGGTATTTCCTTTTATCCAACTAACTGTGACTATGTCAGTTATCTATCTACCTGATCATTTTTGTGCTATCAAATGAACTTTTGTGTAAGCAGAAGTGTTCTATTTTCACGATACTACTAGTTACATTACTATTACTTTTACGGTTGTATCGAAGAATGTGAATGATTACAGATAATAGAATTATTGTATTAACTAGTAACTACAATGAGAAGTAAGATAGAAAAACAAAGACGGCGACAAACAAAAAATAACTTTATTAAGATTATGTATAAGGAGAAAAAAAAAAGAAATAAAATTAGTATCTCTATAAGTTTATTCAGTTAAAATTAACGTATGCCTGAATTAATTTACTAAGGATATGTTTAGAGAAAATTTTCCATCTAAGTTCAAATTAGTTTTATTATGCATAAGTTAACTTGTAAAACTTATTACATATTAGCTTTTCCAAAATCTATTATTTAACTCAGACAAGTTAATTTTAGTTTGCAGTAAAATTAATTTTAATTTTTTCTAAAAGTGTTTATGGAGTAATTCCGTTAATTAGTAGAAGAAAAATCTAAAACAATGAAATATTTTTTCTCTATTAATTTATTTATACGTAAACAAAGAGAATGCAAAAGAATATAAAAGAAAAAATAATTGGATGAGTTCTCTTATGTGGTAGAAGCCAACTGAAAAAAACAACACTTATGTGGGATTTCCACTGCCAATATTCTCTTCATTAATTGGTCAGTATATCTTTTTAGCTGGATAATTATGGTTACAAAATATTCGAAGATAAGGATAATATGAAAACAGGTTCAAATCATGATTGTATGCTAGATCCTTGTCCCTGGTAGTTATGGTTGTTTATGAAATCATTCTTCACTTGTCATTTGGCAGGATGACAACTGGAGCCAAATGCTGTGGTATTGTGTGGACAATTCATCTTATCAAGGTTGTTCTCTTCCTGAACGGGTGGAACTCTATGACGATGAGGGCACTGGAGAGAACCCATGCTTGACTGAAGATAATGCGTTTCCCTCGAATAATGGAGAATGGGGTCAAGATTCATCAAACAATGTAGAATGGGGTCAACATTCATCCCAGTTTGAGCTTCCTAAACCTGTTACTGATGAAGCTGAATGGTCTGATGGCTGGAAGTAATTAATTCAGCACCTTGGACTTCATATTTTTATGTTCATATATTTCTTTTTTCCCTCTGAATTTACTCTTTCCGTTCGGTTAGATACTATATTCCGAGTTCTCCCGGCTTTATACATGCTTAGATTTTAGGTGATGCTCCGGGAACTTGGTTTTTGTCAATGACTTGTTCTGGCTTTTACCCGCTGTTTATCAGCAAAAGGTTTCTGTGGATTTAAACTTGTGTTTGGATCAAATTGGTTTTATTTTTTTTGTCGTAAATTTTATCGACAGTGTATGACAGGAGATAAAGAAAAGAAAGTTATGATGGTTTTTTTTTAGGTTATCTATTCGAACCCTGGAAATGATATTTGGATGAATAGTGTGCATGAGTCTATAAATACTTGTAGGAGAAAAAAGAATAAAAACAAGCATTTTAAAAAATTAATTTTAGTTTGCAGGAAAAATCAATCCGGATTAGAGACAAGATTTCTGAAAGGTGGAAACGTGTGAAAATTTAGAAGGTATGGTCGCACTGTATTGAAATAAAGAGCACTTGGGTTGTAACAACAATGACAAAATTGAACCATATATCCCTTAAACTTGGAAACAAAATGAGTAACGAGAGTACAGGAGTGCAGGAAGGACGGCAAAGAGTATTAAGAAAGTGATGTGTGGAATGAGGGTTGAAGAAGAAGAGGGATTGGAAGAGTGATGATGGTGAGAAAATGTTCCTCCTCCGCCGTTTAAAATGGGTGCCTTTCTCCCGGAAGACCCTCCGTTACCGCCGGACCCTGACCTTCCTCCTCCTGTTTATTCATGAATATTGTTAATGCTGAGAATAATAATATTGTTTCTTGTTTAAAAGTCATCAAACAACAGAGAAAGTGAAAGACTCACCAGCAGAAGTGGGTAGAGTTTGAGTGGGTGCGGTGAGAGGAGGCAGAGCAGAAGAATCTGTGAAAGAAAAAGAACAAGAATGCAGAGACGTCAACGTGGGATTTTGAAGAAAGAAAGAAAGAAAGAAAGAAAGAAAGAAAGAAAGAAGGTGGAAGAACCTGATGAGCAAAGAAAGGGGAAGGAGGTTGAGAAAGGAGAGGGACAGAGGGAAGAGAGGGAGAGGAGTCTGGTGGTGTTGAGAGGGAAGCCAAGGATGAGAGGGTCTCTCACTACGTAGCAGAGGCACACCGATTCCACACCCCATGAGAACGCCTCGCAGCACCTCTCCGACGCACTTTCCGTCAGGTTGTTCGGCGGATACGACACGTATTCCAGACATGCCGAAAACGATATCAGCTCCTCCCTGCACCCCTCCCCCGCCGCCCCACTCCCCGCCAACAGGACCACCAACGCCGCCGCCGCCGCTGCCGCCGCCGCTGCATTCATCACCACTTCATCACACAATAGCCTTTATCTTCTGTTTCAATGAAAGATCAATTTTAGCGCTTGGATCACAGCGACTGATTTATACCTCTCCTTCTCTTCCGCCAAGAAACACCAACAAAAACGATTTTTTTTATACCTTTTACCTGATTGTGTATAAAAATATATAATATATTAATATGTATAATTAATTATATTAAAAGACTTCACGTATATCATAAAGTTGTTTCATAACGTATTTCTTGAAGTTAAGATAGATTTAAGACTTCATACGATCTCGACAGATTTCGGTTTCTCAATTTTTTGCCTCACATTTGAACCTCTGTGTTTTATTGTATGACTTGTTTCAATAGGATCTGATTATGGTCTTTTTTTAAATTTTAAAATCATTAAAATTCAATACTTTGTTCAATTTAAATGAAATTTAGAGATACTATTGCATGAAAAAAAAAACTCATCAAAATTATAATAAATTATGTTATAATTTAAATAACAAAAATATATTTTTTAAACAATCAAACCAATATTAATTTATACTCTTTTTTTTTTTTTACTTTTCTTCTCATCATCTTTCATTATCTTTCTCTTAATTTAAATAATTATAATTTTTTCTTTTCTATACACTCAAATTCACTCCTCAATCCGAGTAAAAACTTCTATAATGAGTTTACAAATTTAAGAGTTTAAAACGTGAAAACTATTAAAATGTTTGGAACCACATTCAAAATGGAAAACTCATCCTTGTAACTTAAAAAGGACATTTTATTAGCTTCCACAGAATATTAAGTTGTAAAAAGGAAAAAAATATAAAAAAATAAAAATAAAAAGAGATCAACCAAACATATTATTTTCTTCCACAAAATTTTACTTGTAGAAAATGAAATCAATAAATAATAGTGAAAACTTAATAACTGTAAAAATAATAAACAATTCTTTTAATGTCTTAAAAACCTACTTCCGACTAAGATCACATATGTATTCCTTTATGCATCTCGACCATTCTCATTTAGATACTCCCCCAATGTGGGTTCCAAACAATGTTGAGAAAAATCGAACGCAACAACCACACATAAAGCTAGTAGTGTTTGAGAACAGCAAATCCTAATGCAAATAATACAACTGAAGGTAGGAAACGGTTAGATGACACGGCAGACGATGGAGTAAGATCAGAGCGTCCACTTCCCGTGGTTGCAGATGATGGAGTCAAAGGAGGAGGGTTTGTGTCAGACACTGGTGCCAAGGAAGGTGAGGGAAGTATAGAGGAAGCTGTTCAAGACACAAAGATGCTGACATTAGAATCAATCAAACTTTAGAAGCTATTGAAAAACTGCATGATACTTTTGTTGACTATGAGTTAGTACCTTCAGGACTAAGAGATGGAGAAAAAGATGGCCCAAAAGCCCCTGGTCCTGCCAATATTAATAAAAATCACTCAAAACATTGGTTAAAATGAACAGATTTAATGATTATACATATTTTAGTAAGTTTTAGGCATATGACATTACCTGGAGATGGAAGTGGTGAACCTGAGGCTGAAAAAAACAAAACAAGCCTCATTGATGAACATAATAAAATCAATTGCATGAAACAAATTAAGAGAATAAAGATTGAAAAAGAATAACTATATATACTTTTGCATTGAAGTGGAAGGCGAGGCATATTGCAAGCACGAGGAAGAGAGATGGCCAAGGTTCGGTTGATTGGTATGCTAAAGGGAACATTGCCGGTGACAATGAGACACAAACAGTCCATGCCATCACTTGTGAGGGACTTGATGGAGTTGCAGCACTCAGCAGAGGGTGAAGAGCCATTGACACTGCTATTTGTGAGGAAATTCATACACGGGTTGAACACACTGTTCATCATTGATGCGTTGCATGGCGTGGTCACCTGGGCGTAGACTGGTGCAGCTATCACCATAGCCAAGGCTAGTACCACAGTTAGTTGCACAAAACGTTCCATTTTTTGGAGTTTTGCCTTTTGTGTTCAAAATTACAATTTGGGAGTTTGATGGGAAACTGCAGGACAAGGAGATTTATAAAGATGTGTTGTAGTTGGTTTAAAAGCTCAACAACTGCAATAACCAATCAATGGAAGATGTGAAGAGTTGGAGTAGGTAGCATTGGTATTTTGTAAATTTTGAGACCTCTGTAGAGCAAGTGACATCTGAAACATCTTCCCTATAATCTGTTATTTATTTATTAGGTCAGCTGCTCAGGTGGATAACGAATCTTAGGTACATTTATAATATACAAAAAAAAACTTTTATTTGTTTTTGTTAGCAACTACCAATGTAATACTAGATTAACTCATGAGTTTGGATCCCTGCAGTCCCTACAGCAGTAATAGACAGACAGACTCAACTTTTGTGCAACATTCTTGGCAAACTAACGTTTGTCTAGACTGTTTCGGGGCCGTAGTCCAAAAGCCATACTTATTTACAGGACCCAATTAATTAACCACATCAAACACTTGTGAGAATCGATATTTTGGAATCAATCGATTTGTCTACGCGAATAAACTTTACTTGCATATAGGCTGTATAAATAATTATTCAGGTGAATGAATACTTTTAAAATATCTGCAAAATTTGGCTAGTTCAAATTCTTTGGGAGAATTTGGCATAAAATATGAAAATTCAAATAAAATTGCTTACTATGTCTACAAGAGGACGGTAATCGTAAATACATTTGATGTGAAAGTTTATTTACAAGATATAATATCTTAGAAGAAATTCTCAGAAAACTGAAGAAAAAGTACATGCAGGTAGTGTCGATAGACACGTGGTTCTTGCTTGATTGGTCGTGTTTTCAAAGTCCACAGCTTTGTAGGCGTAAAGAGATTATAGTGGATAGCCTCAGATGCTTTAGTCGGTCATCTGTTTAACCGAACTGCCTTTAGAAATTTGCACTTTATGCATATAAATCCAAGTTTGAATACCGAACAATATATAATGCCGCCACCAAATACTAAACAGGTCCCGTTGGAGAGAGTAGGAGGAGTGGTTCACCCACATCACCTTACCATTGTCATTTTCTTCATCCATTTCCCTACAAAAACCCATGCCTCGTTCTTCCAAAACCCATCCTCATCCAAAATATCCCATACCACCTTTACTTTACCACTTCCACAAAAAGGGGAATTCCAACATATTTCCATCAAACAATTCAAATGGCTCACACAAAAATGGAGACAGGTTTGGCTTTGATGGTGATTGCCATGCTGTGCTCAGGAGGTGCAGCTCAATCGAGTTGCACAAATGTGTTGGTTAGCCTGTCACCGTGTCTCAACTATATCACAGGGAATGCTTCAACCCCATCTTCAGGATGCTGCTCACAGCTTTCCAGTGTGGTACGCTCACAACCACAATGCCTATGTCAGGTTCTTAGCGGCGGTGGATCATCACTGGGGATCAACATCAACCAAACTCAAGCTCTGGCATTGCCTGGTGCTTGTAAGGTGCAGACCCCACCCACCAGTCAGTGTAACAATGGTAAGTAGGGCAATAATTTCTATTTCATTACACAGAATACCCCAAAAAAGAGAGGATATTCTCTAGTTAAACCTGAGTATGAACATGGAGACACCGCAGATACTATGTAAACTTCGGCCATGACTGGTGTATGGAAGCAATGAATAAAACAACATAAAAACTATATAATCAATAAGATAACCATAATCTATTCTGATCGATATCCTTCTGCTAAGTTAACAATTTTTGTTGATCAACAGTTGCTGCTTCACCACCAACAGGAACAGTCGCTGAATCTCCAAACTCTGTTCCATCAGGTATTGAATGTTAATTACTGCTCCACATCATGAGGAAGTATTTGGGCTGATGCTTTTTTCAGTTTGTTATCCAATTTGTCCTCTTGCCCATTTAACCATTCATGTTGACATTCATTTGCAGGAACCGGATCCAAAACCCTACCCACAACTGATGGTGGCTTTTCCGACGGGACTTCCATCAAGTTATCGTTTCCTCTGATACTTATTTTGGCAGCAACATATGCTTCCACTTTCACGACATACTGATCCCAAAATCAGTATTTGCTATTTTTTTCTTGTTTGGCAATGTCCTTGTTTTCCAATCATTTGCTATTATTGAGTTTCCTTAGATTGAAGGGTTCAATCTATTCATTCGTTGCCCCTACTGGGTTATATACTTCTGTATAATGAGAGACATTTTCTCTCTATCCTTTATCAATAAAGATGTGTTGCTATTATAATCTTATAATTCAGACGGAACACATCAATGGATTTAAACCTCAAAAAAGCAAACAAAATTCGGCATACCACTTTGCGGCACTGTGAAAGAAATCAACTTTTAATTGAACTAATCAATGAAACTGAATTTATCCCCTACAAAAGACAATACACAAACTACAAAGCAATAACTAGACCATATGAAGTCCTTCTAGGACTCCGGCTTTTCATTTAGATGAATCAGAACTTTGACTGTGTTTGCATATCCATCATGTCCAGCAAGTCCGTTTTGCATTACTGCATTGGGATGTGGAAAAACTCTGTTATTGAAATGGATTTCCAAACACAATATTTTCGAATACATGAGAATAAAATAATTGTCTTTTTCTTAGCCATACAAAAGTTAAGGAGATAAAAGGTCATTTACACATTACCCTAATAAAATCTGCCACAATAATATCGAGTCAAATTAGCAGGTCCCATCTTAGAGTCGATTCCCAAACATGGCAAGTGAACTCAGCATGCTTCAATTACAGAACCTAATGCACTGAAGGTCATGTACACGTGAACCCTCACAAGATGTGCCAACAATAAACTCGAGCCAAATTAACCCGTCCCATCATTAAGGCGATTCCTAAGCAAGGCAAGTGAATTCAGCATGCTTCAATTACGGAGCCTAATGCACAGGCAGAGTAGCATGACTTCCACATAGGCACAGAGCAGAACAAACAGATTTTGTTAAATATATATTTAAATTTATCATAATTCTTAAACCATTGGTTTGCTTATCAATGATGACAAGTATACTTTCTTCTCTAATCCGAATCCTTCTTACTTTAGAAGAGTTAAATCTGATGAATAAACACGTAGTATAACACGAACGACATAAATGGGGAAACACAACAGGTAGGTGCAGAGAGAAATTCCCAACACTGTTTTGGCTCGTTTCTAAATCCCTAAATTCCCTCCACCCTGTTTGGTTGACAAAAATTATTACATGGTCCTGGACCAACCATCTCATAATTTGTGTTTTTAGTTCCTCTGAAAATAATATAGAAGACAAGAGAAAAAGTTTAACCTCTTTTTTCTGTTTCTGCCCGTTGTATGAGCATGAGCCACAGAGGTGTCAAACCTGGCTTACATGCCGAAGAGTTTTAGTTTTAACTCCAAATCGAAGCTTCTACTAACATTATTACAAGGATACAAGCCAGATCAAACCACGGCTTCAACAAGCAAGTTAATTCAACAGGTTCAGTCTAAAAGAACCTGATGCGTTGGCAGACTAGCATGCCTTCCACATAGGCGCAGCAGAACAGATGAATAAATAGGTAGTTGTCATGAACCACGTAAATGAGGAAATACAAGTAGGTAGGTACAGACAACCACATTTCATGGAGATAACTAATTGCGTGTTTCAACTTTTCAAAGGGTGAATTTGTCGATTTGCACTTTCCAAGGTACTAAACAGAGAAGATCAGCTTTGGATTGATGCTAAACATGGGCCTAAGATGTTTTCAACTGTTTCCCAAACACACTGGAAATATTAAATGTTCCACTTGAAAGTATGACAAAAGATAACCAAACAAATAAATAATGAGCTAGAACTCTACGCAACTCCATCTCTACATCTGGCAATTCTTGATGAAAAATAGAACTAGTGGCAAAGCTATATGTTACAAAAAGTAGTGCAGAAATTAATCTTAAATGGGTAAGAACTTGGGTATAAATTTGACATATGAAGCTTCAGTTCATAGCAGGTGTGAAAATTTCCATCCATTATACAAAGCATGTTATTATAAATACTTATCTCATAATCTGATAAAAGATGAATATGACAAAACAGTGAAGTATTGCGGTCCTAAGGAACTTCAAATCAAAACTATGTACGTACATGATCTCTAAATATTGTACAAAAAATCAAGAACGTGATCTTGCGCGTACAAATTCTTCTAGTCTCTCCCACACGTCCAACGCGGCAGCCCTGTCCTGATGTCGCTTGTTCTTACTAATCTGCTAATGGCAACAAGTTTTAAAGGTGAAAAGACATGAAGATAGCAGAGCAATATATCAATATAAAAAGTGTAAGTTAGTATAATAGAAGAACCCACCGAGATAATCTTGACATTCCACTGCTTGACATTCTTTGCTGACTCCAAACTGTCATCTTCAAATCGCATGTAAAATCCAATGACTGCAAGAACAAATGAATCACAAAGGGTTACTTACTCACAATCAATGAGAAGCATGGTATTGGTTGATATGTAGAAGGAGGAGTGGAGTGGCGTGGACATACTTTTGTTGAAAATTTCAACATGGTCCTTGAAAGGCCAATCCTTAAACTGCCACTCCTTGCCCAATACGAAAACAGCAACGACCCGATCCCAATCGTCGGGTTTAAGTGAAGAAGGCTTATCCCTCACTTCATAAGCAGTTACAACCCTATCCCTGCTGAGCTTCTTCTGGACAGTAACGCAATCGGGTCTGGCGCCTTTCATCTGCTTCACCTTCACATCAGTGGGTATATAAACACCGTCCTCCAAGAACTCCTTCACATTGTATATAGTGATGAGGGTCTGAAAGGCACTGGGGACCAAGATAATGGGGACGCCTTCCCCAATTTTGGTGCCCTTCAAGTGCATTTTGGGCTTGGGGGTGGGGTCGTAGCCGCCCATATCATCGGAAAACCCTAAACCCCGGTCGTCGGCGGCCATCAAGCGACTCTTGGCGACGAGACCGTCCTTCCTCTGCTGGGACTCCATCCTCTGGCGGTCCTCCTCGCGCTTGGTGGCGGAGACGAGGACGCTGTAGAAGTCGCGATTCTTGCACTCGAGGAGGGACTGGCGGTCCTTCAAGGGCCTCTCGACGGAGCTGATGAGGGAGATGAGGTCCAATTTGTCGGGCTGATCCTGGGGCTGGGGATGGGCGTGGGCCTGGGAAGGGAGGGTGGATTTGGGGGCGAAGGAAGGGTCCTCGGGGCGGTACTCGATGGAGTCGGTGGAGGTGAGGGTGCCCTGGAGGTATTGGAGGAGGGGTTTGCGGTCGGGGAGGGTGACGGAGGGGATGCCGACGGCGAAGGTGTTCTGGATGTACTCGGTGTGCTTGAGGTGGTGGTTCTTGATGTAGTGTACTAGGGTTTCGAGAGTGTATCGGTTGCCCTTGGTTGAACGATAAGCAGTCTCCACCCAGCAGGGGAAGGTGTACTCCTCCCCGAATCGGAACTCACCGTTCACACGCACTATCTTCTCCACCTCCCCTCTCATCGTAAACTCTCGAAGAGCCGACAGCGGATCCATCTCTTTGCGCCCCTGTCACTGCTACCTAGATTCTCTGTCTCATCACACACGTTATCTTTCTTTAAAAGAAGATCAAAATAAAACTTCTATTCAAATTTTATTTTCTCTATATCTCAAATTCTTCTTTATTAATATTCTTCAATTTTAAATTTATTTTCCTATATCTCAAATACTTAAATACATATTTTTTATTATTTTCTGGTTGAACCACTTTTTTATAATTTCTTTTATTGTTTAGTTATCTTCTTGTACAGGTATCTTACTTCTTCTTCTTTTTCATCACTTATTATACAATTTTTTTTTCTTTTCAATATCTTCCGATGATTTTATTGATTTTGTATCAACATAAATATTTTGTATAAGTTATAGAGTTGGAAATTATTTATTTTTATACTTGTATTTTCTAATCTATTATATATTTTTTTTTCTGTCCAATACGACCAAAAATGTTAATGATTTTTTTTAATATAAAATATATAATTCTCATTATATATAAGTTGTGCGTGCGCATATCTGTTAAAATATAAGTTGTGCGTGTGCATATCTTTTGTATTATTTTTTTAAAATAATTATTTTTTAGTTTCTAGTTTTTAAATTTTTTATTATTTTATTTCTATATGTATTAAATATTGTTTTGTATAAATAAAAATAATTATATTTTATTTAATAAAAGATAATATTATTTAAAAATGATTAAAAAATCCATGTACTTATTCTTAATATAACGTAATCATAGTCTTGATTCAAATCTTAAAGCAAATTTTTTTTTAGAAAAATAAGAATTTCATCTTGACAATTTAAATAATAATAAAAATTATCAACAAAATTCTGGAAATAAATTTACTTAGATGTAACATCTATCATACTATTTGATCTAAAAAAATTGTAAATACTGAGAACGCTGTGGAGGAAAAGGGCAAACGAATAAAATGATCTAACTTCACGTTCAATCGATACAAGGAACACTTTTTACAAGAGCCAAGTGGTAATAGCATTGTCCAAAACCACATTTAGGAAGACTACGCTAATTGTTGTTCCCTTCTGTCAACAGTGCTTTGATTATCAACTGTGCTTTGTTCCATATCTGCAGCCTTTCCCAGCAAAATCCCAAGCTGTGTGTGAAGAAATGTGGTGTTAGTGTGGTCATCCATTCATAAATTAAAAATAGTTGTATGATAATACGGAAAAACATACCTTAGCCTTTGGAATCCCCTTACCTTCTTTGTCTTCCTTGGAACCAACAGTGGATGTCATGATATCTGCATCGCATACACAAGTCAAACTCAGAATAAAACCTTTCGATTTGGCAGGCTTTGTTAGTAGAAGACTTATCCATCTTACTTTTCTCAATTGCCCACCCGTTGCTTTTCAAAATCTCGGAGATGATCACAACAGTTGGAATAGCTGACATTCAATTTTAAAAGAAAAGTTAGAAAACAAAAAAAAATGCACTAATCATACATGACATTTTAACGTTTAGGGTGCGATTAGTCTCAATTAAAATAAACATCAGATTGATTTATTTCATGCAATTTAAATTGATCTTTATTCTAATTTCTTTGCTGCTCACTTTCGACATTCTCAACCAAGAATACTTAGTTTTATGGGAACCTAACCCCAGAAGTAATAGGCAGAATCTATCCATCAAGACGAGAGCCCAAATTAAGGGTTTAAGGAAATGAAAACGTAACAAAATAAAAATAAAAACTCTTGAATTATACCCGTTCCCAGTGCACAGAGCTCGACGTCATTGTCCTGCTTTATGTACTTCTGCATCAGAAAGAAACGCAAGATTGATGAATGAAATCATTTGAAGACAATTTCATAGAAAAGTTTTGTCCAAGAAGATACCAAACAATGGTAATCAAATTTCCAAAGCAAGGTAACGAGAAATAGAAAACAAAATAAAAAATCCAGAAAAAACTTAATTCGGATTGATAGAAAGTAGAACGGAAGAAAGAGAGTGATACCTTGGCGAGATTGAGGTAGAAGAAGAAAGGTTTCTTGGCTTTCGAAACCTGAATTCGGATTATCTTCTTGCCATTCTCATTAACGCCATTGGCGTTGGCGTTCTTGCTCTTAGTAGCACCCTCCGTCATCTCTATTGCCATCTCTCTGCTGCAAATTTTGCAGTTCGTTACTATCACTTAAGAAGCTTCTTCAACGAGAAATTGAAATGATGCTTTTCCGTTGACCGAAACTCTTTTATAGGAGCCCTTAACCAGACACGGTGGCCCTTTCCGTTCCCTAATATCTGGTTAGAGTTATTTGTTTATATTAAATTTTATTCTAGTTTAGGATATTGAGTTTTTTATTTTTTGTTATCACTCATTTATAATTTTATTTTAGGGTATTATTAAAATTATGAAATTCACAGCAACTTTTTAAAATTGTTTTAATTTAAAAAATAGATAAAATTAAAAGTAAAAACAACCCAATAATCTAAATTATTTTTGGAAAAGAAGTACTCCAATATAACAGGGAATTGAAAATTTACGCAGCTTTTGGTTTGGATTTAATCAGACTATGCTGGGAACTGGAACTGCCGAACCTAAAAAATCCTTTCCAATATTTAATACAAATAAATCGACGGCAGGTACGCTGCCACGTGGCGAATTTCTCTCACCAAGGAAAAGAAAGCCTATCCTGTTTGCGTTTTGATTGTTGAAGATGGAAGAGGGCGAACTCGTTGGGTGTGTCCTGTGCAACAGGGTTTCCTTCATCTTCTAATTCGATTTTTCAGATACTACGACAGAAAGAAAAGCGAGGGGAGAGATAGAGATAGATAAAGAGGAGAGTGCGAGAGAGGGATCTTTCATTTTCTCGGGAAAATGGAGGATTCTTTCTTTGACGTGATGGAGTTTCTGAAGAAACCCTCGATAACGGAGACATTCGTCGACATTTTGCTATGCGCGGTTCCGATTTGGTTGGCCGTCATGATCGGCCTGGTGATCGGCTGGTCCTGGCGACCGCGCTGGACCGGGCTCGTCTTCCTCGGCCTCCGCAGCAAGTTCCGATTCCTCTGGACGGCACCGCCGGGGTTCGGCGCTCGCCGATTCTGGTTCGCCTTCACCGCTGTCTCTGCCTTCTCCATTTGCCGCACCTATTGGTCCAATTTCAAAGGCAAGGCCAAGGCCAGTGCCCAAGATCCCTCGCCTTCGCAATCCGATGTTGCCGACTCCAACGCCATCGACCGTACTACTCGGTAGCTCCTCAATTTTTCACCTCCTTTACTGTCAATTGTTTTTTCCCGCTTTTTCCAGCTGCATTTATCTGGTGTTGACATTGATGGTTAATTTGAAAGGCTTGTCGCATTCAACATGTTGATCTCTGATTACATTCGTTTAGCGTAGGCTAGTTTTGTAGTTCAGGATAAGTGATCCTTGAAAGAGAAACGGAAGCGTACGTTCTTGTGGATTGGACAAATCTAAATTTTGAATTATATTATATACTAGGCGTGTAGTATTTATTTGGTAAAATTTGATTTTGCATTTAGTTTTTCAGCTTTTTAGAAACTAGTTTTCAACATTTATGAATTGTTCTAGACATTCCAATATGTTTTGGTTCAGGATATGGTTACCTTAATTATTACCTAGGGCATTTCAGTTTCTATTTAGAAATCACACAGCTGACCTGTATTTGTTTTCTTCTGTGTGTCTAATCTTGTTGGTGTTTCTATGAATTTCATTAGCTTCTTCTTTGTAGCATTCATAATCTTGTTGCATTGGTGTTTAATTATTACCTTTTTAGTTTCTTACTTCTCGCTATCAGATTTTATGATTTATTGTGCTGTGTTGCTAGAGGAAGAATTAATCAGTTTATTCACTTGGCAACTTGGTTAATGAACATGCATTAGGTCCGATGAAGGGGGTGAGCAGAGGGAGCAGGACATTGTTACACAGGCTGATTTGGAGCATTTTCTTCAACTTCTTGAAGGGAAAGATGGAGTGACGGACCGACAATGTTTTATGGAAAGGTCAACACCAAACATGCAATACAAAGCTTGGCGTCATGATCCTGAGGTAGATTCCGAGGTTCAATTTTCATCTCAGCTCAACTGTCTATACATTATAATCTGACAAAAATATTATACCTTGCATTAATTATGAATTTATATATTTTTCTATCAGAGAGACATTTTTACCTTGTAGTTAAAGCAGATTTATGTCATCGACTTTTTCCCATTCCATATTTTTCCCACCCAAATGAAAAATGCATCCTCACCATCTATATTTGATGATTATTTCATTTTGTATTTCCACTTCCACCTCAAAATTATATCACCGTCTGATGTTGTATCTGGATCTGTTAACAGACAGGTCCTACAGTTTACCGTAGTAGAACCGTCTTTGAAGATGCAACTCCGGAGTTGGTGAGGGATTTCTTCTGGGATGATGACTTCCGTCCTAAATGGGATCCTATGCTTGCATACTGCAAAGTATTGGAGGAATGTCCTCATAATGGGACAATGATTTCTCACTGGATTAAAAAGGTACCTGCCCCAAAGATCTTAAAGGCTGTTGTATTTTAACTATAGAATGGTGTGGTTCACTGATTCTTCATGTACTCCTTTGTCTGTAGTTCCCCTTCTTCTGTAGTGATAGAGAATATATTATTGCTCGAAGAATATGGCAGGCTGGAAACACATACTATTGTGTCACTAAGGTATAGCTCTAACATAATTCATCATAATTCTATGGCATTTCCTCTTGTTTATGCTCCTTTCCCAGTGACTGCTTCTATCACTTTGAAAAGAAAGTCCCATTGATGTGATGACGTTCACAGTGAATGTTTAAATTTCTCGCTAGAAACAATTGAATAGTGAATGAGGAAAGGAATAACTGGATATTGGTCCCACCCATTCCCAAGAAGAACATTATATTTTTTTAACCATTTTTCACACATTGAGTTGATAATAGGAGTTGAACTAGTTATTGATGTAGTTATTCACCCTGGATAACAACGAAGTGGCCAATCCCAAATTTGTTATAGGTCAGCATGTAGTACGAGGGTTGCCCTATAATGAAGTTTTCACATACAACAACAATAGCATTATCTTACTATATGTGAGATATGCTACGTGAAACACAAAACATCATTAGGCTACCATGGGATCTTTTATATTGATGCCTTCCAATGTTCTTTTGAGTCTCCATCAATAGGATTAAAATTCATTCCATCTACTCTGCTCCCTTGTGTCCTCAGTAGCTTCTTATATCATATCCCCTAGAATCTTAACACGGTAATGTTTGCTACCCTTTTCTCTTGTTATTCTTTTAAAGGCCAAGTGTATGTTGGGTGGTTTATGGACTGGGTTTAACTGATTTTGAAAATATCTGGTTGAAATTATTTGGATTTGGTATTCGATCATCCAATTGATTTGATACTTTGCTTGCAGAGAGTTCAATTTAATTTATTCCGAGTCAGACTTCTGCATTGGTTTTTGTTCTTTTGAAAGAGTTTAGAAATATCAAATTAAATGATGCAATATTGAAAGCACAAATTAATCATACATCAAATATCACATTTCATATAGTTCACAACATAGTTCAAATTGTAAGTTAAACATAATCTCGTAAAAATAAAATATACAATAGGTGACAAATTCCTAGTTAGTACAAGTTTCTTAGATTTGTTTTCAAAATAGATTCTCACAATATAATCCAATGAAAGAAGACACCTTTTTCCCTGGTTTATTCTATTTTCAAATTGGCTACCACAACTTTTGTTGGATTGGATTGGTTGACGAGCACTCATAGTGGAGTATAGATGATCGAATAACAGTATGATAGAACTTTCCTTTTGTGTTTTTTAAGTACTTTGTGATCATAAATTACTCTAAAAAGCCTTTCTCCAATTTGTCGATCCAACATGTAACCTTTGAATGACATCGTTAATTTCCCCTTCATTTTGTACTATTAATTCAAGATACTTTCATTTAGAAGCTCATGGTATGACGTCTCTCATTTTTAAGTCCAAGTTATTTACCTACGCTTCTTGCTAAAATTGCAAAACACATACCTTGTCTATTCCTAGTCAAGAAAAAACCTTTTGATTCTAATGTCTATCTCCGTGACCCATGTTTAACCTCCTTTCCTTGCTTTTTCAATCAAAGTATATCATTTGCAAAGAAAAGAAAATGCATTTGTTGTGTCCCTAATAAGCATATTTATCGCTAGTTAAACAAGTAAAGGCTTGAGACTATGTCTTGATGTAACCTATTATTATAGGGACGACTTCTTTAGTGTAGCCTCCATGACTTCTCACACTTGTAGTTGCTGAATCATACATGTTTTGTAAGGCTGTATGATCTGGATATAGGCCATGCAAATCCCTGTTTTAATTTTCTAAAGCCTTTCATAAAAGTCAACACTTCTCTTTACACTCAATCATACTTATCTTTAATTTGCTACCTTTCCTAGTGTAAATTGAATTAGCACTCGATCAATTTGAATTTATACAAGTTTGCTTCCCAAAACTTAAAGTATTCATGATTTATTGTTTTCCATGTTTAGTAAATGTGCTGTTAATTGATTACAACAAGATGCACAATATATTCAGGGTAACCACAATGATTATTCATATTCAATCTTCGATGTTGTAGGGAGTATCCCATCCAAGTTTGCCAATACGGGATAAGCCCAGACGTGTGGAGCTCTACTTTTCTAGTTGGGTAATAAAACCTGGTAAGTGTCAAAACAATTATTATTTGCTCGTTAACCTTAAAACAATTCACTGTTAGTGGTTCAACTGCTGATTTCGGAAAATTTATGCAGTGGAATCTCGTAAAGGAGATGGTCAGCTGTCTGCATGCGAGGTTACCCTGTTACATTATGAAGACATGGGGATTCCCAAAGATGTTGCCAAGTTGGGAGTCCGCCATGGAATGTGGGGAGCTGTCAAGAAATTGCACTCTGGAATGAGAGCTTACCAGAATGCAAGGAAAACAGAGTCTTCTTTATCAAGATGTGCATTGATGGCTTGTAAAACAACCAAGATTTCTTCTGACAGAAACATGCAATTATCAGAGCCTTCGGTTTCCATGGAAGATAGGACGCAAGTCATGTGTAATATCGCACAAAAGGGTCATGGCATTGACTGGAAGTGGATGGCTGTCGGTGGTACTGTTGCTCTGATTTTGGGTCTTCATGGTGGTGCTGTAGGGAGAGCATTGTTATTGGGAGCAGGGCACAGAATTGCAAGAAGGTGAGAGTAGTTGTCAAGGATCTGGTCAATGGGAAGACGGTCTACTTATCACCTTTCAGAATATTCATCATAAATATATATTTAGACTATCATTTACCAGTGTCAGAATGATAATTTTTACTCTATTGTTGTTAAACATCATTATTATTTCTTTTATTGGTTTGGTTGGCTCACCCTTACTTTTCAGAATGCAAAGCTGCAATTACATGCCATCCTTTTTTTTTTTTAGAGAACGGAATCCTTTTATCGCGATCTTAACAAATCTTGAAGCACAAATTGGATATTTTTTCCAGTATCAATTGCACTATGGTAATAATTGACTAAGCATAAATTACACAGTAATAAACTGGTATCCTATCCTATCATATCAATTGTCAAAATTTAAACTGGAGTCGTTGAGTTCATTAATTCTGTAACTTCACTTATTCTGAATAGTGGATAGATTTGTCATATGACAAGGATGTCTCAAACAACCGGTATCCAATTTTTCTCCGGAGGACCTGGCAAATATGATTGCCAATTTTTCTTTTGCAAAACATCCTAATAATTATTTTATATAAATATTATTTTTAAATTAATTAAAATAAGTTTAATTTAATTGTTATATTTTTTAAATATATCATTATATATATAAGAAATTTTTTTATAACTATTTTTAATTTAAGAATATTTTATTCATTAATAAATATAAGTATTTATTTATTAAAAAAATGATTATAAATAACTAATCATTTTATTAGTAACTATCTATTTTACTTATAATAATTATTATAGGACAGATTAACTTTTGTCTCTCTCATCCCTAATTTCTTTAATTATTTTTGCCTCTATCAATAATATTGAAGTTAGAAATTGAGTCTTTAATTCTATTTTTATATGATTTTGTTTTTCTTTATTTTATTTCATCTATATTCTTTTAAAAAAAATTAAATATACATAATTTATTATTTTTTATGTATTATTTTTTATACATAAATAATATTAATTTATAAATTTTAAATTATTTTTATGAATTATGTATATTTTTATATTAAAATTATATATAAAAAATAATTTTTTTATTCATATAAATTATGGATATAAAATATTTATAATATTATTATTATATTATAAAATTATTACATAATTAATTATGGGATAGGTTTATTATTTTAAAATATTAATAAATCTAAAATATATAATTTATAATAAATTAATGTAAAATGATAAGAATTTAAACTATTAATTCTTTGAAACTATTAATCATTTAGGAGTATAATAACTTATGTTATGATTTTCTTTAAAATTAGTTCATGTATACTTAATTTTTTAATATATAAAAATTCTTATAAGTACAAACTTATGTTGTTTTTTTCCTATTTTTAATATATAATTATTATAAAAATTATTCAGTTTCCAATTTATATTTAAATAATAGAACTATTTTCTTTTGATAATTAAAAAATAACACAATCAAACTTTTATATATATATATATATATATATATATATATATATATATATATATATATTCTCAACTGGTGTAAATTATTATTACATGTAACAATGACAATAAAACATTGCAAATTGCAATAATCCAACATACGTGGGTGGTCAGTGGCTGGGAGTGTGTCCACGTGGCAGATCCTTAACCTCACATAGCAGTAAAAAGGAAGACAGCTTCATGTAACTGTTGTACCAGCAAGTCTGGTTCTGCAACTGCACCCCAACTCCATTCTTTCTCTCTCTCTCTTCCCTTTTTCTCAATACTTTTCCTTGCCTTGCTTGGTGGATCAAACAAAACTGGTGTGCTTCTCTCCTTCACTCCTCATCTAAACTTGGAAGTTAACTCTTTTACTCTACTATGAGGTGAGTTTGTACTTTGAAGTGTAGCTTCATAACACATGTTTCCTAATTCCACCCCCTAATGTCTAGCCTAGAATCTGTTTATTGCTTTGTGTTAGGATATGTAAACGATAATATCTTAGAGTTTGTCATTTCCTTGCTATTATACTTTTTGCATATATGTAGCCAAAGTATTGACTTGAGTCCTTGCTACTTCTACTTCAATTAAATTCAATTTCTAGTTCAGCATATGGTGATGATGGTGGTGCCCTTGTTCTTCGTTCACACTTGAACCCCACGTGGTGCTCATAGGCTTTGTCATGAGGAAGTGTCGCCCAGATAGAAATACAATTCATGTGCCTGTACCTGGCAACTTGAGCTTTCGGTATGTCTGATTCTTTGCATTATCTGTGGCAATAAATTATTTTTAACCTCATTGCAATCTTCCTCTTATTCTGCATATTTGATAATGCTTAATGCTGTCGCGTTTCTCCCCTAGTCTAATCACAGATATTATTAGATTCACTTATATTTTTAAAGTGATTACATTTTTTATCTGGGAAACGCTTGGATTAAGAATATCGCGGAAAGATGTTAGAATTATGGTCGATGTATCGCTTCAATTTGCATGGGAAAAAGGTGAAACAAGTGTATCTGTTCAATATGCCTTCTAATGTGATGCATAGTAGAAAACTGATTAATGATTAACCAACCCATAAACTAGTCAAGTAACTTGGTGCTAGGTTAGTGTTATGTAATCAGTTGTCTCAACATTTTTACCCTGCATTGAGAATTACAGTTGAAGTGCCATGCTGAAGGTTATTTTTAATTGTAATAATATTTCAGGATCTTTATGTGACGAGTTAATATCCTTCTGAAGATGAGTGCCGAAAACAAGAAAATAAAACCAAAGACTGATATTGAACACTTTCTCAATAATGCTAACCAGTGCGTTTGGAAAAAATTGAATAATGACTCAGGTGCAGGTGCAAATGCAGCCTCCAGGGTGGACATGACATTTGCTACCACTGATCCCCTATCTGAAATAGTTTGGACACCAGATAAAGGTTTGAGTCTTAAATGTGCCGATTCAAGCTTTGCTGATAAAAATACTAATCTTTTTCGGGATGTTGGAACAAGCTGTTTGGTTCTTGCTCCGCCACAAAATTTTCCTGGCGGTAGTTCTACCACTGCTAAGCCATTAGATGATGATTTTGTGAAACCTTTAGCAGTTTCATGTGCCAAGGGTGATATTCCTGAAGCAGATGCTCCTACTAGGCATGCCACAGGTGATTCAGGTGTCAAGGCCGAGTTTAAAGCCTGTAAAGAAAATGATATAGGTAAGTATAGATGCAAGGAGAAGAGGCTTTACAGTAGATTTTTGGGTTCAAATAAACCTTACTGAGGGACAAAGAATTACATCTGTTATCCTAATTAGTTGAATACTTAACTGGGACTTGTGAGTTTGAATTAGTGTCTTTCTGGTCACTTTTTCCTGGAATCATTTTCTCAATCCTACCGAACTCTTATCTGGCAGGATCTGTTGGTCATAATGAGAAAGTGAACACCACAGCAACAACATCTAATTTGCCTAATGATGAAAAAGGGAATCTAATGAACAGTTGTGAAAAGATGTCTGGTGATCAAGCCAACATTGGAACTGATAAAATATCTGGGATAGAGGGAAACAAATTTTCAGCTATTTCAGGTATGTGCTGTCATCAAGGTAGTTAAAGGTGAAACGTGCCCTTAAGGAAGATTTAACCTTCCTGCCCCAGTCCCTGGGTGCATCTTTTTGGTACCTTTTAGGTACTGTGAGGATAAGAATCCTGAGATTTCAGAATATTTATCACTCATGTTTGTAGAACATTCTAATTTGTCTAATATTTGTTGATGTTTTATAGCTGAATAATACAAAAGAGTATCGGGTAGCTTTGCAGACTGTTTTTATAAATACAGAGACACTGAAATTTAAAACATATCCTTTCTGTTGAAAGGAGGAGATTTATTGAAAATTTTGTTTTGTATTAAAGAAAACCTCAAACTTTTCCATTATGATAATACCTGAAATGTATTAATTGTCAATTTTCCTGCAGGCCAGGGTGACAAAGGGCCATTGGATAATTTATTACTTCAATCAGATATCAAACCTAACATGGTCCAAAATCCTTCTGCAGGGAGGCATGCTGATGGAGGTGTAGATATTGGTCTTGGAAAAAAGGCTGTAGTAACTGATGATGATTTACATACTGCGGTTGAGCCTATAGTGGAATATAAAAGCTCTGATGCTCCAGGGACTAATTTAGCATCCTCGGGCGAGAGGCCTTTAGAAAAACTGGAATATAGTGCAGAGAATAATTTACGGACTGTCAACTTTGAAGCTGCTTGTGCTGGAATAAGTGGAGTTAATGTTAATGAGATTGAAAACAAATTTCATGACAATGAAATGATGCAAACATGTGACAAGATTCTTCCAGTTTTACATTCGCCGTGCCATAGCAGAATTCATAAGGCAATAAACAAAGGCAAGGAAAAATCTTTATCTGACGGCCATGCAAATGTAAAGTTCTCAACGGAGGACAATGACAGCCATTCAAGTGTTGAGAGCTGCAACAGTGCTGGCATTTTTCCAACAGGTAAGAAGAAGAGACATAACTTTCAACAACAGTTGATAATTGGGAGTAAAAGAGTCAAAAATCAAATTGAAGAAACTTCGGGTTCCAAATCCTATGTTAAACAGGATAGCTCGTTCATGAACTGGATTTCAAACATGGTGAAAGGACTCTCGCAGTCAATTCAAAAAGATTCAAACACTTTGGCTCTTACTCTTGCAAATCCAAATCATCATAACCTACATCCTGACAAGAAACTTATCACATGCAATACGAATCAAGATCCTGAGCCAAAAAATACAGGATTCAAATCCATTTTTCAGTCCATATATTGTTCAAACTTGAAGAATGTAGAAACAAGGATCTCTCATCAAGAAGGAAAGAGTAGTGACGATTTAGAGCCAGGTAACATGGAACATGGAATAAATGCTACTCCAATAACCTGTTGTGCAGAGAACAATAGACTTTCCAAACTGTGTTTGCAATCGAATAAGTTTGAAGTATCTACTGGAAGACATGATGCTGGCCCGTCTTCACAACCTCCAATTAAACCTCTAAATTTTTTTAATTGTCAGGAAAGCAGCAAAAGTAACCCAGTGGAGACTAAAAATAATTCCATCTATAGCCATAGTAAGGACAAGGAAGAAGTTTCATCACATTCATCTTCAACCAAACAAAATACAGATAATAATGATAACATCGATTCCAATGTGCTGTCTGACAGAAAGGGAGAAGCGAATATATGTCACACAAGAGATAATCTGGGAAGTCTCTGGATAACTCGTTTTTCTCCAAAACTCACTGCTCCCTTGAGCGAACAACCCGCCAGTGATACAGAGGCCTCAACTGATCTTAAGGAAGATAAGGGAAATACTGATCTTAAATCAAAGTATAAGTTCAAACCCCTTTCATCTTCTCCAGGACTCAGAAATTTAGAGCCCATGGGTTCAATGTTTGCAAGGAGATTTGGTGCCATCAAACATATCATACCAACATGCACAGCAGATAATACCACACAGGTTAATATGTTGTGCTTGTTTTGTGGAACAAGAGGCCATCAACTCTCTAATTGCTCGGTGATTGCAGAAAACAAGCTAGAAGATCTCCAGAAGAATGTAGATTCATATGGAGGATTAGAAGAACATCCTTGTCTGTGCATCATATGTTTTCAGCCCAACCACTGGGCAGTTTCATGTCCTACTTCAATCTCAGTTACGAAACATGAACTTAAAGCTAATACCTTGGTCAATGATTGTGGAAAACATGTCATCCCATGCAGTGAAGAGAGTGCCAGGCTTAATGAGAATGACCAAGTTTTATCTGGTGGTTCTGTAAATGACGATCACCGAGCAGGTCAAGATATTAATTTGAAGCGGAAATCAAATGAAATTGTAGCCTTTAAGGCAGGGAGCAATGCATCATTCAAGAAATACTGTGGTTCAAGTTCAGAGGAATACAACTGCAGAGAAAATCCTATAACAACTCCATCCAAATTAGCTGAAAAGCAGACTTCACACTTGCCAAAGAAAATATTTGATGCAGTGGAAAAGCTCCGATTGTCCCGCACTGACATCCTGAAGTGAGTAATACCAGCCAAAACTTACACTTTGCCATTTCATGTGAATGAAGCTCGTTATCTTGTTTTTTGGCCCCATGGCCCCAGCGAAATGCATATACTATAAACTGCATATGGCAATTTCCAAATTACATGAATGATGCAAAATAATTATTCTTAATCCCAATTTTCATGGTTAAATCATTATGACATTGGTGTAAGGGAAGTTGTCAATTTAATAGAGAACATTTAATAGTTTGCACATCCATTTTATGGCTAAACATTTAATAGAGAACCTTCTTTTTCAGTCGTTGGCAATTTTGTTTTCTGCATTTCACTGTTTCTTGTGAAAAGTTCCATTATGCCACTGTGCCTTGTACAATTTGATCAAACAAACATTAAAGTGTATTGAAGTAGGGTGCAGCTCCATGAGTTGAAAGTGTCATATCATTTGATCATCCTTAACTCCTTCCTAATCTATAATGTACACATACATAACGTTAGGTGAATTGAGTTATTACATTTTTGTGTGAAAGAATGGAATGGACCTATACTGCTAGTCCTTCTAGAAGGTAAAGCTATGACTGAAAATAAAATGGAGAAATAAAACAAAAGGAGTGTATAAAACATCATAGGTAGAGAGAGATGTATATTTGTGGATAGCTATCATAGAGTATACTTTTGTCACTTATGAAACAAGTGGATCTTTGTGATTACTTAACAGAATGTCCTTTACATCAGATGGATAAATACTCATGGGTCAATCTCACAACTTGATGGTTTTTTCTTGCGCCTGAGGCTTGGGAAGTGGAAAGAAGGAATAGGGGGAACTGGATACCTTGTGGCATGCATAAATGGTACACCTTGTTCTTTGCTTGTAAAGCAATCATGACTTATGTTGCATGATTTAGTTTGATGAGACATGATCACTGCTGCTTTTTTTTTTTTCTTATTCTAAATACAAGATTGCTGTTTTTATATGTTTTATCATTTTGTCTTCTTCCTTGTTCTTGTTCATTTCCAGGGACCCAATCCCAGAGACAATCTTCAGAGCTGAATACAAGAAAATCTCTCTCGGTGAAAGTGGGGAGCATCAAGTGTACGGTAGAAAGTCAGTATATATCCAACCATGATTTTCTTGAGGTAATAATCAATGATTATTTATTAGCTTTTCTGCTTGTTTTCATTGTGGATGTATTGGCATTGAAGCTATTGGTGCCCTTATCACTTTTACTCTATAAACTTCTGTGAGATTCAAGCTATGATAGATTATACGAGATATGGATGAGATCCTTGGGGGAAACAAACCCCTTTAAGCAGTAAGGATTGAAGGATAGAATGTACTAACACCATTGTAAGATAGAAATGGTGGAAGGACACATCAAAGGATAGAAAACACTAACATGGTTCAAATTTTTACCCATATCATGGGAACCTCTTTGTAAATATTCATTCTCTCAAATAAGATTACAAGTTTTTCTAAACAAACTTTGAGAAAACACATGATGCATGTGTACATTTAAGAGATGTATTGGCGAAACACATGTGAATATTAGAAACTATAAAATCACAAGTGGAGAGTCATTAAACCAGAGGTAAGACCTAATAAAGCTCCCTTGGAAATAGTATGTTAGAATGCATTGCTAGCATTTTCTGTGTATATATAGAGAGTGCCTATATAGAGAGAGAGACAGAAAGAAGGAATCCATTTACTTTAAGAATAAGAGTCAGAGAGTTAGTCTTTATCCTTACAACTCATTTTCTTATAATCTAATTATCAAAATAAATTATTATTTTCGATCATTAGAGTAAAAAAAAAATTGAAAGAAGAGGATGAAAAGTAAATCTTTATAACTTATTCTTGAACTTGACACACGGGAATCAAGTTATATTTCATAATCACGCATGCTAATTATGAAGTTAGTAAGTTAGTATTGCAATGGTTTTCAGCTGAAGAGGATGATCTAAACATTCAATAATTCTAAGAGGGATACTTAGAGATCTAGCCCGAGAATCAGTACCTGTTTTGTTTAAAGTTCTCTAACACGAATCGCCCAAAAGCTTGTAGTTTCTTTCCCTACTCAAATGACGGAAATGGAAGAGAAACAGCAAATTTATGATGAATCAAATTCTGATTATTATCTTTCTGATGTTTCCGCTACAGGTTTATTATAGATATATAGTTGATTTAGTTCAGTGATTTACAAAAGCATCATCATGAAAATGGTTATCTCATTATTATGTTTGAGCAGGAAGAAATCATGGAATGGTGGTCCAACACCTCAGAAGCTGGTGCTGAGATTCCATCTGAAGAAGATCTAATAGAAAAATTTAAACAGAAAAATATATTAGGTCTCTAGGCATTTATTAAATTAAATGTTCATATATTTGTTAACATAGGCGAGTTTATTATCTCACACTATTTGTTGTCCAATTTATTGTATTTGGAAGAAAGCTTAAAAGTGATCATGATTTTGTGATAGCCATACCAACATTCATATACAAAGAATTGTTTCATCTTATTATGCAATGGAAGTTATCATTATCCTGGAGGATGTTGTGTTAGAAAACAAAACTCCTTTGACTGTTCTTTAAACTAATGGTATAAGTAATTGTTGGGTTTTATGTAGTTATGACCAATATAGTGTTAGTCTTATTTTGATTAGTTATTCACTTTTCTTTTTTAACTTTTTACTACCTTTTGTTAAAACTTCAAAATATTATATTTGTTTGGATTTTTTTACAATTTTTTATTTTTAAAATATACAAATATTTTATTCAACTGACTCAATTACCTAATTTAAACTAACCAAGTAAGATCATATTGTTTCAATCTGGGTTTCATACTAAAAAATATTGACCTTTTTTCTGTCTTTTTCTCTGTACAAATCTCTCATAATTTATAATAAAATAACACGGTATACCTATTAGTCTGAGAAACGTTATCTTCTAATTCACTTAGGCTTGTGTATATATTGTACTGGCTCTTGAACACCACGCATCAGAATGAACACGAACTCTTCATGAAACATATCCTCAGAAACTACCATGAAACAAAGCAAATGACTGTCTCATAGTTGATGCCAAGCAAGTTTAGCGGTAAAACAGTTTGATGCCAAACCAGTTTTGCAATATATTTTTTCTTAGATAATGGTATTTCTATGAAGTTATAATATTATACTTTTCACATCAATACAAGCTATTAAATAAATCCTAGTCTCATCTTAATTTTTCGTATTGGTATGTCCATATCTTACATTATTTGTGTGTAATAAGATACTACAGACGAATATAAGGTATCATCATTTAAGATACTATACAAACACGTATTTAAACAAATACATCATTTTTCACTTTCTCAAATCTCAAGACAACCTACAAGCAGAAGCTGGGACTTACATTGGATCTCACCTTAATAGGCAAAAGTCAAAAGTGAACAACATATAATCGCTACCATGAAGGCTGCGTTAAAATATTCAATACATACTGGTGCTTGGACCTCCCTTAAGGTCCTACGTGAAGTCATTAAACAAATAAAAAATAAACTACGTCATGAACAGCATTTTCTCTGAAATACCAAAACAAATATAATGTAGTACTGTGAAGAATACTACCAAGACCCTAAGATAAGTCATAGACTAGAAGGGATTATACTCCTATTCTCTTGACATGCATCATCAGATCCGGAATTTTCACAACGAAGTTGATATAAAAGAATAATACATGGCCACAAATGATAAGCCTAAGCTGATTGAATCTAATTGGCAGATTCTTTCCTGGCTTGCTTCTGGTAATCTTCCATCTCATTGAGCCAGAGATCAGCAAATTCACAGTTTTTCCAAGCTTCAAACCATGGTCCTCCACGAGTATAATGGATGGCCTTGGGCAAAGTAGTGGGATCATTTTCAACAACCTTGTTATGCCCCTCAAGAAAATTCCAAACAAAAGGGACGGATCCAATTTCATCGTCCTCAAGCCATTGAAACCTGTGAAGAAAAGCACCTGTCTGTGTGTTGACAGTGTCAGGAGTGAGGACACTGTTCTTTGGATGGGCACAGTTATAGAGAACCATTGAAGACCAATTCTTTCTTGGGTACAGAGTTTGCACGGCCCCATCCATCTTAGTGGTCTCCTTTGGAGCGTAGTCATGCTGAACACACATGATGGCATACTTGTCCTCAATCAAGTCTTTCAATTCCTTGATATCAGCCAAGTAGAGAAAATCACAATCCACAAACATGGCCCAGCCTTCGTAATTGGCAAGGCAAGGTGTCAAGAATCTAGAAAAGGAGAACTCAGTGCTCTCAAACTGACCCCTCTCACGCCAATACAAGCCATTTTTTCTCAGATCTGACTGCTTAATCGGTATGACCTCAACTGGAATTGAAGACCTTTTCAAGATGGAGTGGCGACATACCTCGAAGGCAAGATCTTCACGCGGGTCATACCCCACGAAGATCTTGAAGACCTTCTTCTCATTGTTCACAATCTCAGCACCTCCCCCATCACTACTCGCTAATGGTGCCTCATTTTTTCCATTACTCAAACTCATTTCTCAATGTGCCTGCCAAGCAACAAATCAAACATAAACATGATAAACAAAATATCACAAACACACAGCATACCCATTTGGCTCCTGACAAAAACAAAGAAAAACATAAACAAAAAATCCAATTTTTTTCTATTTCCAAGATCACCCAATTGCAGCAATGCAGAGTAAAGAAATATATGTGATGCATTCCCTTAGTGAAGAAATCCCAGATGAAAAGAAGAAAGATAATGAGTACCTGGTTGATATAGAAGCAGTGTAGGTTGGACTTGAACGGACGAGAGAAAGAAAAGATTTTGGTCTCTCTCTATATATATAGCGTAGGTAGTTTGGAAATTCATGGATGACAGTTCACGCGTTGGATTGCATTGGATTCAGCTAGCCCAACCCATAGTTTTACTCCTACCGACACCCAATTTTTTCCTCAATTATCACCTATATCTCATTTGATTCAATGGATTTCTCAGACTTAATTGAAATCTTACCATATCTGAGAATAAAAAAGAAGTTTGTTTTTGGCACAACCCCAATTTTGATTTCTTATGGACGATCATTATGCATAATATTCCAAGAATGTATTCACAAATGACCATTTTTCAAAAGTTCATCTTCTGATTTGGCATTAACTTAGAAACAAAAGTCATATAATCACAGATATCATTCAAATCATATCCAATAATACTCCTTTCTCAGATCCTCAATTACATTTAAGGGTAATTTTTCAAATCCTCTACATTTCTAAGGAAGATCTTTATGTTTTTAAAAAAATCACTTGCATCTTGTACAGGGTTCTCATTCTCATAATTTTAAGCTTAAAAAATCCATAAATTATATTTTTTTTCCTCACACTAACATCGTAAAATATCTTTATATATTTTAAACATTACTCCTAATTTGTCTTGATTCTTTATTTTTAATAATATATTCTATACTTTTTTTTTAAAATATAATTTCACTCAAATTTTCATCCAACTTGTGAATATATTTTTTACTTACCATTATTTAGAAAAAGACCATGACAGGATTATTGTTCTAATCTTGTGAAGGATAAATTTAATGGATATTAGTACATGTTCCACCCAAAAATACTTAATAACTAGTCTCTCTTATGGTTATATATTATTTATTTCTATTATATTATTTTTGTTATGTAAATGCATCATGAAATACCTTTTTTCTCTTTTTGGTATTAGACTAATAATAACATGCAATAGTTTTTTACCTTCAAAAACTTTTTATTATTATAACACGACTAAGTTTCTATCCATATGATTATTCAACACCAAAACTACATATTAAAATTATCTAATATGGATTATGGTAAGATTTTAGTCTAATATAACTTCAAGTTTGATAAACTTAACCATCAAGTAAAATGTATTAATCACATTAACCATTTGATAATCTCATTCAACGAAATCTTAATAATTTATTTTATTGATTTTTTTTCTCTATACTATTTTGTTGTGAAGATATAAAAATAAAAATTTATTTATAATTTTATATTAATAATAATAATAAATTTTCTCATTTTAAAACTCACCTTGAATATGTTTCTTTGTCATAAAAATAAAGAATAAAAAATATTAATAAAAAAACATTTTTATTGTTTGATAAAATATATGAAAATTTATATTTTATAAAATTATTCTAACATAGATAATTATCCTTAATTAGAAAATTATTTATTTATGTCAAATAGATAATTAAGTAATTTGTGTGTTTATGCATGTGTGAATTGAAGTGTTATATATTAATACATGTAAAAATAATTTTTGTTGGTATTACAAAATATTTTTTAAAAATATATTTCTCAAACTTAAATGAAATAATTAGTATTGTGTGAAAATCAGATAAATTTTTTAATTATATTTAAAATAATTATGTTAAAATAACATATATATAAATATTTAAAATAATTATGTTAAATTTTTTAATTATATTTAAAATAATTATGATAAATATATATAAATATATATAAATATATAAAAATATATAAAAAATATATATAAATATATATAAATGTATATAAATATATATAAATATATATAAATGTATATAAATATATATAAATATATATAAATATATATAAATATATATAAATGTATTTGTATATTTGTATATATATAAATGTATTTGTATATTTGTATATAAATATAATTTATTTGTAAATTGTTATCAAGAAATTCTAGTAGCTTAGTGGTTGGAGTATCGACTCTGACTCTAAGGTACTGGGTTCGAATCCTGCCAATGACATTTCTCTTAATCTGACAATAATTCAAAGTTATGTCAAAGTTATAAAAATATAATATGGAGAAATAATTAAAATAATTAATAAGAATATAAGGGGAGGGGTTCTATAAAAAAAAATAATGTTATAAATAAGTAAAATATTTAATAATTAATAAAATTATTACGACGGATAAACCGTCGTAATATTCATTTACCGACGATTTTGTTATTACCGACGGATTTTGACCGTCGGTAATTTTAATATTTCTTGTAGTGCAATCTAATTTTAATGTTTTTCTCTTTAATAATTTCACATTTTTTTATTAAATTAATTTAAATGAAAATTTAACATTATATTAACTTTTTTTTTCTTAATTGTCATCTAAAGAAGTGGGGATTTTATTAATGAGAAATTTGATAAAGTTTTCCTCAATAAGCTTAATTCTTAAAATGTATTTTAATCTAACATCATATTTTGGACTTTTTTTTATGTTTTTAATTTATCAAATTTAAAACTATAAACAGTGTCATCAACTAATTATACATAATTACCACTCATGCTCATAATTTTAGAAGATCCAAAAAATTTTATGTGTAAAATATATCAAGTGTTATTGTGGAAACAATATTTTTTAATTTAAAAGAAAATATCTTTTTTTTTACAGATTAACTTTTTTTTTTCGAACAAATGTTTATGCATGTGCTATTAAATATGTGAAATTCATGGATAACAACTCATCATTCAAAAAAATTATAAATCACTACAGAAATAAAAATATTATTTTAACCTGCAACCTCTATCTTTAAATTAATTTTTAAAATGTTGATTAATATATTATCATAATAATAAAATATATAAATAAACATAATTTTGTGCATAAAAATACAATTTCGTTCTTATATTATTGACTATTAATTTAATAAAAAAGGTAGATGTCTAGGATTATTTGTAAATGTAATTTATTATCAAATAAATTTTTTTTAAGTGAATATATTTTTTTAGAACATGTTGATTATTTTTCAATGCTACCTATAAACAAAAGGGCCAAGCCCAAAAAACATGCCGTTGTGTTGGATTTTAACGAGTCATACTATAAACAAAAGGGTCCAAGCCCAATAAAATGAGAAGGACTTAGATAGGAAGCCCAAGAAAAAAAAAACAGGGATAAATTTCAAATACAGGTCATTTAAATCTACAAGGGCTATAAGAATCCATTTAAGGTAAAAAGAAGTACAAAGAAATTATTGTGTGGAAAGAAGTCTTTTTAATTATTCTCTCATAATTAATATATTTCAATATTATAAAAGTGTGTAGAATAATACTTTACAAATAAAATGTTTCCTCAATATATATATATAATTACCATTTTGTAATATTATTCAAACTAATAAATTATTTTTATAAACATTTTAAAAAATAAAAAATTGATGAGAAAGTGAAAGATGAACGAGGTCTTGGTGTGAAAAGATAACCCTTAACCTAGTAGTAATTGTGTGGAAAATATCACTCACATTATACAAAAAAGAGATAATAATTGACATATTTGCTGGATTGGTCACACATTACAAGTCGCTGAGCCAAGAAACCATTGAATCATAAAGAAGAAATAATGGTAGTAGGTGCTAAATTCGAGATAGGGACTGGTGTGGTCCATGACTTAAATAAATAAATTAAAGGATTCATCCATGAGCATGAGTAACAATGGTAACAATGAGTTCATTCACTCATATTTATATTTATATATGATAATAAGAGAGGGTCTCTATCCTTAGAGTGTGGTACATGGTACATAGGGGTGTGATATTGATACAAAACCCCAAAACTATAATACGGTGCATTTAGATGGTTAAGATTTGGACCACAATTTGGTGAATTCAATCTAGTGTGTGATTGTCAACGAAAGGGGAGGAGGGGGCAGGTCCCACATCGAATGTTACCCGCATCCCAGCAACCAAGGGATGGTTTCCCCGGGCGGTGCCCATTTCAAATTTCGTTTTTGCTTCTGCTTTGGGCCCATCAGCTCGGTCCTCCTCCACCCCATCACGTGTGGTTGCTGTCAGTGAAATGGGTGACAACCCGAGGTGGGTGAAGAGGGACATTCATGTGATAATACTCTACACCTTTTTTTTATCAATTCAATCAATTAACCTTGATTCTTCAACACATGATCATCTTCATCAAGAGCTACTTCAACTGATACATGTTAAGTGTATAAATTTTCAAGAGTTAAATAGATATGAACCATTTCAATTGTCTACCAATGGTGTCTCTCAAAAACTTGGATTCAAACAAAGAAAAGAAAATAAAGATAGTTGTGTGGTGAACAAAAACAAATGGTTTGTAGAAGAAAACCAAGACAAGAAAAAGTATACAAACACTACTACCATGGAAGACTAGCAGTTAGAAAGTAAAATTATTAGGTTTTAAAATAATTTAGTGTCACATGAGGTACCACTTCTCTAGACTTTCCTGTACCCAAAATGTTGTTTTCTCAAAAGTGATGTTTTCACTTTTAACAGCAAATACTCATTTTGTAATGTTTTGATGCATTCTTTATTTTTGTTCTTTTAAGAAGTGTATTAACTACCTATTGGTTTTAGTAATTTTAGCTCAGAAGCTATAATCTTTTTAGTATATTGATTAAGCAAACATAATTATGTTGGGTTCGGACCGGAGTGGTTCCAGTGAATGATGGTAATCATCAATATCATCATGACACTTGGATCCTCTACAGTTTGAGCAACATCAATTTGTAGGGTGATTTCATACTTTAAACAACATGTTTTCGTTAATTGCTAACATAATTGATGGAATCATGCATAATTGTCTCTTGTGTTGGGTTTAAACTAACTTATAAAGTTTAAGTGTAACCTAACAGGAAAATTTATGTTCCCACCTAATTTAATCTCCCCATTACGAACAAACCCTGGATGCAAATTGTTACAGGGTGAATTTTGAAGTGAGAAAGTAGGGGGAAGGGGAAAAGGGGAAAGAAGTAATTAGGTGAAGAGAGATGATAATAATTACAGAGAGGAGTAGATGAGGGTTGCAATAAAGGGAGAAGAAACCAGACCTACTCACTCACCTAAACTAAACTAAACTAAAGAAAAGAGAAATGAAAAATAGAAAGAGAAGATGATTTAGAATTTGAGAAGAGAAGTGAAGTGAAGAGGAGAGAAGAGTGAAAGATGAATAGGAGTGGCGGAGGAGAGATGAGTAAGTGGCCTTTCACAGTGTCTCAGTGGCAGGAACTGGAACATCAAGCTTTGATTTACAAATACATGGTCGCGGGTCTTCCTGTGCCTCCTGATCTCGTCATTCCCATTCAGAACAGCTTCCATTCTATTTCCCAAACATTCTTCCACCATCCCTCTTCCGCCCGTGAGTCTCTCTATTCGTAGAACTCTAACTCACTCCTTCCACATTCATTTTGTTTCTAGCAATCCCTTTGTTGTAGATGTAGACTCTACACAATGTCTGGGATTGTGATGTCATTTTATGTAGTAACCCAAACATTGCATTTGCATTTTGCCTATTTCATATTGCATTGACCCCCTTTGTACCAAAACACCTGCACTGAATTTGGGGTAGGGTAGGGGTACCGCAACTCTGTTATATGGGTAGGATGACAACTCACCATACCATATTTGGTAATGTGGTTGCAATTAATCATACCTGTGCACTTTGCAATTATATTCCTCATCTTTCCTGGGGGTTTTGCTCAGGAAATTGCTGAGAGAAACACAGATTTGTGATTGTTTTGGTCTCCCTTCTCTTCAGCTTTCTTTCTTTATGGCTAAAAACTACAGTCTAATACTGAATGAACTATGCAGTTCTGTAGTTTTCACCTATGCTAGGGATATGTATGTACTACCCATTTTGATCGTGTCTTGTTTGTGACTTGGGGCTTTTATAGATATAGGTGATAAAGTAGAGGTGGGAAACTAACTGTGCATGTAAATTCTCAGTGAGTTATTGTTCCTTCTATGGGAAGAAGGTGGACCCGGAGCCAGGACGATGCAGGAGGACTGATGGCAAAAAGTGGAGGTGCTCCAAGGAAGCCTACCCGGACTCCAAGTACTGCGAGCGACACATGCACCGTGGCCGCAACCGTTCAAGAAAGCCTGTGGAATCACAAACTATGACACAGTCATCATCCACCGTGACATCATTGACTGTGAATGCTGGCAGCAGCAGCAGCAGCAGTGGAACTGGAAATTTCCAGAACCTTACCCCCACAAATGCATATGGTAATCCCCAAGGCACTGGTTCTGGAACAGACCAAACCCACTATCATCTGGATTCCGTTCCCTATGGGATCCCAAATAAAGAATACAGGTATGGACATTGTCATTATATTTCACACTATTTCTTTGCTTGGAGAAAGGAAATTACTTCACTGGAAAATACATCACTAGAATCATCTTGCTAGCCATATTTTAAGAATCTGCCTATGCTTGTGATTGTTATTGAATTTGAAGAAGTTCTTTGATTTCTATTCCGTGCAGATGAATTTTCTGTTGTATAAATCATGATATGCTTAGTTTTTGTAATTTGGCCTCATATTACTGTCACTTCTTTTCCAGTAAGAAATATGTTTACCTGCTATACTTCCAGGTAAGCATTGGATGTCAGAATGGCAGCTTTTTCCTGGTTATTTCATTCTAATCACTGTTCTGGGCCCTGATGTCTTTGTGCTGCTTTCAAATTCTTTAGCGATTTATGAGAATGGTGGGGTTGTGTTTGTCTTTGGTTATTTGTTGCAGATATCTGAACTCACTTGATTTTGTTGTTAGAATGCTATTACTGCAGAAGTGTCCCTTACATTTTTCTTTTACAAACATTGTCAAAGGACAGACAAAACTGTTACCTACCTGAATATGCTACATCTTCTGTCAAAATTTGTTTTGTCATGTTGAAGAAAGGAGTTATAGTCTTTCCCTAAATCCTAAAGTATTTTTGGTGTTTTGGTACATCTATGTTTGTTTTATTTTCTTGTCCTGGTGATGCTCTAAGGATGGAGTAGAAAGAACGTGGAAAGCCTCATGAATTGAATTTGTTGACTGAATTATGAGGGAGGCAGGGTCTTTAATTCCTTTTTTTTTTTTTTTCCTTCCATTGATTTATTCCTGTATTATGAATTGCGCTGTGAAACATCCTAGGATGCTAGTGCCCTAATACATTGTCTTTCTGGAATATCTGTCAGGTGGGGATAATGGGAAAGGTAGGTGCACTAATTTAATGTCCTACAATTTTCTTTTTGTGGGAAAGGAAATGTTACGTTTTCCTTTATTCATTTGCAATCACTTTTTGATTCTGCTTCATGTGATTGCTGTCTGTATAATTCAAAATCAAATAATGGGGCATTTATATTATATTTTTTTAATAAAAGATAAAGATAAAGAATATATTTCCTCTAAAGTATAGGATGTACAACCTTTGATAAGAGAATCTAGGTTTTTTATTTTTCCAAATACATATTTTTCTATCATTTTGCTTATTCTTTCTCTGGTTCTTTTTGTAAAGATACAACTAACTAATACCCCAAAATCAAGGAAACTAGTTAATTTACTTAGTAGTAATAAGGTTGTCCTAAATTTATATATTTTTCCAAAACTACCTCTTAACATTTTTTTCAATTTTTTTTATTGGTTTTAATTCTTTTTATCTTTCTCATCATTAATATATTTATTATTTAAACTTTTATTCTTTATACATGTGAATAGTCAAAGTAAAGTTATGCCCTTCATACAAGATAATTATAGACTCCCAAAGAACTCAAGAGATTAATGTATTTTACTTGCTCCTTATTTAACTAAAAAGAAAACCCATAATTAAATATAATTTTGTGAAAAATATTAATACAGGAGACATTGGTTAGAATTTGATTCGGATTGGAGTGAGTAGTTTATAAAAATCCAAGTAGATGATTTGTTGATTGATAATAATCCACTCCTTACAGTTATAGTCCTCTGCTGAATAGAACTTTAATGGAATTGATCTTACAGGAGTATGACATCACACTTAATACCAAATTGGTGATGCACGAGCTTGAGGATTCTTGGGGTATAAAAAGGAAAGTTGAAATTTATGCTTAAGGTTTAGCTCTAGTGGAGTTTGTTATTGAGAGAATTCGAATTTAAGATGTCATTGAACTCTGGGAAGTTTGAGTTTCTGTTGGTTTCAGCACCACTGCTTCCAGACGTATGTCAGAAATTTGAATGTGTTCTTGTTCCATTTTCATTACTTATTTGAGTGATAGAAATCTGTTCCAAATAATGAGGTCTGAAATGCTTCAGTTTCACTGAGTTATGCTAACTTTATAGGGACTCTGCATTGGTGACTTTCTCTAATCTGTTTCTCTTATCTTTCTATCGATTGGTATTGTTATGATGTTGCCTTTATCATCAATCTGATTATTAACAGGGACTTTTCACCATTCAATTTGGTCAATTAGGCACTTTTTTCACTTATATGATTAGTTTTGATGTTTAAATAAATCCGGTTGCGAAAATTTTCACTAGTTGTTATTTTTCTCCCATTGAATTGTGGATCATCTTATTTGAAACAAACAGGTATTTTCAAGGATCAAAATATGATGGTGGTGAACGTAGTTTCTTGTCCAAAACTTTAGGAAGCAACAAGGTTCTCCGCATGGAGTCACAGCTGGATACCTCTTTGATGCCAACAGGAGGACCCTCCTCATTCTCCACATTGAGATCAAATAATAATTCCATGTTACAGAGTGATTATCTGCAGCCTTCTTTCTTATCTACTGAATATGCCTCAGGAGAAACTATGAAGCAAGAGGGTCAGTCCCTTCAACCTTTCTTTGATGAATGGCCTAAAAGCAGGGACTCATGGTCTGGTCTGCAAGCTGAGAGATCTAATCACACAACTTTCTCTTCCACTCAACTCTCAATATCCATTCCTATGTCATCATCAAATTTCTCTACAACTAGCTCTCAAACCAAACATGGTGAAATTTAAATTAGGTCATGTTGAAGCATGTACCCACCAAAAAACAGCCTGAATCCTGTAATTATATTGTTGCAGATAACTAAGAACTGGGTTTTCAGCACAATGTTCATAAAAGACCTAAGAGATCAGGCTTTCTTGTATTTTCTTTTGACTCTAGCTCCTCAGTTTTGTGCACTCTCTGCTGAACAAGTTGTCTACCAGTATGGAACCTCTTCTAGTGGTTGGATTTCAATAGAATCTACCATCGTTATTGCTTTGCATCTATGAACAAAAACAGTATTTCATCCTGATTTAATGGATGTTAAATGAGGTTGATGGTTTTGTTCAAGAATAAAACCATCCCTTGGAGTTCTGCGGTGTAAAGGCTCCATTTTTTGGGGTTGGAGGGGGAAAAGAACTTTAAATTTGGTACTACTACAAGACTATTTAGCTTACGGAAAAATCAGAAAAAATTAGCATGATATTTATCAATTAAATTAAATATAACATGTGGCTTAAAGCGAGTTAAGGTTTTTGCCTAAAAGAAAGTGAATGGGTTGGGTAAGATCACTTTCAAGCCCATCATTAGCATAACAACAGCTTAATTAGTTAAATCTTGTATTCCATTGCTATAAGAAAAAGGAGGATTGGATTTCTTCACGTTTATTTCAAGTTTCCAGAGGTTCAATTTTGATAGATTAATTTAAAATTATAAATGTTATTCAACTATATGTTCAAATTGATCTTCACTACAATTTACTTGTTAAGAATGTGTATTACAGTGTATTAAAAAGGAAAAAACAATGTTGTAATTATAAATTAATCTCTAACTTTATTTTTGTTTAAATTAATTATTTTTAACACAATCAAACAATAATATATTTTTAATATTAATAAATATCAAAGTTAGATGTCAAATAATTTATAAAGACCTAGAGTAATAAATTTATATCATGTGATTACCAAAAACAAAAGATAAAATGGAATTTAATTTTTAATGTCTAGAGTGACTCATAAATACTAAAAATGACACCGTCATTTGAAAACCGTCTTTACATAATCAATAAAGTTGATATTATAATTGAATGACCTCTTATTAGAATTCTAATGAGTTATGTAATAAGTATCCTACAAATAAGTAGACTACTCAATCATTCATGATTCTTTTGAGGTGAACCATTATGTAATAATATATATTTTGTGACATTAAAAAATAATTTCACAAGGATGACCTAGAATTACTTAATTAAGAGGAAGATTGATGTGTTTGTCTCATTTCTTATCTTCAAAGCACATACATGAATAGAGATGATGATTAGTAAAGGTTTGAAGATTGACAAAAATTAATAATAAGATTGGAATGACAAAAGTGATGATCTAAAAAGATAAATTATAATACATCTTGATACGAACATCGCATAACAATAGGCAAAAATTTAAAATGGAAGAAAACCTAAAAAAAATGAGACAAGTTCCACTAAGACTAAGTGACTATGATATGTTTCCAAATAAGTAACAATTAAAGGTGACTTGGTCCATATGACTTTGTTAATAGAGATGAAACCAATGAACTTTGGGAAAACAGTGAAGGAGACACATTGGGCAGATACCATGAGAGAAAATATGAGATTAATTGAAGAATCAGACTTAGAGACTCACTCTATTGCTACGGAGGAAGAAAGTGATTATTGTAAAATGGGTATACTAAGATAAAATTAAATTCAAAAGGTGAGGTAATAAAATACAATATAAGACTTGTAACAAAAGGTTTCTTGTCAAAACAAGACTTGGACTATGATAAAGTTTTTACCCCGGTTGCAATATTAGAAACCATAAGACTAGTGATTTTTGTGACAAACACTGTTGACCAAATACATGAGATGTATATTATATTTCTTCCCAAATGGGTCATTAAAGAGAGAAGTATATGTGTCACAACCACTTGAGTTTGAAGTTAAAGACAAGGAAGAACAAATGTACAAATTGAATAAGGCTTTGTATGGCTTGAAACAAGTTTCATGAGCCTGAAATAGAATTGATGGATTCTTACCGTAACTTAAATTTGGGAAGTGCACCACTCAATATGGTATGTATATAAAAGGATTGAATATGACTAACTTGTTGATAATGTGTTTATATGTTGATGACCTATTAGTAATAGGAAACAATGTTAAAGAAATTGAAGCATTCAAACAGGATATGAAGGTTGAATTTGAAATAATTGACTTATAAAACTCTCTTATTTTATTGTAATAGAGTTTAGGAAAACTAAATGTGAATTTTTTATATATCAAAATAAATATACTACGGATGTGTTGGAAAAGTTTTAGATGTTAAGTTGTAATCTAGTTCAACACTTAATACTTGACAAGTATGAAGGAGATCAAATGATGGACACAAATCTATATGAACAAAGGATAACATCTCCAAGATATGTTTTCAATAAAAGACTTGAAATTGCATGTGAGGTAGGATTTATGAGAAGGTATATGGAAGAATCAAAACAATCTCATTTGCTTATTGTTAAGTGGTTGCTCAAATATGTTAAAAGAACAATTGACTTGGACTTATTTTCTTAAAAATTTAACAATACTTATTATAATATGGTTGAATATTTTGATATTGATTGGTGTGAACATAAAACTAATATAAAAAAAATTATAGGTTCTGCATTCATGATTAGAGATGATTTCTTTGTGTTCAAGAAGGTAATCTATCATCATTATGCCTTCATGTGAGACTAAGTATATATTTACCAATATGACTACCTATCAATCTTTCTTGAATAAATTATAAAAAAAGTAAATTATAATTTTAAAATAACTAAATATATTTAAAGATAACATTGTTAAAAAAACTTATCATGTGTTAAGAACTTATATGCACAAGATTGCTAATACTATGTTTTTAATTTGTTTACATATGAATAACTTATATATACATCTATATATAGTCAAACTAAAAAAAATAAAAATTATAGCATTCTTACCAAGGTAATTGATATCTAGGTCTAATAATTTATTGTTGATGTTTGATAATTAAATACAAATAATCACTAGACAATAAACAATAATATTTCAAACATAATTAAAACAATAATGTTTGATATAAATGTAAGATTCAAAACAATGTATAAAACATATAAGAAAGATATTATCATACCTGGAAAAGACCTATAAACTTAGATTTTGTATCTGAAGTTCTTCTTAAAATCATATAAAAGAGGAATCCAAGTCAAAATTCAAGCTAGTAAAAATTTAAAATGCATTTTAAACAAAAATTGAAAATATGAATATGAGAATCCTTAAACTATATCCTAACCTAAAAAGTAAAAAAAAAAAGGAAAAAAACAAAGAAATTAACCAAACAAAGGGAATAAACACTAACCATAAGAAAGTCAATTATTTAAGGATGAAGTTGATATCAAAGGAAACAAGACATTGTTCTTCAAGTATCTATTTGAAAATAACTCTTTGATGGTTAGCTACCTACCCATCAATGGTGATTACAATAACCGAATAGATTATGAATGAGTTTTATAATATAATATTAATAGTGAATGATATATATATATATATATATATATATATATATATATATATATATATATATATATATATGAATACATAATTGTAAGTTTCAATCTTTATTGTTTGTAAAATGAAAGAAAAGTCATAAATAACAAGTATCTTATAAAATATTACACATGAACGTATATTGTGGAGTCCAATAAAAATCCATGAAGATTAATTTTGTCACAATTTGAACAAATAAATGTGTATTTAGTGAAATAACATGTCACATCCGTATAAATTGCCCATATGCCCATTAATAATTTTGTTTTCATATTTTATATATCTTATGAACCAAATAAAAAGAATCATCAACAAAATTCAATCATATTGTGGTCCCAATATAAGAGTTAGAGGACCTTAAGTCTTTTAAAATTGAGGAACTTTAAAGTTACTTAGAGACACATTAATATAGGATTCAGGAGAGAAATCCTAACAAGAATTCTGATAAAACTTTATAGGCCTTATCAAACAAAAGGTTATCTGGACAAGTCAACATGTAGAGAAAAGGTTAAGACAAATAAAAAATGATAAAGAAAAAAACTACGAAGGGATCAGTCAAGACTTGAGTTCATCATCCTCGTTTAAGAAAAACAGTTAATAAGAAAAAAAAAATTTCAATTGCATAAACTTTGACCACTTTATATCTAAGTGCAAGTTCAATCATAATAATGACAGAAAAGAATGTCAAAGCAAGAATGACTTAAGGAGAGGAGTTAGAAAAGGAGAAAAGATGTACTAATATCTTCATTCTAGGTGCTCCAATCATATGTTTAAATACAAGAAGTGTTATGTTAGCCTTTATCAGACTATCAATAACAAAGTAAAATTTGAAGATTATAGTTTCATTGATGCAGAGGAAATAAGAAAGATTTCAATTCAGTAAGATGAAGAATAATTTAAATCTTGGGGTCAATTGTTGAGAAAAGACAATACAATGACAATGAAAGATAGAGTGTTTTAGGTTTTTTATGTCAACAACGTATTAATATTGAAAGTTTCACTATCTGACAATAAAACTTTCAAGGTTGAAATTCAAGTGGATGGACATTCATGCTTAGTGTCTAAGTTACTCATAAAAACTAGAAATAACAATAAATGTATGATCATTTGAATTTTTAGAGTCTTCATGCTCAGGAAAATCAATACAATGATTGGACTGTCTACTATTAGAACCCCTAATGAGTTACGTAGTGAGTGTCTTACCAGTGAGTAGGCTAGGAATTCATTTATAACTCATGTTCCTACCAAGTCCGTCAAAACACTTGAATCAGTCAACTCATATCATATGTATGTGATAATGGCACTGCAGAAAGGGATAATAGAAAAAACTTAAAAACTAAGAAATTATCCAAACAATTTTTGGAGGAAGTTATATCAATAACTATTTACATTTTGGGTGAATTCACTCTTGAAAAATCATGATCAGGCTTAAAACTAAGAACTAGTTACTTTAAAATCTTTGGTTTCATTTGTTATAAGCATGTCCTTGATGTGCAACGATAGAAACTGAATGATAAGTGTGAAAAGTTTACTTCACATAGATATCATTCTACATGTTCATACAAAGTATGTAGTCCCCTGACTCATAAAATGATGTTTAACACAAACTTGAATATGGATGAAACTCAATAACTTAATTGGGATGATAGAAATGATGATCTAGGAAGACAAACAATAATACATTTCAACAATGACATTGAATAACAAATTAAACATCAACCAAAGGAAGAAATTCAAAATTGAAAAAAAAATCTCAAAGAATGAGGCAAACTCCATTAAGATTGATTGACAATGAAGTTTTTCTAGACTCAGAAGTCAAAATTGAAGTAGACTTGTTCCATATGACTTTGTTAATAGAGATGGAATCAATGAACTTGAGGAAGTAGTAAAGAAGACACATTGAATGAAGGTCGTGAGAGAAGAGTTGAAATCAATTGAGAAGAATCAGACTTAGACTCACTTCATTGCCCAATGAGGAACATAGAAATTGTTGTGAGATGAGTGTATAAAGTGAAATTAAACCCAAAAGGGTGAGGTAGCCAAATACAATGTTAGACTTGTAGCAAAATATTTCTTATAAAAATAAGGCTTGAACTATGGTGAAGTTTTTGCCTCGATTGCAAGACTAGAAACCATAAGACTAGTAATTTTTGTGGCAAGCTATCATTGTTGGCTAGTATATCTAATGTCAAATTTACCTTCTTAAATAGATCATTAGAGGAATAAGTGTTTATATCACAATCACCTAGGTTTAAAGTTAAAGACAAGAAAAAACAAAATGTACAAATTGAATAAAACTCCATATGACCTGAAGCAAGCTCCAAGAGCCTAAAACAGAAGAGTTGATGACTTCTGACTATAAATTCAATTTGTGATGAACACAATTGAGTATGATGTGTATATAAAAGGATTGAATATGACAACTTGCTAATGATGTGTTTTTATGTTGATGACCTATTAGTAATAGGAAGCAAAGTTATAGAAATTCATGAAATCAAGTTTAAGGCTAAATTTGAAATGACTAACATGGAAAAACTCTTTTTTTTTTTGAATAAAGTTCAAAAAATTAAAGGTGAGATTTTTCATGCATCAAAGCAAATGTTATTAATGTGTTGGAAAGGGATTCAAATGTTAAGTTACAATCCAATTTCAATATCTATTCACACTGAAAATAACTTTAACTAGTTCAAAGGAGGTAAAATAATAGATGAGACTCTATATATTTAAACAATGAGATCTTAAAGATATTTCTATAATACAAGATCTGATATTACATAAGGTAGGATTTGTGAGTTGATACATGATTATACAAAAACAATTTGTTTGTTGTTAAGAGATTGTTCCTAAATATAAGAATTGATGAAAACATATTACTAATGACTGGATAATAAAATAATCAATAAATTTAGGTGAAAAATTCAATAACTCCTAAGGCTTAATCTCACTTTTTAAGAATCAAATTAATAAAAAAAACTAAAACTTAAATTATGCAAATCTAAAAATTAAACTACAAACATTCTAAACAAACTAAAAGAAAAAAATTAAAAATAAAGTGTTAAAATTATAATTCAATCATTATGTAATTATAATAAAAACTATCTCTAAACAAATTAAATAATATTAATTATTTCCTAAGACTCAATAACTCTATATGTTAATTTTATTATGTTTCCTACCTTCAATAATTTAATGATAAATTATTCAAACTCTTATCATTATAAACCATGATAATTTAAATAAGATACCTATAAGAAAAATAAAATAAAAAAACATGTTACATAAACATTATCCTAGAGATAAAGTCTTGATGAGTCCTATGTCTGTCAAGCCTTTGATCCTTCTTCTTGGACAAAATCCTCAGGTCGTGTTTTTTTGTCTTCTTATTCTTCTCGATCCTTGATAATTCTTCTTTGTCGAATGTATTTGTGGTTCCTGTAACTCATCCTCTTCACAATGGTTAGAGTTTCTCATGTGAGGTGAGATCGGTATAGAAAAAAAAGGTTGTCTGAAGAGAGATACCAAACGAAATTAACAAGGACTCCATGCATCAACTTCTTCCATCTTCTCATCTGCAATAAGAGAAAAGATGATTATAATTGACAGCCAAGAAAGAAGAAAATTCATAACTTGCTTCTCCAGGAAAAGTTTAGGTACCCGAGGAGATAGAAAATCCAAATTCTAGGATCAAATTGAAATGGGCCTTCTATGGGCTTGTCACTACCCACCAACACAAGAATCAGAAGATATCTCTAACTTCAATTTCTTGAACCTTTCAATAGAATTCATTGGGTCAGTCAGAACCCCCTTTAACTCACTCACGTGATGTTATTCATTGCATGAAAAAACACTGACCTATATATATTGAACTTATGGGAATGTGTGCCTTTTTAATTCAACGCTTCTACTACTATAATAAAATAATAGTAATAATAATAATAATAAATATATGGTCACTGTAAAAATTTATATGTATGTAACTTTTCAAAAAAATTGAGCTGCAAAATTAATTAATGGTGAGAAATTAAAGCATGTGGGCCCTATTAATAAATTTCAATGAATTAAGTAACCCTAACCTAAGGGCTACTAAAACTACAAGTTATGTTGTCGTATACGTAGTTGTGAAAATTAAGGTTTAGCATAAGCATGCACGTTTCTTATGTTTCTCTCCTCGCTTTTCTCGAGTTGTATATTCGATTCAATTTTTCGAATAAAACGACAATAATGTTCTACGCATTTTGTTTTCCAGCTTTTTTCTTCTACCACCAATTTTTCTTAACGGGTTTGCGATTTGCGCTAAGATTGTTGAGTTAATAGATATAAATATTGATTTTATTATTTTTTAACATATTTATTAATTTTTTAATGATATTTACTGTTTTAACATTCTTTCTTCATCTAAAATAATTATAATAATATAATTAAAAACACAAATGCTAAAATTGTTTATATATTTATTTTATTTTATTTTATTTTCACTTTCCACTCTTTAAATATATTTTTTCATTAATCTCATATCATTTTATTCTTTTTTATATTTTTACTATTTTTTAAATATAAAACTTATAAAAACTGTATCTTCTTTAAATTTTTTAACTCTCCAATAACAAAAAAATATTTAAAAAATATCTTTTTTATATATAATTATAGATATTATTTTTCTCTATAATAAATATAATCAAATATATATAAATTAACAGGAGAAATAGTTAATATAAGTTTAAACTTTTTATATGTATTTAAAAAAAACAAGAGTATTTATATACTGTACAATTGAAACACTATACTTAGTTTAATCAATTGAAATTGTTGACCATCCCAATTTTATTAATTTTTTAAATTATTTTCATTTATCGTCACTTTTTTGTCACTATTTAAAAGATGTGAGAGATTATTTTTTTTTCATTTTTTTTCTCTAGATTCCATCGTCACGGTACCTAATTTGTTTTTGTTTCTAAGTCCAGCTATTTTACTTTTCATTCTTTTATTTTTCAAAAGAAAAAAATGTTTATGAGTTTTAAAGTTAAAACTTTGAAATATTCGTGTTCTGATATTATTTTGTTAAATATTTTGGGTGCCTGAGCTAAATAATAAAACTAAATGTTCATTGTGTTTGATATTAATTTCCGGTGTTAAAACATTAAGTTATTCCATCATTATGATATATAAAATAATTATTATAATATTTTTGAATGATTTAAATATTTGTGGTGTTAACGTATTGTTTGTATATAATATAAAAAAAATTGAAAAAAATCTACAATATTAAACATAATTTTTCATACCTTCTTATCCCATCAATCCTTATGATCTTTCATCTCTTCATCAATATTTTATTTTTTAATTTAATTTATTTAAATACATTATTTAATCAAAATACCAATACGTTAATCAAATCCTACTTACTATTCACCGTATTAATCATAATAATTTGACAAATTTATAGAAAATGTAAAATTCAATCAAAATTATTTAATCTAATGGATAATGAAACTCAAATTATTTATACCATAAACACCTTTTATCTTCTATTTTATTCCCCTTAGTTCTTATATTCATAACAAAATTATTGTCCATATCTTTAGTTAAGATTAACATTCTCATTAGCTTTTCTATTTATTGAAATATGATATTATCCATATTTTGGTTAATATTAATCATACGAGTATTTTATTATTTTGTCCTTCTTATTATTACATTAATTTTTTATCATATCTCACTATCTTTATTACCGCTCAAACACAATTCTAAATAATAAACATTTTTTTAACCATACATAGTATTTATTTTTCTGTACATGTTTTCCAAAAAATAATTCTTTTTAAAACAAATATTATATTATTTTTATCATTATCCTATTATGAAATAATTTTGCATAAAAAGAATGTGAAATAAGTTATAGAATAATTAAAATGTGACAAGATTGACTTAAGTAATATAGTTGAATGATGATTATTATTTTTTTTATGAGAAGTTGTTTTATGATTAATAAGTAAAAATAATGATGATTTTTGCTTTTTAAGATGTGATAAAAGTCAAACACTTATACGAAATACTAAGATCTAGTATACATTGAAGTTAAACATAAGAAAAATGTTGAAGTTTAGAAAAAAGAAAGAAAGAAGACAACAACTATAATATTTAGGCCAACTGTTATAAAAGATATAAGATAATTGCATAAAGGTATTTTATAAAAATCTAATTTTTTTTATACAAATATATTTACTTTAGAACAAAACTTTTTGAACTAGAATCAACATTTTAAAACATTAGTGTTTTGCAATTTCCAAGAATAAGGTGGAATGTTTATGACATCTTAGGTTTGATTAACTAAGTTTTAAGCACTTTCCACTATTCACAAACCACAATATGTTTTCAAAATTACTTATAGTTAAAGTCACTAAAATGGTATGTGAATAATGCACTAAATGCAAACAAACTAGATGAAGCTTCAATAAATTTATTCCAATCAAAGCAACTAAAAAACTAGGGTAATATATTTTAATGTTTATGACTTTATATGTTGATAGAAACTCCTATACATATGTTTAAGAAATTCAAGTATTTAGTTTAAAAACAAAGTAGAAGAGTAATTCAAAATGGATGAAATATGATAAAGGATGGTGGAAAAGGAGAGAATAAGAAAAAAGAAAATAAGTAAATAAGGAAAGAGAAAAATAAAGAATGACTAAATAGAAAGACATTCTTCAAAATAGAACAATAATGTGTATAATAATCTTGTAAAATTGAGTAAATAAATTAATAAGAGTTTTATTTGAGTAATTTTTTAAATATATTATTTATGTATAAATTTTTTAAGTATATGTCAAATGAATTCAAGGAATTTTGTGAAGATAAATTAATTTATGATATTATATGAACTTATACACTTTGACATAATGATACGACTAAAAGAAAAAAAAATTGTGCTAAAATGTGCTAAAATAGTGAAACATATGCTAAAAAGATAAAAGAAACATATAATATTTGTTATAAAGAAAACAATTGTCAAGTACTTCAACCTCCTCTTAGACTCAATCTAAAATTTTGTTTGAAAATGATAAACCATTAACTACAAATGAGTGATTATAAATTGTTTCAAGACTTAATAATTAGCTCAAAGGAAATTTTGGTTCACTTTGTATTTATAATTATAATTGAACCTATTAAATTTAATAACATAATAAATAAAGAAAATAAATAACAAAAAACTAGATCAATTCTATAAAAAATAATTATACTTAAAAATTTATGAATCCTTCTTCAAATAAGAAACTTGTAACATTGAAATAAGTTTATAAAAGTGAAAATTTAACCAAAAGAAGAAGTGATTTTACAAAATGCATCTCAAGCCCATGAAATTTAAGTGAAATATTAATAAAAAAAGTGTTAGATTTTAACTTAAAAATAGTATCATCTTTATGCCAAATAGAATGAATCTATTATAAATACTTATGACTAAGATCATGATAATTAATTTGCATAAATAATATTATACTTCACGAGAGAACAAGCTAACAATGAGAATTTGGAAATTGAATCTTAAAAAAATTGAAATTTAGTTTGGAAAATTTCCAAAATTTTGGTTTGTATCAAAGAGTAAATTTGAATGATGGAATATGAAAAAAATAAAAAATAAATTTGTCTAGATTAAAAAAAAGATTAAATTGAAATGAATAGAAAGTAAGAAAAATAAAATATTTTTTATTATTTGAATATTAAATTTAAAATCATTTATTATTATTATTATTATAATATAAAAATAAATAAATAAAGATTTTTTAAAAATTATACTATAAATAATTATATTTTTGAGATAATCGATTATTATACGTAAATATTTATAAATCCTCACTTTTTTTATATTATATTAGAGAGAGTAAGTAAGATTTTGAAGGAAAAAAAGTATAAATATTTAAAATATTTGATTAAAATTATTTCATTAGATATTATTTTAAATTAAATTAAGGAATATTAAAAATAATTTAAAATTTAAAAAATGAAAAATAATTAGTCTTATTACTCTTGATTAATAACAATTATTTTATTAACCTATAATAAACAAGACTAACCATATTATTTACCTAGCCATATTATAAACAAGACTACACATAATACCTATAATTATTTTATATTTTTAATATCATATGTTTTTTATAGAAACCAATATTAAATATGTATTTTATTTTTAAATTTTAAATAAGCCAGTGTACGGTATATTCTTTAATATTTTAATATAAATTGAATGGTTAACTTAATTTTCTTTTATCTATTTTCATACGTCACTTTTAGTTATATTTTGATAAAGATAGTTACTATTTTTTTCTTCTAAAAAATAGTTATACTTGATTTATTTATTTATTATAATGACATCGTAGTATTTAATGGGTTGGTACAATATTTTTAAAACTTGAGAAAATACACATGAATGTGAAAAAAATACGATTAATGTTTTAAAAATAAAATACGTAAAGTTTCGTATTATTTTATCTCAACCAATAGGCTGCGAGGAATGACCGATAAATTGTGAAGATATGCAAAACGTGAGGCACAGACGCATGCCAAAGAGGCGTTACTGTTGATAACGCAATCCCCACGCGCACATTTCTCACGCGCCTCCCTTCAACTAACACGCTCATTAAACTTACACGTGCGGGATGCTCACTTCATTCGCCTTGACTTGTTTGTCTTCGTGGGCCACCTTCGTTTACAATAATAATAAAACCACAATAAATAATAAATGACTGAATAAATAAATAAATAAGTAAAATGATAAAAAAACCAAACAAGGGGAAAAATGATGTGTAAAATGGGAATGACCCAGATTTCTGTTTTAAGGGATTTTGAAAATTGACTCAATTAATGAATCAATTTGATTTGGAAAATCTACAGAGTTGGGGAATTTTGTTGAGGAAGCAACGTAGAGAGAGAGAGAGAGAGAGTGAGTGAGTGAGAGATGGCAGTTTAAGCCAGGTGGGTTAGATGGATGGATTTGGATTTTGATGAGAAAAATAAAAAGCCCATTTGCAAGATTTCATTTTTATTTTTATTTTTGTTCAGATCACAAACAGAAAAAGTGAGGAGAGAAGAAGAGAAAACGGAAGAAAATTTATTATATAATTCACCTTGCAATTAATTTTATTCAGTATAAATAAATACAGAGTTCGTTCGTTGTATGAAATTCCGTGTCTCTGCCCGGGTGTGTCTCTTGTGAAATTTGCATGCTTTCATCTCATCTCTTCACCCTTCATTTTGAATCTTCGTTTGGTGGATCGTCACGGATACTCTAAAACTCTCATAACCCACAATTTCCTAGACGCAGATTGGCGTACCCGCCACTTCGCGCTTTCTTCTTTGCCATCGGAATTTGCCTAACGCAAGGTGAGCCTGTGCAATGCAAACAAGATGGTTTCCGTCTCAATTTTTTTAACTTAGGGTTTTATTTATTTATTTGTTTTATTATTCTAATTTATATTTTCCCCTTTATGATTGATCTTCGCTCCCTTTATTTTTGCTGGTTGATTGCAACTGTTCTCGTTTTGTTGAGATGAATTAATTGGGACAGTAGGGCACTTATTAGTTGGGGGAATTTTAGAATAATTCAGTGTGGTTGGGCTAGGGTTTGATTTTGCCTGTGGAATGGGTTTTGGGACTTGGGGGATTTTTAATTTTTTGGGGACCTTTTAGCAGACTTCAATTAGCATTTGCGAAATTGTTATCTCTGTTAGATTCTGTGTTGAGAGAAGTATCTCATGGAGTGGTACCTGCTTAGTACCTTTTTATGAAAAAGTTGGGGTAATGTTTGTTAGTGTGGTTTGGATGTAAATTCTGCGTAACATTGAGGAGTTTTCAGATTCTAGAACCTCGTGAATGAGTAATCAATCATCATAATATTCCAGGAGAAAGTGCTGAGATAACAGGATAATTCAGAGGCTTTCCTTTTCTTCTTTTATGGCAATCCGGTTATTGTTATGCTGCTGTGAAATATCTGCACGTTTGAGTAACTTTACGGTCTATTAAATTGGAAGGGTTGGAAAGATCAAATGTCATGAACATCATTATGCCTGGCAAGTTGCCATGAGATAAATTTTTAAGCATTTATTGTGCAAAAACTATAGAAGTGGGCGATTATATGCTTATATTAGTGTATCATGTGTGTGCAATGTCTTGGTATAAATTTTTTTGGTTTGTTGTTTTCTTGTTTCCTATTGTCCGAGTTGAGAAGCTGCTGAACGATGCGAAATTCTGAAGCTCCAAAGCAAACTCTATTTCTTGAATTAGTTAAAGAAGAATTTATTAAATATATAAGCACAGCTACTGAGTATTGGGATTCCCCCTTAAGCGGGCATCTTAAAGAAGAAAATGGAAAACCATTAGCTGAAGAAAAGTTCTCATTCCCTGCTCGTATGTCAAAGAAGTCTCCTAAAGAATTTACTAGCTAAATCACAAAGCCTAAAAAATAATTCCTTTCTCTAAGAGCTGTAGGTTTAAGAGTAAGAAACTCTGGCTATAAGTCATTGCATGATTGGCATCACAGAATATTAAAATATATTCCTTTTATAGTTCCAAAATTTCAAGCATGCTCAGAGAAAATGTTGTGACTTTATCCCATATCCAAGTATATCCATGGCACAATGTCCACACACTAGACAAAAAGTTGACACAAGTAACTGATCTTCAAAATATGGTTTACAAATATGATAAGATAAACCCTAATGTGGCTTCTGTGCATTTTGAATTGTGATAAATCTTTGTGTCAATTCCATGTGGCCACCTAGTGAAGCATTGTTATTGGAGGTATTCACAACCCTCTGTGAAAAGTAATAGTGTGTGTCTGAGTCAAAGTTTCCATCTTTCTTTTAACTTACGTTTTGTTTTGATTATGTATCAGCTGAATCTGAAAAAAGTTTGTCGAACATTCTATGACTCAGAACACTGATATGAGACTTGAATCGGGGACTTGCAATGTGTGCTCGGCTCCTTGTTCATCTTGCATGCATCTTAATCATGCTCTCATGGGGTCAAAGGCTGAAGAGTTTTCTGATGAGAACTGTCGCATAGGAGCAGCTATTGATCAATGTTCTATGGATGAGGATAATGCATATTCTCTTAGGAGCAGAGCTTGTGAAAGCTCACAGCACACTGTTAGTGAAGCAAGCAATATGCAGAGTGTTATTTCAAGTCATGATGCTCTGTCTGAAAAAGCCAAGAGTAGACAGATCGAACTGAATAAGTATGAAGATTCCAAGCATTTAGAAGGTCATGATGACAATACATCTTGTATTAGTAGAGCCAGTGATACTAATTTAGTGAATGGAAGTCATCAAAGGAATGAAGAGCAAACTATAATGCATGTGGAAAGGGATTCATGTTCACCTGTGTCAGAAAAATTGTCAGATTGCTCCATTGGGAATTTTAGTTCATCATTGACCAAAGAGAGGGAACATGTTGTTTCTGGTGAGAAATGTATTGCTGTTAAGGATGGCCTTATTGAAAGTACTTCCAACATTTCACTAAAAGTATGTCCAAAGATAGAATCAGATACTGATGTCTGCGGAGCTAACAATGAAGATCCTAAATGTTCAGTCCCAGATGGACAATGTGAGAAAGCTGCAGAGCTGGTTAAGTCGCCTGCCAAGCAGGAACCTCAATCTGATGACGAGAGTGATGAATCAGATGTTGTGGAGCATGATGTGAGTATCTTTTCTTTTCTCTCTGATAGTTTTTTTTTTTTTTTTTACTGAACGAAATTTGATTGAGATGAAAATGCAAGGAGTCAATTGCAATGGCATATATGGGGATGCATAACCTCAAATTCCATTTTTGATTACATTGTCTGGTAAATAGGTAAAGGTGTGTGACATCTGTGGAGATGCTGGTCGTGAGGATCTACTTGCCATATGTAGTAGGTGCAGTGATGGTGCAGAGCACACGTATGGATAAGAAACTTTCACCTTATTTTGAGTTTCTATTATATTGTTGCAAATTCCTTTCTCTAATGATTACAATGGATTTTACCATAATTATTTCTTTGAATCAGATACTGCATGCGAGAAATGCTTGATAAAGTCCCTGAAGGGGATTGGTTATGTGAAGAATGCAAAGATGCAGAGGAGAATGAAAATAAGAAACTGGGTAAGAGTGAAGTTGCATATCATATCACAAGAAAGACATTTTTGGATCTGAGATTTTACGCACCCTTTGTTCCTTCTGTGAACTGAATTTGCATGATCTATTGTTGATTGCATAAACATTCAAGCACCCGTATCTACATACATTTATGGTGCTGACATTTGTGGAATTGAATTTTGTGGTTCAGATGTTGAAGACAAAAAAATTGTTGAAGTTAGTTCAACCTCACAAGTTTCTAGCAAAAGACTTTCAGATAACATTGAAGTAGCTCCAGCAGCAAAAAGACAAGCTCTTGAATCAAATACAGGATCACCAAAGACGTCAAGCCCCAAGAGATTAGTACCACTATCCCGGGAATCTTCATTTAAGAGCTTAAATAAATCTAAAGTGAAGCCTGGTCTTGTTATACCCAGTCGAAACAACTCTGGTGGTAGTGACACAGAGATTGTTCGCTCTCCTTCCGTTGGTCCCCGGGGACAAACTGCAAAGGGTATGTATGGATTTATTTTTCATGTTGTACTTCACTGCAACATTCTATATTTTCAGTGCGTCTTCAGGTCTTTCGAGCTACTAGGTCCCTTAATGATTTTGTGTTGTATATCATGGAGTTTCATTTATTCCAAGCACAAATTGTTTCTTATGAATAGGTATGTTGATGAAGTCTAATTCATTCAACAACATAAATTCCAAGCCAAGAGTCAAACTTGTAGATGAAGTTGTTCCTCAAAAACTAAAAGGGGGTCATGAACATGCTTCAAAGAACATGGAGATACCTGCTCGGATGACTGGCAAATCAACATTATTCAAATCTTCAAGTTTGGGCCGAACAAATGCAACTGAATCAAAAGTTAAAATGCTTTCACCCAAGGCCGCAACTACACAGGATTTAAAAGGATCTAGACATTTAAAAGATTCAGGTGCATTTGACAGGAAAATTCCATCTAGGATTGATCGGTCTGTGGTTAGTTCTGTTGTTTCTACTCCTAAGGGTGATCAAAGGCTTACACCTCGTGCTGAATCCAGTAAACCTTCATCATTGAACAACAATAGAGAGTTGAAGGCTAATCAGGACGGAAAATCAAGTGCATTATCAAGGTCAATGAGTAATATAAACCGGAAAAGTTTGGAGCCTCAAGTTATTTCAGGTGTAATCTCTATTCCTGCTATTGTGTTTTCTTTGGGGACAGGGGTTAGTTTGCTGCTCTTGATATTTTAGTTTCATTTTCAGGTGTGGCATCCTTCCTTCAGTACTAGGTTTTGTGTTCAAAGTGTGCTATTTTATAATATTATTTCTTTTTTTCTTTGAAATTTACAGAGAGAACATCAACCCGTGTTGATGAAGCTCAACAGGATGTGATTCCTCGAACACGGGAGACAGCTAATCAGATTGAGAAAAGCAGAGATAGTTCTAGTGATCGGGGAAGGCCTGCTGTTCCTACTTCAAAAAACCCATTTGGCCATGCTATGGAATGTTGCACCGCTGGCACTACTCAGGAATCTGGTGCTGAAATATCTGTAACTACCTCAAGTAGTTCAAAAGAGGAGGCACATAAAGACAATATATTGAAAGCTGCTATCCAGGCTGCATTGCTTAGAAGGCCTGAAATTTACAAAAAGAAAGAAGTGTCTAACCAAACTGACGAGGTTTCTACTTCAGCCACGGAGTTGAATTGTGAAGTAACTTCAAAAGACCAAGTCTTGGTTACCAGCACACTGAAGAATAGTATTTCTGTTGAAGAAACCCATGAACAACAGGAAATCCTTGAGAATTCTACATCAGATTCTTCCAAATGTTCATCTGCCAACGATTTGAAGCAAATCAAGTCTTGTCCAACTGACTTTCCATCCCAACCAGGAAAGTCTGGTTCCATTTGTGTTGAAGCTGGAAAACTAGTGAGAGACATGTCTGATAAAGCCGTGACATTGTCAATTGTTCCTTCCAAGATGTTGGCCTTTCCTGAATACGAATACATCTGGCAGTATGGAACATCTTATGATGAAACTAGCTTGTCTCTAGTGTTGGATTGCTCTTAGTGTTTTAATTGTCATGTTTCACAAAATACTTAAGCTTTGTTGTTTGCTTGCAGGGGTGTCTTTGAAGTGCATAGAAATGGAAAGCCTCCTGATTTATACACCGGACTTCAGGCGCATTTATCCTCTTGTGCTTCTCCTAAGGTTCTTGGAGCAGTGAAGAAGTTTCTACCAAAAGTTCCCCTTAATGAAGCTTCTCGTTTGAGCATGTGGCCTTCACAATTTCATCATGGTGGTCTTAGTGAACATAATATAGCTCTTTACTTCTTTGCCAGGGATGTTGAAAGGCATGTATATCTATATTATTCTTATTTCGACTGTAGACCATTACATGTAAATATCTATTTCTTTTCTTTACTGTAATTATTGACCTGTTAATAATATTCTGACACAGTTACGAGAAACACTACAAAGGTCTTTTGGATCACATGATTAGAAATGACTTAGCACTGAAAGGATCTTTTGAGGATGTCGAACTGCTGATATTCCCTTCCAACCAGCTTCCTGAAAATTCACAGCGTAAGGAATTATGCCATACCTTTGTCAAACAATCTAACATTCTAAGCAATGCATGCAAGGTTACGTGCAAGATTGGGGCTTGGTTTGAAGTTTATGCCCTGATAAGTGTTCATGGGCTGCTGATATTATTTCATATGCAATTTTGAAATGTCATGGGTAAAGATGATTTGAGAATTCTCCAATAAGAATATCGTTCTTCTGTTCTAGAGTGCACCTTATGTGTATTTGTTTTTGGTAAATTGTTAATTGTCATTTGCCTGAGTGGTGATCTCATTTATTTTAATTCATTATCTATATTGCTTTTTATATTATGTCAGCATTCTGAATGGGACTAGTATCTATAATATGCATTAAGGTTGCAAAAAATAAGAATGTTCTATATTGAATTTGGACCAAGTCAAAAACAATAATTTGATAGTGCCTTCTGTAGACTTCAGTTTGTCACTATGCTAAATTTTGGTCAGTCTTAGGTTTCCATATTGATCATTATTGGGTGTTACATATAAAATAATTCTCGAGCCTTAACCTAATAACTTGGGCTTTTGGGAGGGTGCTCAATTGGTATTAGATCCTTCAATTTTGTCTCTTAGTTGCAAACATGAAGCAGACTTGGTGACTCTAGCATTTTCATTTTGCCTATGACTTCTCAAAAGAATAGTGTACAGTCAGCTAGTGTGTGGGCCTAGGCGGCAGCTTGGTGGAATGTTAGGATTCAATTACAAGGTTGGAAAATGATCCCCACATTAAAAGGATGGGACTTTGATGTGGCAATTGGTTTATTTTGCACACCACAGTGGGTGGCTAGCTTTTGTGTTGTGATTGTCCCAGTGTTTGTATCAATTCCTTTTATAATGCAGTGGTCATGAATTCAATCTTGCTTGTCATTCTTCTGATAAAAGTTGAAGTTAATCATATGATAGGTGTGGCCATGCATTGCCCATTTTTTAAGGAGACATGTTAGATGTAATCACTAAATTGCTTAGGCTTTTGGTGGAGAGTTCGTCCTTGACAATTGGGCATACTTGGCTTGCAGTTTTGATGACTGATTATGTAACTGTTTCTAAAAAGAAAATTATTGTTTAAATTCACTGTCACTTGCTTAGAATGCTAATGATCCTATTTTTTGGCAGGCTGGAATATGTTGTTTTTCTTGTGGGGCGTGTTTAGGGGAAGGAAGATCAATAATTCAGATTCTGCAAAAAAGATTTGTATTCCCAGTTTGAATGTAATGCCAGTTGAGGAGAAATCTTCAACTGCTGTTTTGTCTGTGCCTGAAACGTATTGTTTGCCAAAGTGCAAGGATGAAGAAACAATGGATCGTCATAAAGCATGCAATGCACTTGTACCATTCAATTGCATAGACAAACGTCCAACTACCGGAAGTAGGAATATTGATGTCAATGACCAGACACCTTTGGATTCACAAGTGAACATGGAGAGGCTAGATAGTAGGATTGAAACAAAATCTACATCAAGGGCTCCAACTAGCACTACATTGTTATGTCAAGAAATGAAACCCCTGGTAATGCTTTTATCCTTAAATACATACAAATTTGATAGACTGAATAGTTTGTTTTCCAATTGATAAACATGTAATACTTGAATGTGTCTGTGATGTCAACACTCTGATCTGGTTATGTTTCTTCATACTATGTAAAAGCTTGAAGCAATGCTGTTAGTGGCTTATGGCAACAAGTCAGAAAAAGGCCAAAAAATATAGTGGATGGTGTTGTGGCGAATGGCTGTATGTATGTCAGGATGAAATCCTTTAAGAGAATTTCCGCTTTTATATCTATAACATTTTTTTTGCTTGTAAACTATGCTGTGAATTATAGAGAACGCTATTTTTGTGAAGAGTAGTTGTTATCATTGATCCAAATCTACTCAGTTTGTTGAAAGATGTTTTTGCTCTGTGCAGAAAGCTAGTGTACCTGAACAAAGACATTGCAAAGAGTCTAAACTTCCTGAAGCTATGGGAAAAAGTTCAAGCAGCAGGATTGTGGAAGCAAAAACTCATTCTGATATTCCTGTTAAGCAAGAGAAAACTTTGTCTGTGATTCCTTCTGAAAAAGGTGCTGCAAGCAGCAATATTACTAAGGATAACATTTCTGAGAAAATAACCAGTGATGAAGACCAGCAAAGGCATAAGGAGAAACAAAAAGAGTATTGTCACTATAATATTGATTTGGAGGCGAAGATTGACAACGAAGAAACAGGTGATGCAACCGATTTGAGTAAGGTTAAAAAGGCAATACAAGTTATTGGTAATGTAGATCAGAAAGGGGCTATGAGGAAACAGAAAGATGGTCATTATATTGACTTGGAGGTAACACTTGAAGATGAAGAAACAGGTTTTGTAAGCAATATGTGTGAGGATAAAATGTCAGAAAAACTGGATGTTGAGGAAGACTGGCAATGTCCTAAGAGGAAACGGAAAGATGATCACTGTATTGACTTGGAAGCAACTTTTCAGGGAGGCCCAAGTGTAGAAGGGATCAACTGTCAGCTACCTATTGATAAAGTTAAGCATGCAGCTCTTTCTGACACAATTATGCAGGGTTCAATTGTCAGTTGTCAGAAAATGCCTTGGAGTCAAGGAAATCCCATGTTAGAAGACAGAGAAACTTCTGGCAAGAAGCTTAGGACAGGTTTCGGTGGGATCTATTGTTCTGGAGGTAGAGACTCTTTTAATGACAGTTTTACATCTCTTGGAAATGATCTCGGTTCCTGTTCTTCTGTTGAGGACAAAGGATGTGAGGAGGCTTGTGATGAGAAAATCATCCGGGAGGACTTGGGAACGATGGAAAGAACCTTCTTTCCAGTCGGCACACAGACTATTAGCAACTCACTTTCTGTGCTGAATAGCTTATCGTCGACCAAAGGGGTTGGTGAGTACGATAAAGGATTTCAGGATGGGATTCCCAATCTAGAACTCGCCTTAGGAGGCAAATCAAAAGCACCACTGCCACCAGCTGCACCTAAGGGTATGCTGCCTTTCTTAGTGGGGCCAGTAGACAGGCAGAATAACCGCCCAGATATCTTGGGAGATGGGCAGGAGGATGATGGTGTTGCTGCATCTCTTTCCCTTTCTTTGTCCTTTCCATCTCCAAACAAGGAACACATAAAACCTGCAGAGCTTTTACCTGATGGGCAGCGTATGAACAACTCGTTTTTCCTCTTTGGGAGAAAATAAATGTATGATGGAATCATGTAAATTATCTTAAATCTTGTTCCGGATGGCCCAGCCTGTATGATAGATAGATATAATCTTCCAGCCCCTCCCTCCCCACACAAAGAAGGAGCCGTTGTCCTCAACAAGAGTCAATAATTTTTCTTTTCTTTTTTAAATCCTTTGTCACATACATGTTTTTATGTTAGCTTTTTTTGTTTTCAGAATGCATAGTTAACGGCTGTTTGTATATATAGAGAAAATTGAAGCCGGCATAATTTCAGATATGTTACTAGGAACTTGCGGATGACTATTTTTATGGCAGGGTTCCCTCTGTTCCTGGCTCCATGCTCTCTCTGTTTTCATCGTTATCCTTGGTAAGCTCTTAATTATTGAATAAGTTCTATCTTGAAATTAAATTTTTTTTTCTGCAAGTCGTGTTTATGATTTCGGCGCTTGATTGTTCCCATCGATAATTATACGATTTTAGAGATACATCTTAATGGCAGTGTTGCAACGCTGTTTTGTTTTCTGGCAATGTGATTTGTGGTATATGCATTAAACAACAGCCATTGCCAGAAGAGATTATTTTACGCGATCATAGCAGTCCTTAACAATTCAAGATGACTTTTGAGTTCAAAAGAATCCACTAATTTCTATTATATTTTGTTCTGCACCTGTTGTATCTAAAACTCCAAGGAGATGATATTATGAAGGTACCAGGGAAGACCTTCAGAGAAAATACACGACGTCAAATACCTAAAATTACTTTTCAATAACTTCTATTTTTTATATTTAAGATGATAAAGATATAATCAAACACACAATATATAAGACGAATGATTACAAGATCTTTACGTTTATATCATCTTTCATTAAATAATAGAAACTAGCAATATGTTCTGTGGATCAACTTTGAAACGTTAAGCTAACTAAGTGATATTCTATTTAATATTCGTATAACTTAAAAAATATTAATATTTCATAATATTAATATAAAAAAATTGAAAGAACGCCTTTTGATAATAAGTTTGTATTTATTTCTTTGATAATACCGAGAAACTTAATATATATTTAGAATTATGTACGAGTAAAGGTATATTTTTTCACAATACTTTCTTATATACTCTAGAAAATTATTTTTTTTAAATTACCCTTAAAATAAATCTGTCACATTACAAATATTTTTGAGTTTTTTTTTTATAAAAAAATTCCTTGTAATGATTATTTAAAATTGTGTGAATTTTTGAATTCTTTTAAGTTGTCTATATTTTTTTTATTCTGAGAGTAAAATGTTATATTAATTTGTTACTAGTGATATGATACTTAAGCACTACGAGACACTTTTAATGTAATAAAAAAACTTAAATAAATATTTTTTATTATAATGTTTGAACTTATTCATCTTATATTTTTAAGTGTAAAGTTTGAGATCAATAAAAAGGAAAAATTTGTGACTGACATGAAAATAAAGAAAAGTAAGATGATTTGGGATACTAACAATATTCGTAATTTTAATAATTTTTATACCTGAAAAAAATTATTATCCTACAATGAGTACAAAGTATATTTTGTATGTGAATTGAAAAATATTTTTATGAATCAAAATGATTATTTCTTTAAAAAATAATAATGAATATATAAATTGAGAAATTTATGGTATTGGGTGAAGACTAAAATTGAAATATTAGTTGCAGATGAAATATTTATCGGAAGGTAATGGAAATGCAGATAGATAGATAGATAAATAAACAAAAAAAAAAAAAAATTGTGGTGATGAAGTGTGATTATTTTATAGAGAATAAACAATAAATAAAACTATCTTCACACCGCAACCTCTCTCTCTCTCTCACTCCCTCTTCACACCCACTCCCTCTGTTTCACTCTCTTTCTCTCATGGCAACTTGTTTCGCACCCTTCTCCATTTCTGGTGATTCAATTTCTCTGTCTTCCTATTAATCCTTTACTTCTAATGCTGCATCAGAACATTTTTCCTTTTTATGATTGTTTTTCACTCATTAGTCCTTTGATTTTTAGGGTTTTTTTCCTTCTAGTTTTGTTAATTTGAATTATTTTTTATAATTGACATCAGCGAATTCAGAATATCTGTAGAGTTAGGCCTATTATTTTTCTTCTTGAGTTCAAATTTTGAATAAATATTGGTATTCTTGTATTTTTCGGGGAATTTAATTTGGAAGTAGGAGGATCTCATGTGAAGTCTGGTGAGCCGTTGTTAACAAAGCCTGACTCGTGTGGGATTGGACCTAAGCTCACTGTTCAAAGGAGATCAAACCTTGTGATCAAGAAGAACAACCGATCTTCATCAATTTGTGCTGAATACCGGTATGCCATTTTCACCTCATTTTTGTATTTTTTTGGGCTTATTAGAAATTCAGCTAAAAAACATCAATTTATTATGTTTTAACATAAATCAAATCATTATTTCCCTTGCCAGCCTACTTATTGTTCCAGATGGCTCTGTAATTTTATGCATATAAGTGGAGGTGTCCTTAAATATAGAGTTTCAGGAATCTGTATTTTGTTTTTGGTATGCGCACAAAGTCGATGCTTTCCATGTATTAGAAGAAAAAAAAAATTAATAGTTGAAGATCGCACCGCTTAGATATATAGTCAAATTATAGTATATTAGGAAGTATGAACCCTGATCTTTCATGTCAGTTTTTGTAGGATTGAGACAGATCCAAATCTACTTTTAATATGATATCAGACCAATATCTAGTCCTGCGCTGATATCCAATCTTCGGCTAATTTCTTTTCTTATAATAACCACTTTTGTGCTAACTTTCATTTCATGATTCTTGAGATTATTTTGGTGCCGATTGTCTTTTTTAAATTCAGGGTCCTTGGAGAAATGGTTGGAATTTGTAGTCAACCTATCTTATTGGTTGGTTGCTTTGGGAGATTTTGTGAAGATTTATCATTGTTTCCATTTGTTGTTTCCCTTGTTTAGTGATAATAGAGGAGGTGGAGGTGGGGATTTTCTTGCTGGATTCCTTCTGGGTGGTGCAATTTTTGGAACTGCAGCATATATCTTTGCTCCCCAGGTGATTCCTTCTTACTTTAATTTTAAATTTATTAAAGACTAGAAAATGTAACTGAATAATGATGATGAACAAGACTGATTATACAATTAAAAATAGGGATAGAAGATACATTAACTGTGTGGTTGATAACTTCTTTCGAAAAGAAAGCCTTTTATTTCTTCACTATACAAGGAAATGAAGTCATACTGGAGTCACTCAACAATGGACTTGCAATTGTAAAATAAATCATTGCTGTTTCATAACAAAGTGGGACATTTGTTTCATGCTCCAATGAATAATTTGCTTTGCTTTTTCGAAGGAGAGAAAGATAATTAGTGAATTTTCTTTTGTATATGCTATATTGATGATGATATCAATATGTTTTTCGATGATAAGCTAGAGTCATGAATATTATTTTTATTGACAAATTTGAAAAAATGTCTACATACTGTCCCTAACCTTCCTTCTTCAAAATCCAGTCTTATTGTTATGTCTGAGTACTATAAACATTCTCTAGGCAAAGCTCTGAATGTTTTTTTTTGGAGTTGATTTGCACTATTTTTTAACAAGAAGAGTCATATTTGCATTATTTGTCTTATTGTCGTACTCCTATTACCTCTATTTCTATTTACATTCATGACATTCCTATATTTTTATCGCTCTTAAAAGATGATTTTGAGTTTGGGTGTTGTTGACTGTATTTTGTGATGCAGATTAGAAGATCTCTGCTAAATGAAGATGAATATGGGTTTCGAAAGGCGAAAAGACCAATATATTACGATGAGGGATTAGAGGTAACAAGGCTTCATTTTGGCTTTGGATTCAACTTTGTTATTGGAATATGCTGAGCTCGTTACTGTTATTTTTGAAAGCAGAGGACCAGACAGACCTTAAACGAGAAGATAGGCCAACTAAATTCTGCCATTGATAATGTATCTTCCCGTTTGAGAGGTGGCAACAACGTACCTGCTGCAAAGATAGAAACTGATCCTGAGGTGGAAGCAACCATGTAAAACGCATTCAGTTTCTTAATGTGCTCAATGATGTTTTAATTTCGTGAAATATAGCGAATTGAAATTTAGTGTTTTTTTTTTTTTGACGGATTGGAGGATACAAGTCTTGCTGCTGAAACAATATAGTTTTTTTTTAAGGCTGGATTATATTAACTTTCTCCCCCTTTTGATAATGGATGACTTTTGTTTCTGTGGATTATGCAGTTTGGATTGTGTAATCGTACTTGGCGTTATTTTGATAACTACGTTGATAAAATTAACAAAGAAACCAACCAAAGTCAATAATAAAGTAACATAACAACAACAAAATGTTGCTGTCAAAGCAATAATTGTAACACCCACCCAAAATGTAACATTATATTTCAATGCAATATAAAATGTTTCCATGGTTAATCAGACGAAAAGTGACATGCCAAGAAAAATTTATGTGAATGATACATTTTCTCTATCCGTTAACAATGTGTGCAAAATGAAAAGAGAAACAATGGTGCAAATCAATATTCTGGAAGAGGCATTTAGACTGGGAACGAAAATTGTTCACAAATTCGTGACTATTTTCCATAGTCAGCCAAAACCAATGTGGGAAATGACGATTTGACAACAGAACAAAATTAAGTGGTAAATTAAAATTTAAGAAACTTTTTATTATCATATATATATATATATATATATATATATAAATACTATTTAATTAAAAGCATACATTGTTTCAGTAAGAATCTAGGAGGCATATTGCATTTTTTTTATATCTGAGCATCATTATGTCCTTTAATTACTATGTAAAATGCATTGTATAACCCAGTGTAATCAGCATATTCTCCATACTGGAATCGAATGTCCCCACTCCATTTTAAATTGGCTATTCTGATTTTTTTTGTCTTGAGCTTCATTGTTCAATCTAATTCACTTCTGATTCCTTGGAATTACATGCTCACACAGAAATTAAAGTCTGGATAGCCTTCAGAAAAAAAAAAGGAAAAAGAAAATAATGGATCATCATAAAATACTTTTGCAACCATGTTGTATTTAATATGCCTATACCATTCATCGTCATGTACTTTATACGTGTAACGTGAGGGAGAACTGCAGAATAAGAAATCCAATGTACAAGGTTGATCTTCTGTTATTATTGAGCAAATTAACTAAACAAAAAAACAATGGCAATCGTAGAAGCCTGATAGTCGACCATGATGCAAGTGCAACGGAGTGGCAAACATCTCAAATTATTTGTTAAAAATTAATTACTAATCAAATGACATGAGTATGATGGTTATATATATATTTTTCTTTCCCTTTTCATTTCTTATTCTTAATAAGGTACCAAGGACAATTGGACAAAGTTTTTTGTTTGTTCAGTGTCTTCCTTTCAGAATTATTGGGCTTAGCATCCCTTTCCCAATGCCTTCCAGGGCTAACCGTGGAACGACCTAATTAGTTATTAACCAAATTAAATTAAAAAAAGAGAGTTTATGTGTGACCTATTGTCTAAAATCAAACTAAATCAAAACACCCGTAGAAACCATAAAAAATCACTTTTTATCGAACATTTAGGGTTTGTTTAGATACACACTATAAATAAGTGTTTCTACAAAAAAATATAAACTCAGCATTGGAGAACTATGAACCTAGCCCAAAATGTGAATCAATAAAACAACAGGTTCTTCAAGTTGTAATAACCTAGTGTAATTCCAGGGGTGTGCAAAACTCACTATCTTAAAGTTTGTGCAAATCAAAGAGAAATTCGACCATTTTAGCATTTTCATCAAACTGTAAACTTGCCTAAATAGAGTTTCATTGCATGGTTCATTCATGTTTGATACTATTAAAAGGTTTATTAGCAAATCAAGCATAAGCACTAACAAAGCAACATTGATTGGCTGAAAGGGAGGATATCGAGCACCATTCCAAATGATCATCATGCACAAAATAACTTACAGGATGCCAGACAGATTCATAACTGACATATTTAGCATTTATAAATCATAGCTCAAGGATTTTGATAACATTTATAAGATGGAATGGATGTATTATATTTGCTTTAGAGGAGGACAGCCATCCAACACGGAGGGTAATAGTTGGATCTCAGAAACATTGCAGCTCCCTCTCCATGGTTGTTTTGGAAGTAATCCTGTTCCATGTTCAGTAAATTTGCCATGGTCTTCAATGCTTAAAAGTGTTTCAGTTAGCAGTCACATTCCCACTCAACGACAATTTCATCTTTCAATATGTTCAACAATGACAGCAAAGGAAGACAAGCACAACAACACAATCATATGAGCACTCAATTTTCCGGGTTATGGAGCTTAAAAATGTATTCAGAAGCACTTAGTGCGAGGTTATGAAGTAACTATACAAGTGAGTCCCAATGTGCCCTCTCAAATTGAGGAAAAACCCACATAAACTTTAAAATAGAGCGCCTAACAGCATGAATACACCAAGAAAGTGTAATGACTATTGCTGACATTTTTTTTATTAAAACTGTTCCTTACATAATAAACATTATAAAACTAGTACTATTACAAAAACTTACTAACTGCTTGCATAATTATCCTAAATTTCTAAAATACTGTTTCAATATTTGTAGTTTCCAAAATTCAAATTCATCACAGATTTTTACATCAGCGACAGGATTAAGACTGAAATTTCAAGCCATAACCTAGGGGGGAAAAGACAGCCTTACAAACGCCATCAGACAAGAGCCCCAATGCCTACCATATTCGACATACATAAGAAATAGGCCCATTCCTGTGTGGAGAACAGCGAGAGAAAGGGAGAAGCAACGGCAGACAAAAGAGCTTGGGTTGGAGGTTTAGCTAGTGGAGGTTCAGATCAAAACAGAGATAAGAAGTGGTGTGAATAGCACTGGCAGAATCATGACAGAGATTGAAAGGTCGGCATTGGGATTTTGGAAACTTGGGTTCGAGTTTTTACACCAAATGGCAAAATAGGAGACAATGAAAAGCAGCAGCAGAAAGAGGGGCAAGTGGCCAGACAGAGGTGGGTTGGAGTCTGCCAGAGCACCCGAAGAGATAGGGCAGTTGCTCTGTGGACAAAATTGGAAAATCAGAGGATGGCTAATGAAGGAAAAGGAGAGGTGCACAATGCATTGGTTTATGATGCCTTATCTACAGTAACCCCACACAAGCTCTGCATATCCAATTGTCCATATAGAATTATGGACGATGATTCCACACTGTGATTGATGCAGCATTAATAAAAATTAAGCCGCTGAGACTTGAAACAAACTAAGCTGAAATCACCAATAATCAGAGCAAGAACATTCCCCCGAACTAATATGATGAAACCTCTTGGCATCTCTAACAACTAATTCACGACCAGTTACTATTGAGACTCTTTTTGCAAAATCATGGCAGTCTTTGCATGATCGTGTATTTTTGAATACCAGAATGGGGGTCTCAGCTGTGGTACATATGAGACCATAGGCTATAGCTAGTCTCTCACTATGATCAAGAAGCTGCTCTTTGCGTTCAGTAAAGTCAAATACAGCATCCTCATCATTGAGAAGGCAGTCCTCACCCCTTTTGAAAGAAAGATTGAGTTCTTTTAATTTTGAGTATATTTGTTCTGTTTGAGGGTGGTGTCTATCACCTACCACAAAACGGTGGACTTCACCCTTCACAATAATCCAGCTGCAACTGACTTCCTTCCTCAAGTTCCTTTCAGCCATCATCTTCCTAAATTGGGCTGCCTCATCCCATTTCCCAGCTAAAGCACACAAGTTGAACATGATCACATAAGTAGCAGAGTCTAGTGGGTCAAGACGAAAGATGTTCTCAGCGGCAATCATTCCAATCTCAAGATTCTGATGGCTCCAACTTCCTCCTAATAAACATTTCCAACTCGTCACGTCAGGTTCAAATGGCAGACTCCTTATCATCTCATGAGCCTCCTGTAGTAGTCCAGCACGAGAGTATATATCAATCATGCAATTGTAATGATCAATTGTTGGGTTCACACCATATTTGTCGCTCATTGAATCCAAAAATTGCTTCCCCTCCTTAACTAAACCTGAGTGGCTACAAGCATTTAACAAACCTATGAATGTGACCTCATTTGGCCTTACACCAGACCTCTGCATCTCTTTAAAAAGCGTTAAAGCTTCAGAAGCTTTGCCATGGTAAGCATGAGCACATATTATTGCAGTCCATGCAACAGTATCAGGTTTAACTATTGTCGAAAATGCTTGATGTGCGTTATCTACTTTGCCACATTTTGAGTACATGGTGATCATAGCACTCTCCCCAGATAGGTATGCAACTAGCCCCTTTTTTATTGCATCTGCATGGATTTGAGAACCGGAGATCAAATCTGAGACAGCAGAACATGCTTGGAAAATGTTGGTATAGATGAATGAATTCAATAACACCCCTTTACTTCTTATTGTCTTAAAAACCTCTAGAGCCATGTCAAATCTACCACTTTGGCAATATCCAGCAATTAAAGCACTCCACGAGAAATCATTGGGTTCAAATATGCTCTCAAAAGCTCGACGTGCAGCCTCAAATCTTGTACACTTGACATAAAAGTCCACAAGTGGAGTACCAACTGAGACCTCAGATTCCAAACCAAGTTTTATACAGTAACTATGAATTTGCCTTCCGGTAAATAAGTCTCCTAAAGCAGCACAAGCCTTGAGCACAATAGAAAAGACAAACTCATCCAACTCTACACCTTCATTTATCATCTTGGCAAATAACAACAGAGCATCACTGTGCCTTGCAGCTTGTGTATAGCCCACCATCAACCCAGTGCATGCAACAGCATTTTTCCTAGTCATCTTATTCAGTGCAACTTCAGCACCATCCAACCACCCACACTTGACGTACATATTGGAGATTAACGTCTCAATAGAAATATCAGCAGCAAACCCAATCCTTATCAGCTGAGAATGTAACTGTTTGGCAATGTCTAACATTGAAGGATCTGCAAAAGACATAATAAGTGTACTGAAGATAGAGGAGTTGGGTATAATCCCCAAATCCAGCATACGCAAGAGTAATCTAACAGCGTCATCTATATGCCCTTCCTTTGTGTAAGCACATATAATGGTGGCCCAAGAGAACAAGTCCCTATCAACCATTTCATCGAAGAATTTCTCTGCAGTTGTGAAACTCTTACAGTCACAATACATTTGAAGGATGCAATTGTCAACGAAATTATTGTTGTTGGACATTCTCTTTAGTCTATTATGCAATAATTTTCCATCGGACAATGCTCTCAGTGTTCCACACATTTTAAAGAGGGATTCGTAAGATTGAGGATTAATGGAAATACCCTCTCTGTCCATTCTTTCAATGAATTCATGCACTTCTCTAACCTTTCCTTGTTTGGTTAAAGAAATCAAATGCAAGTTTTCCACTTGGCCATTTTTATTTTGATTGGTCTTCAATGAAGAATGACTACTTTTTAAAGAGACCCATGAAGGGATTTGAGCAAAATTAGCATGTCTCACATTATTAATTTTATCATTAGCCACCACTACTGGTGAAGAATTGGAAAGCACACTAGAGCACTGGCAAGTTATTGAATACATTTACTTTGTTTGAGATCAGAAAGTGTATCCCTGTACAACTATGGTCAGATCCAACAAGATAACCCAGTCCAAGAAAACAAGTCAACGGTACAGATTCCACACACACCCAATAACATTTACATACTAGCAACCTGAGTATTCTATCTGATTCCTTATGTTATGACGCCTGATCTGATCAGAAAAGAGAGGGAGAGAATCAGGGGTTAGATAAAAACCTAAGAAAAAGGCAAGCAGTGGCTTAGTCAGTATGCCAGAAGTTCCAGTCACTTCATTGATTTAAGTCTTGTTTATATAAACTTCATGCAAAACTAACGAAGAAAACAAGAAGGTAAAAATGTAAAATGAATTGAGTTTCTCTATGCAATTTAACTTTTACGCAAGTTTTCCCACTTAACTATTTGAAAAGTTGAGGTGACAAGTTGATTTTAACTTGTGGTAGAAACTTGATTCATTTTAGCTTTGCATTTTTATGTAGAAGTTAATCCAAACTAGGTCTAAGATGTTTGCCAAACAATCTTATAAATTTGATTTAGTTTATCATTGAACTTCACGCGGCTGACATAAAATTTTCAATATGCGTAAAGCAGTTTAAAAGAAGCTTCAAATATCAACGCATTCCAGTTCTTACAACATATGTAATTGAGCAGCCAAAGCAAAAAAATAAAAATTCAATTCAGTACAAAAGTAGGTCAATGAACACTGAATTGAATGGAAAACAAACAGAGAGAACCTGTTGATTGGTGATGGTTCGAGAGATTCGGTAGAAGCTTCCTCGCTCATTCATTCTCAGCATCGCCGCTTCTGAGTTTCAAAGTTTTTTTCCGTTTCAAATTCATCCAAATCATTTTCTTCTTCGAAGCTTTTCAAAATTCGTTTCCTATTTTTATTTATTCTGAAACACTTCCACATCAAAATATTGCAATTTCAGAACATCTATTTCATACTTCATACTTCATAATACATTTTAAATTAATTAGCAAATTTTTTTTTAAATAAATCTCGTTATTTTATGTCATCAAAATATCATATTTTTAGCATATTTATTTTCTAACACATTAAAAGATTACTACGAAGAAATATTATCCACACTTTGTGTATAAATCTTGTTTTTTTTTAATATTATGAAGTATTTTTTAATTTTGATAACAATAATTTAATATGCTGAAATTGACTATACTTAAATAAATAAAATATTTTTTAAAATCCAAGATAAATTATTATTATTATTATAATTTAATGATTAGTATAAATTATTAAACTATAAACAATTAAATGAAAAAAAAAACAACTTTTTAACTTTATATATATATATATATATAGGATCACTTATTAAACGAAAAATAAAAAAGAAATAAAGATTTACTTTCATTATTATTTATTTTATTAATTTATAAAAAACAATTATAAAAATTAATAATAATTTTTAAATTTTTATTTTAAAAATAAGTGAATAATACATTTTCAAATATATATTAAAGAAATTAAGAGTTAAAAAATTGTTTTTAATTTTTAATTAATAATAATTTATTTTAACTATTAAATTATAATATAATAATATAATGAAGATAGAAATAAAATATTCATTTATTCATTATTTTTTAAAATAATTTTTATTTTCAGTAATTATTTGTTAAAAAAATTTAAAATTTTAGATTTTTATTTTATTTTTTAAAACTAAAAAATGAAAATAAGAAAAATTATTAATATTATTTATATTTCCATAATTACATTTGGGTCTTGAAATATATATGCATAATAAATGCTGACTAATGTTTTCAGATGTCTACATCTCAACCGTCCAATTGTCAATCATGTAAATGCACTGTTTCCAATCCTAATCTCAATCTTTTCTCTTTTTTCTACCCAACCAAAATAGGGAAATACTACTCTACTACTACTACTACCTATCTCTCTAGAATTTATGCACAATTTATTAACATATTCATTTCAATTTCACGACCAAACTAACACTAAATTACAAAATAAACATAACCAAACACATACTTTATATAAAATTAAAGTCTAACCATGATGTAACTCTTTATATTATTAAACATACAAATAAATAACTAATGTATCTTCAAAATAATTATTACAAATTTATTATTATATACACATAATTTTTAGATTGTCTTTATAATATTTTTATTACACCTCCTATTTTTATGAAATAATTAATAATAAAGTAGGACATCAATTGTTGATTGTGGAATAGGTACGGTGCTTGGTTTGGGTTGGGAATGAGGTTTGGATGTAGACTTTGTAGAAAGCCGAAATAATAAACACTAGCTTTACTTTCTCCTTTCATCATCTCCACCCACCACTACAAACTTGTAGCTCCATTCCTGTTTTTCTTACAAACTTTTTCCCTTCTCTCTCCTCTCTACCATACCATAACATATCATATTCACACAAACATCTCTTTTCTCATTTGTGTTTCTGCCATAAGAGAAATCAAATCCAAAAGTACATCAACAACAAGAATCATCATGGTTAGTAGTATTATTAGTACCAACATCAATGTAAACCACACGTGTGCATTTCTTTTTTTCTTTTTTCTTGTGTGTTTGCTAATTGTTCTTTGTTGTTGATTGTATTGTATGGAATTAGGGGAGTGGAAGAGGTGCAACTGGGGTGATGAAAGGTTCCAATGAAGAAGATGTTATTGGAAAGAATGAGGAAGAAAAGTGGCCACCATGGATTAGGCCACTTCTCCAAACAAGTTTCTTTGTTCAATGCAAAGTTCACTCAGATTCCCACAAAAGTGAATGCAACATGTATTGTTTGGACTGTATGAATGGAGCCCTTTGCTCTGCCTGTCTTGCTTCTCACAGAGAACACAGAGCTATTCAGGTAAAAACTTTGCCTTAGAAATCTAGTAATTAATACTTAATCAATTAATCCTCTTTGGGGATCTATGATTCAATTTCATCAAATTCTGTGGGGATTTGAACCCCCAAAGGTTAAAACTCAAGGATTTGGATGCCTGTATTCTGATTGTGTAATCTGCTACATCATTACTTTGTTAGGGATCCAACCCTTTTTGATTGATCCTAAACAAATTTGTGTCTTGTATTGGTTTTATTGGTGGTTACATGTGCCCTTCAATGCTGAATTATCAATCTCAGAGTCAACTATGGATGGCCAGTTTTAAGTTAGCACTCACTTTGAATTTTCTTCGATTAAAGAATTGATTATTGTCCAATTTAGATAACTGACCATCGGTTCATCCTGTCAGACAGATTATTTATTATTTTAACATTTTGGTACTTTAAACAATGATGATATAATATCTGATGGCTTGTTCTTGTATTCTTCTATCTCTTAATTATTTCTGAAAGATAAGGAGATCTTCATACCATGATGTGATAAGGGTGTCAGAGATACAGAAATTTGTGGACATAACAGGGGTCCAAACTTACATTATAAACAGTGCCAAGATTGTGTTCTTGAACGAAAGGCCGCAGCCTAGGCCTGGCAAAGGAGTCACCAACACCTGCCAAGTCTGTGAGCGCAGCCTTCTTGATTCATTCAGCTTCTGCTCTCTTGGTTGTAAGGTATACACATATAGTTGCAGTAGCATTATGCATAATAAAATTGTTAATTATTATAATAACTACTTAAAAATTACTAAAATGATAGTTCTGACTGATTACATAAAGTTATGCTTGGTCATCCAACTCTTTCTTTTGGTCGTCTTTTCCTTGGGTTTATACGTAACCATTAAGCATTCGATTGGTCCCTTGAAAATTTCTATCTTGCAGCATTAAAATAGAATTTCAAAGTTCAAACTAATCTTTGGATTACAATTGCTTATAGCAAATCATGGTGAATTTACTTTCAAAGGCCATCCTTAGTCTTATCTCTCACTAATAATTTACTGAAACTGATAAAAAAAATACCAAAGTCCTGGCTGGGCCTATTTTTTGGTTTCAAGCAACTGCGGCAAAACTAAAAGTGCCATGTGATATTACTAATGATATATCTGATAAGGGAAATATAAAAAGAAAATTGAGATATGTCAATAAAATGTTTGTATTATTATCACAAATCTATTAAATATTTTTACCCTATCAGTCAAAGTGTTCAAGTTGCTCTAGTTTTAAGAAAACTGGTACTATTACTAGCCACCATATTTTTTGGACTTTTCCTGTGTAAAGTACATTTACCTTTTTTGTTTCCCTTTGAAAAGTGACAAAAAGAAAGATCATAAACATAGGTGAATCTTTATATGAATAAAATAACATCCTCAAGTCTTCAATTTTTTCCCCTCAGATAGTTGGAACCTCCAAGAAGTTCCGGAAGAAGAAAATGTTAGCTGAGACAGATGGGTCGGATGGTGAAGAATCAATAAATGGCATCAGCAATGAAACAAGAAACAAAATCCAGAGCTTCACACCATCAACACCACCACCAACAGTGGCAAATTACAGGACTGCTAAGAGGAGAAAGGGTGTCCCACATAGAGCTCCAATGGGGAGTGCCCTTATAATAGAATACTACTAATGTCATGTAGTATGCTAGGTTGATGGGTTTAGGTGACTTACCAGACAATAATTATACCCTTAAAGATACTACACTTGTTGCCAATGCCACTTCCCTAAATGGCAATATGGCATCCTTAGACAATGTATTATGCGTCAAAAAGTTTCAATACCTGAGCCACTGTGCACTGAGGCCGGTGTTGGAGCTGCTTCACTATCTTGTATAGTGCGAAATATAGGAGGAAAATAATAAAGGAAAAAGTACAAGTTAGAAATGAAATAACTACAGAATATAGAATCGGGGTAATTTAATCATGCTGGTGTAAGAATAGCAATGATATGTGTTGGTATCAGATGCGCAATATGTACAAAGTGGCTTGTAGAAAGTGGTTGTATTTTAGACAATAAAAGTCTTTATCATGATTATTAAAATGTTCCACTTGGTTTGGTATATGTCCATCATCCTGTGCCCTTTCAAATACTTGAAAGTGCGGTGTTGAATTGTTGAGCTGGTTATGAGTGGCTTAAATTGCAGATTGTGTTTGGCTTCTCAACTGTTCCTCTTTTTGCCTCTCATGCTTCACTTCTTATGGTTCATCCAACAACAACACTAAATTAGCACCTGATTGTGGAATGCATAGAGGAACAGCTAACGAAATTTATTTAATATCTTTGGCTGTTTATCACTGAAAGTTTTCATAGTTTTGGATTTCTGTAATTACTTTTGGTCTTTTAATAAGCTAATGAAGTTATTTTTGAGGAACTGTTTTATCTGTAAAATAAGTTAAGTTGAAGCAATAATAGAGTGAATAATTGTTTGATAAGATGAATAATGAAGTTATTATTATCAAATATGAAAACGCATCCGCAAAAACAAGATAAGACAGTGAAAGAGACAACATTGGAATAATAGAGGGACCCACAGAAGAAGAAGAAAGGGACGAAACTTGTTTTTTCTGTAAATCCAGAACGAGCCTGCCTTTGGGCCACCCCTCTATTAAACATTCAAGAATGTCTTAGACTAGCCCTTGTTTTTTGTATTTCACTAGACTTTAATTTATGTGCAAATTTTTTTTTCATAATTTTAATCATTTAAACTAAATCTTTACTTCAAAATATCATATAATACCAATTATTAGGATGTAACAAGGATATAATATACTTATTTTATATAAACGTTAGGGATACGCTTATATTTTTGGGTGAGTGATCCTGAATAAAAAGTATTATACTGGATGAAATTAATAAATAGTAAATTATAATTAAAATCTTAAATATTAATATAAAAATCGAGATTAAAATAATTTTTAAATATTTTTTTATTTTTAAGATAATTTTCAAGAATAGAATTCAAAAGTCAATAATAATTTTAGATACTATTATTAATTTATATATATTTATGAAAAAAATTATATGAAATAATTTAACAATAATATTTGTAAATTTCTAATTTTATTTGTTTATATTCTGTATAATTTTTACAATTTAATGATCTATTATATTTTATTAATTTTTATTATAATTAAAAGAAATATGAAAATTCAAAAAAATTAAGTCAAATAAACTATATGAATACTAAAACAAAAAATTAAATCTTGTTCTTATAAAACTAATTTAATTAATGAATCTTAGTTTGTCAAGTTATAACAGCCAATTCAATTGGTTTTTTTAACAATACTTAAATAGTAAAATAATCTTTCAAATTACGCATTGTTCTTCTATCATTCTCAACTAATTAGCAACAACAACAAAAAAAACATGATTAAATCATGCAGATATAGAACCCATAAATTGTAGCTTGTTTTAGAAATTTTTAGAGAAAATTTCTCCAAGAAAAACATATATTTTTTTATTTTTCTCGTTACAGTCAATACTTTTTCTACAAGGTTTTTTTCTCATGTTTCCGGTTATTAAAAAAAAAACCCTAAATTTATGATCAAGTTTACATTTTTTATCTATTAATTTTTATTTAGTTTGAAGGTTACGAAGAATATGGACATTCAAAATTAATCTATAAATAACTAATCTAGAAAAATAATCTCCAAATTAATTAATTAATTAATTCAGAGAAGGTGTTACGGACCAAATGCTCATCCTAATATTATAAAAAAATTCCACCATCTCACATTACATGATAATTTCAATAATAAATGAAAATTTTGTTTGTAAATTTTTTTTTTACTTTGAATTATCAAAATAAAATAGAGTAAACTCGTCACTAATTGTGCTTATTTTTTTCTTATAAAATTAAAAATCCATTTTTTTAAGGAAAAAATAATCATAAATAAGACTTAGATATATTTTAAGTTTCTAAAAAAATGAGAAAATTTTAATTTAGCCATTATAAAAAATGTTATTTATTTTTTGTCTTTATAAATTTGAAATTTTCTAAACTTAATATATGATATTCATGAATGGAGTGAATGCCTAATTGAACATTTTAAAGTGCGTATGTGATATACTATCAATAATTGACATATTTTTAAAAAATGTTTATTCATCTTGAAATGAATATTAGAGAAAAAAATTTAAAATTGAAAAAAATAAACAATTCTTTACATAAATTAAAATAAAATTTCTCTTGCTTAAAAATTATATAATTTAAACAGAATTCTAAATTCTAACCTTATTAAAGTTCAGTGTAAAAAAAATATAAAAATTCAAATGATCATGCATGCATGAGTTGTTTGAAAAAGAAATATAAAAATTTCTTTCTTTTAATTTGTTTTGTTGGGTTCTCTCTTAAACCCTAGAACAAAAGGATGGTGGCTTCATTGGTGTGGTTGTTCGTTATGAGGAAGAGAGAGTTGAACACTCTTCTCTCTCGTTCTCTCAATTTCTTACACCCAAAACAACGCTTCTCCAATTCCTCACAACACCCTCTCCCAGGTCTCCTCCCCTCTGACGATGAAGCTTCTTCGCAGGACTCTTCCCTCCATTTGTCGCAACACTACGCATTCCTCCGCAACTCTTTGCTCAATTCCACCACCCACTCCGCTGAGTCCTCTAACGACGCCGTATCCATGTCCAACGCAATCAGAACTGGGTTTGGTTCCGAAACCCAAAATTTCTTGAGGCAGTTCCGGGGTAAGCTAAGCGAATCCTTGGTTGTTGAGGTGATGAATCTCGTCAAACACCCTGAGCTCTGCGTCGAGTTTTTCCTTTGGGCGAGTCGCCAAATTGGTTATACCCACACTCGTGCGGTGTACAATGCGCTGATTGAGTTACTGTGTTGCAATGACGTTAATGATAGAGTGTCTGACAAGTTTTTGATGCAAATTAGGGATAATGACAAGGAGCTGCTTCGGAAGTTGCTCAATGTTCTCATTCAAAAGTGTTGCAGGAATGGGATGTGGAATGTGGCGTTGGAAGAGTTGGGGAGGCTTAAGGATTTTGGGTACAAGGCTTCTCCGACCACTTATAATGCTTTGATTCAGGTTTTTCTTAAGGCTGATAAGTTAGATACTGCTTATTTGGTTCTGAAAGAGATGTCCAATTTTGGGTTTGGAATGGATGGATATACTCTCAGTTGTTTTGCCTATTCCCTCTGCAAAGCGGGGAAGTGTGGGGATGCACTGAGTTTGATTGAGAAGGAGGATTTTGTGCCTGACACGGTTTTTTATAACAGGATGGTTTCTGGGTTGTGTGAAGCTTCGCGTTTTGAAGAAGCTATGAATATCTTGGATCAAATGAGATCGAATTCCTGCATTCCCAATGTTGTGACATATAGAATTTTGGTTTCTGGTTGTTTGGGGAAAGGGCAGTTGGGCAGGTGTAAGAGAATTCTTAGCATGATGATGGCAGAAGGCTGTTATCCTAATCGGGATATGTTTAATACTCTTGTACATGCTTACTGTAAATCCAGGGATTACTCTTATGCATATAAGTTGTTTAAGAAAATGGATAAATGTGGGTGCCAACCCAGCTATCTGCTTTATAATATATTCATTGGTAGTATATGTAGCAATGAGGAGCTTCCTGGCTCAGATGTGCTGGAATTGGCTGAAAAGGCTTACAGTGAAATGCTCGATTCAGGGATTGTGTTAAATAAGGTAAATGTCAGCAATTTTGCGCGGTGTCTTTGTGGAGCTGGAAAGTTTGATAAAGCCTTTAAGATTATATGCGAAATGATGAGCAAGGGTTTCATTCCTGATGATAGTACATATTCTAAAGTTATTGGTTTTCTTTGTAATGCCTCCAAGGTAGAGAAGGCTTTTTTGTTGTTCGAAGAAATGAAAAAGAATGGCATTGTTCCCACTGTTTATACTTACACTATTTTAATTGATAGTTTTTGCAAAGCTGGGCTTATTCAGCAGGCTCGGAAATGGTTTGATGAAATGATAAGAGACGGGTGCACCCCAAATGTAGTGACTTATACTGCTCTTATTCATGCATACCTGAAAGCAAGAAAGGTGTTTGATGCAAATAAACTATTTCAGATGATGTTGGCTGAAGGTTGCAAGCCTAATGTTGTTACATATACAGCTTTAATTGATGGTCACTGTAAGGCTGGGCAGAGTGATAAAGCTTGCCAGATCTATGCCAGAATGCAAGGTGACATGGACCCGTCTGACATGGACATATATTTTAAGCTAGATGACAATGATTGTGAAACACCAAATATTATTACATATGGGGCTTTGGTGGATGGTTTATGCAAAACAAACAGGGTTAAAGAAGCCCGTGAGTTATTAGATACCATGTCAGTTAATGGTTGTGAACCTAACCAAATAGTGTATGATGCTCTTATAGATGGGTTTTGCAAGACTGGAAAGCTTGAAAGTGCACAAGAGGTGTTTGTAAAGATGTCTGAGCGTGGATACAGTCCGAATTTGTATACCTACAGTTCTTTAATTAATAGTCTTTTTAAAGAAAAAAGATTGGATCTTGTTTTGAAAGTGTTGTCCAAGATGCTAGAGAATTCTTGCACTCCAAATGTTGTTATTTACACAGAGATGATTGATGGCCTCTGTAAAGTTGGAAAGACAGATGAAGCATACAAGCTCATGCTCAAAATGGAAGAAGTGGGCTGTTATCCAACTGTTGTAACTTATACTGCAATGATTGATGGCTTCGGGAAATTAGGAAAAATTGAACAGTGCCTTGAGCTATATACTGATATGTGCTCAAAGGGTTGTGCACCAAACTTCATAACCTACAGGGTCTTGATAAATCATTGCTGTTCCACTGGCCTTCTTGATGAAGCACACAGACTTCTAGACGAAATGACGCAAACATATTGGCCAAGGCATTTGTCAAGTTACCGTAAAACTATCGAGGGCTTTAACCGAGAGTTTATAATCTCGATTGGGCTTTTAGATGAGCTGAGTGAGAATGAATCAGTGCCAGTTGAATCTTTATACAGAATCTTGGTTGATAAATTTATTAAGGTTGGGAGACTGGAAGTTGCAATGAATCTACTTGAGGAGATTTCATCATCTCCAAGCCTTGCAGTTGACAATAAATATCTATATACTTCTTTAATTGAGAGTCTGTCCATTGCTAGTAAGGTTGATAAAGCCTTTGAGCTTTATGCAAGCATGATAAATAAGAATGTTGTTCCAGAGCTTAGTACATTTGTCTACCTCATCAAAGGCCTTACCAGGGTTGGTAAGTGGGAAGAAGCACTACAATTATCAGATAGCATATGCCAAATGGTTTGTCACACTTGCTCTAACTTCGTGAAGTACGAAAGGATAAATTTTCCATGACATTTTGCTCAGTTATTTTAAATATGTTAACAATAAGCACGTCCTTTATGTATTTAGTGGTAAAGAAAGTTGTCAAACTTTCCATGACATTCCTTACAGAACCAACATCTCTTTAAATGTGCTAGATCCCTGATTTATTATTTTTGGAATGTTTATTCTAACCTTTTCCTTTGCATTTTCTGTCAACATTGCAGGATATTTGCTGGCTTCATGAAGAGGTAACGATCGCAGATTAGATTTCTGATATACAGAACGTAAGATTGAATTTGAGTTATGTAACAGGAGGAAAATGAATACAGGTAGGATAGAAGAAATGGGTAAGCTGGTAAATGGTTGCTTTCTCAAAATCTCCAGTATCTTATGATGCCTTTCAGTTATTATTCATCTTCATCTGCAGGTGTGGGATTTTGAAGAAATCATGTTCTTTGTAATCTATTAATCACCAAGTTTCAAAATCAAGTGTATTTGTCCTCCTATCATTACATCATGCCAGGGGTAATGATTGATGATCTATGATCAAGCATAGTATTTGATGCCAAGGTATATAAAATTAAATTTCTATCTTTGATATATTTTGCAGCAAATTAGGTCTCAATAATGTTTTTATTATTTGCTATTTCGTGTTGCATACTTGCATTATTATATAACGAATAAACTGAGATTGATATAATGATTTTTTTAATACAATAAGTTGTTTGGCCTTTTTTGCAATGAATGAATATGTTCACCTAACAAAGGTTTTTCCTCCAATCATTTGCAAACAGAGTTTCATTGCTGGTTTCAAAGATCTATTTGTGGTCAGGCATTTGCATGCCAGATTCATTTTTCGATGATACATGAATAGACTGTTCTCTGTTTTTGATATTTTACCATTTGGTAAATTAGAAATTCTGTGAAATTTATGAATACGGAATAGAAAGTCATTTATGACTTTTGTTACATTAACCAATCATGTTCAATTAAACTAGTAAGTATGCTTACTGTTTTTTGTTTTTTTCTCAAACTAGTTATGTTCTTGGTTTATTCATGAAACTGGTTTAGAGTGAAAGTCATGTTCGCTTGAAGTTCAGAGACAATAATGATATGTTTTTAATATGAAGTTGCTTGGAAGCTAAGGAATCAGCTTGTAGGGGATATTTGACGAGCAAGGAGATTGGGAAGTATATCCTTGGTTCAATTTTTATTCTATTCATTTGAGAGACTGGCCATTAGAAGGAATGCAAAAATGACCTAATTTTTTACAGACTGTGGTGGTGTCTACAGGTGCAACTTGCATGGGTCAGAGTCAACACTCTTTTTGCAAGCTGTGGTGTTTGGTTGTCTTGAGTTAGAGTCATGGAAAAAAGTGCCTCTCCACTCACTGTTCACCTCTCCTAACCTCACAATGGGGGATTTTCGTGCACCAAACTGCCCTTTTGTTAGGTTTCTCTCCCTTTCGTTTCCTTTCGGTAAAAAACATACGAGGTTATTAGAAACAAGTGTAAAGGAAACAGTTCAGAACAGGATCAAATGCTACGCTTCTTCACTATGGGATGTCTAGTGCAGAGGCTTCCTTGAAAGCTCGAGGCATAGACAATTACATCATGATTTCAGCCAGTTCGGATTGTTGTACCAATCACTCCCTCCGAGAGATATATGTTTTCTTGGGTTTTTTTCCTCTAATCCAGACTTCGTGGATGCAATCACTGAATCTTCCACCATTTAAACTGAGCTACTTGATTTACTTCATTATTAAATAGGCAAAATTAGCCGTGTATGTTGTAGAGACAAAACTATGCTGTGGGGCTACAAATTCTTACAAAATTGACTATCTATAACTAATAAAGTACTTTCTGCTCTTCATGTTTATTTCCTTCTTCTTTTCACTCTGATTTTTATTTTGTTTTATCATTTTTGAGAGAGACTGATATTTGGATCATATTTAAATGAAGAAAATCTAAATTTTAAATGGTTGTTCTTTAATGTTGGTTCATGAGACGTGAAAATCTTTTACAAGCTAAAGAAAGTGTAAATATAATTTTAAGGCAATCTGGAAAATGAAAATTTCACATTGATACAAGCATCTTAAGCATATTTCTAACTAATCGATATGTATTTCACCCGATAAATGATAACAAACATGCATGGCATGTCGCATCGATAGAATTAAACCAAACGACTCTGATGAAATAAAACCCCACCTAAAAGAACTGACCCAATTAAAACGAATAACCTTGTAGCATTGATCTAGTTTTATTTTTTAATTTTCAAAAATAATTTTGGAAAATAGTTAAAAAAACTTATTAACAGTAATTTAAAAATAATTACACAGATTTTCATGACATACAAACTTTATTTTTTTTGTGTGTATTAACAGTGTACAATTTTTCAATATTATTTTAAATAGGGTAATATTACTTCAGTACAAAATTGTTACATTAATTTATGACTTACAATAATGTTTCTCACTATTTTCCAAATATGTTACTATTTTCCTCGATCAATCAAATAGAGTGCAGTCTTTCTCTCGTTTCGTCACCCTCGTATCTCTAACGACTCGCTTGGCGCCGCAAATTATATGATTTGGTTTTGTTGAGCTCTGTTTTAGGTACCATTCTCATTCTCTTTTTCTCCTTCCGCTCTTAATATATGTCCTGATTTTCACCATTCGATTTGGTGTTTGCTGAATAACAACCTGCTTTTAGTTCGCCTCTGCTTCTTCTTCCTCTCTTTCGATGTTCATCGTTGCAATTATTCATGGACGTCTCTGATAGAGTATTTCTTGGATGACGTTTTGGTTTCTCGCTTTATGGATTCATCTTCTTCCGTTTCCCGCTTTGATTGCACCTATTATTAATCATTAATTAATATTATCACCATTTTAACTGTTACTATTGTGTACGGTTACATAATCGCTTCTTTGATTTTTTCTCTTTTTGCTTTTGAAATTGATCTAATTGATGTTCTTCTTACTTCTAGGATCCATGGATTTTAGAGATGGAGCTCACGAATTGTCTCGGTGTGTTGTTACTGTAAGTCTTCAGTTCTTCCATCACTACTACAACTCTCTGCAGACTATATTTCAAAAATTATTTTTCTTGCCTTTTTATCCAGAACCAGCTATTATATTTGTAAAGTCAAAGTTAGGTTTCAATTTTTCTTAATCGATAAAATAGCTAAATTTTTCAATCTTTTTTATAGGCATATGTGAATACTAATTTTAATTTTGAAAAGCTTTTCTCTGCTGAAGTTGCAATAACAGGAACAGTTAATTATATTCCGAAAGATATCTATTACATAATAATGTTTTTTACCAGAAACAAATTATTCATTCAATTTAATAGCGAATTATTAGTTATTACCTTGAGTACTAATTAAAAGTTGTTTAGAGGCCCTGTGATGTTCTGCAGCTAATTCTTTGAATTTGAAGAACTTTATCTTTTTCAAATATCATGCTGTCATAGACACATTTTAAACTCCAGTAGGGATTGACTTCAAAGACTCCCAAGTGCTGTAATCCAAGCACTGAATCAAACCAAGACAAGAGTAAAACGACAACTGTAGACCCTGAATCAACAGATATGTAGACCATAAGAAACTGGTAATCTATATCTAAAGGTGTGTACAAAAAATGGTAATATTAAATTAATGAATTACTTATTCTGTAAGATAAATAAATTATGCTTGTTATTTTTCTCAACATAAATTAAATCTGTTAACAGGGTCCATAGCAACATTCCAATCTCAATAATGTTATTGTTGCTTTGTGTTTGATCTATATATTGTTGAACATAATGACATTTAACATAAATGGTTAGTCTATGCAATTGAGCATATATGTCTCCATACAACCTAAAATTTAAAAGTCCATTCATTGGGGTTTTAAGGCTTGTACAGATTGGAAATATCTGGATTCGACTGCTGTGGCACTTTCTGCAAATACTTGTCAGCGCATGGTATTCCATATCAGCCGTGGGTAATTTGTTTGAAAGCTATTTCATCTCGTGTGGAGTACTTGAGAAATACAAGTCTCTTCATGCAGAAAAGATTCGGTATCTTGCCATAGTCATAGAAAGTGAAGAAGCTTATCAGATTTCTAAAGTTGTTAGACTGTTGGAGTGGCTGGACTCTATTGGTGTGAAGAATGTGTGCCTTTATGACATGAATGGTATGAAAGGTTTGGAGAATAAGTGATGTTGAAGTTTCTTTTACTCAGGCCATATAATAGTTTTTCCTTGAACTCTTCATTCTAGGGTTATTGAAGAAGTCTAGGGAAACCATATTTCAAAATTTGAAGAATGCAAAATCCATTGAGGTACTATATAATTTTAACCTGCATATGACTGGTGTGTCTTATATAATTGCCACATTAATTAGTTTGGGTATTCCCACCTTTGCCTCATTTATATTTTTATTGATTCTTTGATTTCTTTCTACTGTTCAACATAGGGGATGGGGAAGGATATAACCAAACATCTATTTAGATTCTGGGAGATGATGTGTCCTAGGTTACAGTGGTTCGAGATGTGAAATTTGTTGAGTATATCTTATCTCATTTCCAATTGTCCTTGGCTTAAAAAGTTCATAAATGATGGGACTTACTTATAGTATTTGATAATTTGTGGGCATTATCTAAGAAATTATTGATAAGAAGATGAAATACATGATTCTGTTTATTTATTACATAAGCTACACGGCTTTCTAATAGAGTTTTGACTTGGTGCACATTTATGATATGGTGAAAATTGATGGAGTGAAAAGCAAAGGGAACAAAATGAAGCACCTTTATTTTAGGTACTAGGACGGTAGGTTAAAACAGGCATGAGAATAGTACCTTTGAGCCCACTAGAATATTTTCTCTAAAGAAGAAATGAGAAATGAGAAAGGAGAGAACAGACTTTGTACAGGAACCATGTTTTTCTTTTTCTTCTCCCAATAATAATAATAATAATAATTTATATTTTCTTCCTTTTCTTACTCGTCTAAACAAAAGAAGGGAAATATGGTCGTTTTTATCATTGTTCTCTTTGTATTTTCTCTCTGCCTCCAAAAAACGCATTAAAATATGGATCATAAATGGTTCATCAGCTGGCATTGCTGTCAAGTATAAATTGTAACTTCTGCTGTCTGTGACTTGTTTGATCTGATCCAGCTTTAACTCAGTGCAGGATGTTAGTCAATCTGTCGCACACCACGCTCCAGATCACATGACTCTAGAATTTCTCTCTTATTTGGATGGGAAGGAGGCAGTGGCCAAAGCAGCTAACTTGGTTTTTGGGGAGAACTTGAAACGTCACAGCTTGGGTGGAGAGTTAGATGCTCAAATATCGTTAGAACTTCACTTGAATGAAGCATTGCAAATTGTTGGTATGTTTTCTTTCAAGTCCTACTAATATTTTAAGAGTTGACTGCCTTGTTCAAAAAGCATTTATCATTATCATCAGGTAGCAAAGGCCCTGAGCCTGACCTTTTACTGGTTTATGGACCTGTGCGGAGCCATCTTGGTTTTCCTGCATGGAGACTTCGCTACACAGAGATCGTGTAAGTTCTTGGTAGGAAACTATTATTTATGATTAGATCAGTAATATGTTTGTTTATCCTCATGAAATGAAGCTAAAAGCAGTAGCTCTGTTACATTGTCCTTCTGTTCTGTATTAGTTATAAACTTGGAATAATCTGTTGATGATTTAGCCGCAATAGCAGTCCTCGTAAATGAAATTAGTTTAGATCTCCGTAAATATATTTGGATCTGATTCAGCTTCTATTTTCTGTTCTATGTTCCTTTCTTTCTTATGGAGTAGTATTGCAGAGACATTATGCCTTAAAAGTGAAACATAAACTTCCTTGCAATGCATAGGATCTGTAGGTGATATGTGGACTTGTTTGTAATTTTTTTATTAATATAGGCAAAATATATATAGTCAATATTATAAGTTAGCTTTCTCATGATGGCTTGATTTTTGCGTTTATTACAGGCATATGGGATCATTGAACTTCATGAGATATGGTTCCTTACTGAAAGTCATTTACAACTTCACGAAAGTGCACCAAAATTATGGTAAGTATTCTCTTTACTGAGTCATTTACTGGTCTACCATGGTTTGATCCCCAATAAATTGGTAAAGTTTCTGCAGTTATTTACCATTAACTGCATTTTACTATTTGCATCTCTATAAGTCTGCTAAATCATGTCAGATTAGCCTAATACTGGATCCCAGTTCTCAAGGAGAAGTAAATACTAACAAGTAGTACAGTACATTGGAAGACATCTCCGCACTTTCATCTATAATGTTGCCTTTGAACGATGAGTGGAATTAGTATTAAATAGAGTTATGCATAATCCATAGATTAATACAATTTGTTTTCTTTCCTTCATTCTTTGTTTTCCCGGATTACTAACAGGTACGTAGAGAAGGAATTCGGAACTAAGTCAACTGCACAAGCACCACAAAGGGTTGGCGTGAAGATTAGAAAAATAGCTAGCTAGATAGATATCTTTGTGGAAAAAGGGCTTTCTCACCAGTGGTTTCAATTTTTCATCATGGTGGAGAGATAGAATTGCAAGTCATGGCGGAGTTTTACCAACTGTTAATTTAAGGAAAAAAAAAGGTCTCTGCTAATTAGGGTGTATTTTTATTTGATACACCATTGGATATTCATATAGTTGATAAATTCCTCCTCACAGCATATCAAAACCATCAACATGGTGTGAATGAAGTAGATAATTATGTGTTCATTAGACATGTGGAATTGATAAATTATATAAAACCAGGTTTTGTTTAAACATGATCTTAGTTCAACTGTATATAGAACGCGTAGTGATTAAATTTATATTTACTAAATGTTTTAAGGAATATTATTAGAAATTAAGATATAAGTAATCATGAATTAAAATAAATTATTAAATAATGTGTTTTATAAGATACAATAATAATAATAATAATAATAATAATAATAATAATAATAATAATAATAATAATAATAATAATAATAACAACATATATGTTTTTAATCTTTGTCAAATTAACGAAATTTTGATTTTGGTCCGTATAATTTTTTTTCTTATTTTTCAGCTCATTAAAATGTAAAACATTTTCAGTTGATTTTTTTCTTTTCAAAATTTTAAATAATTGTTTTTATTTCTTAATATTAATTTTACATGAATGGTTTATAATAATAATGTTAAAAGAGTTTTTTGAGGTGACATTATGTTACTATACTACAAAGTGTCAATTAAAATGGTTGTTGAACCTTTTTTTAATACATGGTGTCATATAATACCAAAAATAAAAAGTGATAATTTTTAATTTTTGAAAGATGAAAAATAAATAATTTTTTATATAAATCAAAAGTGATGGTTTATTCATTTAATACATAAAATTAGGAATGACAATTATCGACTCGTCCCCATCCCGAGTTGATCGGGCGGGCGGGTTCAGGTTTTTCCCGCTTTAAAAAGTTGGAGGCAGGGATGACTAATGCAATCTCCACCCCGACCCCGTCTCTGTCCCAACTTTATATTTAAATTTAAATTTTAAAATATTAATATTTTAAAATATTTTTTTCTTTTTCTATTACATATAAGGTCATTTTTTTTATATTTCACCAATTATTTTTTCTTCTACCCACTTTTTAATTTTTTTGTCTTTTTTAATCTTTCATATCAATTAATTTATTACATTATCCTTTCTCTTACATTTCAAGTTTTCACATTTCCTTAATTTCTCTTTTCAATCTTTTCAACCAATCTGATGAACACAAAGTTTTTTTTTTATCTTTTTCTAAATATTTTACATAAATATTAGTAATAACTAATATTATTTTATTTATAATTTATATTTATTAGATTTTATTATGTCATATTTTTTTTATCTTATTATTCTTATTTATCATATATCAAATTTTATCTTAATAAAATAATTGTATTTTAAAGGATTAAAGAAATTGATAATTTAAACTTTTATTACTTCGAACTAATTGAATAAGAAATAACTTATTAAATATTTCCTTATAAAGTATATATTACAACTTAAAAATAAATTAATTTATATATATAATCAAATATTTGAATACAATATTATAATAATAATGTTATAAATATTTAAATATTTGAATACAATGTTATAATAATAATATTATAAATAAAAAATAATTAAATATTTCTTTTACATATATATTTTAATATAAATATAATAAATTAAAATGTATATTTAATTAATAATAATTATAAAATTATAAATATTTATTTATATATAAAAAAAATATAATAAAATTATTTATTATAAATATAATTATCTTTTTAAAAATAATATAGAAAGAAAATAGGATGGATAATCATAAAAATGAGAATTTAATTTCTGTGGCAGACAGAGGACGAGAACAGGAATAATAATAAAAAAAGTCGAGAACGGGCCGGGCCGGGACCGCCCCCGCTCCCCGGTTGCCATACCTACCTAAAATGCATTGACTAGACTGGAAAAGTATGGGCGTCATATTAAACACGGAGCTTACTTGTCTTTGGGTGGAAAATGGAAAACAAAAGTACAAACATAAAAAGACAAAAGAGAAAAGAGAGAAACAAATAAAAGGAGAGCAAGTGTGGTGGCAAGAGAGGCGAAGTTGCTGTTATTCTAATTTCCAGATCAAACGAAGAAGAAGAATTGGTGTTGTGAAAAGGTATTTTTTTCTTTTCCCTTCTTTGAATCTGGATTTGTCCAAAGTCTTCATACTTCCACAACCACTTCATCTTCATCCAATTCTCCTCTCCCAAACTCTCCTTTCAATTACTTGCGTACTCTTAGCTGTTTGTGTATTTTAGTTTAAATCAAATTAATATTTTATACTATAATAAAGATTTTAAATAAATACAGAGAACTAAATATTAAATAATACTATATATTCTATTAATCTTATCATATATTACTTGGATTCCATTCATTATTAGTAGTCTCCATTGTAAAAGTACAAGTAATCATAAAAACGAAAATAGTTAATTAAGATCTTCTATTTTAATAATAAAAGTATTTTTCTATATGAAGTTTTTATAAAGATATATAAAAAAGAAATTAACTTTTCATATTTTTTTCTTATACAAGATAAAGATAATCTTATTTTCTCCATCTAAAAATAAATAAAATATATTTAAAACATTAACAAAATTACTTTACTAAATGAAGTAAACTGCATGTATTACCAAATATCATTTGAATCAATAAACATTTGTATCTTTAAACAATATTTAATGTTAGTTTTCGTAAAGTCTAGTACTGAATTTCATTTTTCAAGCATATATTTTTTTAAAATTAGATGTAGTAAAAATAATTAACCAATCCAAACTAATAATTTGAATTTTATAAAATTTAAATTCATCTATCTAAACAAACCATATGAAAAATAAATACCATCTAAAATTATACAAATTTTAAGAATTTTATAATGTTAAAAACCTTTAAAATTCATATGTTCTTCTTACTTTTTCTCTTTTTCTTTACAAGATTAAAAATCATGAAATATGTTCCTTTTTATGAATGACTTTCAAAGCCTTGTATGCATAGAAACCAAGACTGTTCTTTATCTTTTTCTTTTTCTCCAATTGCAATTACACCAATATTTTCTTGCAAAATATAATTTGCACCCTATTAATTCTTATATGTGAAGTCCTCTGCATCATGTTTTGTTGTCAATAATTTCCCACAAAATAAGAAAAAAGAAAAAGAACAATTTTGTATTTTGATCTTACTCTGATCCCAAGTTTGGTGCTTTCCTCGTCCTGACAATGTTGGAACATCTTCAGAATTCGCCTTTTCGCGCTCTGTTGTTATTTGGTTGCTTCCCACCATGGCTTCAAAATCCAGGTATTTCGAGCTCAGTGTTTTGCTTTGTGGGTCTCTTTTCATTTTAGATTTTATGAAAGCAACGAGGTTTAGAATAGCAAGCATACTTACAATTACAACCAGGTTTCTCTTCATTTTAGTACAGAAGCGTAACTGTAAAACAATAATGGAAGTCCCTGAAATTCAAATCCAAAACTAGGAAATAGAGAACCTGATGTTACTACTCAAGATCCTGCCCAATCACTACCATAAATAACTACTAAGTTTAAAATTCTAAGACTTAACTGCATAATTTGGTGTCCCTTGATATATCCCATGATTCTTGTGACAGCTTGAAAATGTACTTAAGTAGCACAATGTAAAACCTTGAAAGCAATCTTGCAGTAAACGTGACGTTGGGTCTAGTGGCTGTAAAGTGCATCAAGCAACCAGTCATGCCCCTGTATTGACTTTCATCTATCTTTTCAGCTTCGTCATCTTTGCATAATTTCTCCTTTTGATTTGGTGTGTAAGTTCTTTTGTAGTCTTCCATGCGAAACTTCTTAAGGATTTCTTTTGCATACTTCCTTTTGTTTATGAAAACCCCATCACTATGCTTCACCTCCATGCCCAGAATGACATAAAGTAAACGTTTATCATCTTAACTCTTACATATTTTTAGTATGTCAGCTTCGAATTCTCCCACTAAGATCTCATTACTTTTTATCAAAAGTGTGTCTTCAACATAGACAAAAAAAAAAAAAAAAAAAAAAAACGTAAATTACCATATGCTTCTTTGACTTGGAAAGTAGCTTCACTCACACTTTTAACAAGCCAAGCCCTTCAAGACATTCTTCAATTCTGCTATGCTAGGCCCCTGGAGCCTACTCAAGAATCAAGACTATATATGGCCAGTCTGCTTCAACAAATTGACCTTCTCCTCCTGTCCCTTAATTTTGAAACCTTCAAGATGCGCTACATAAATCTCATCTTCAAGATATTCGTTCAGAAGATTGATTTTACGTCCAGCTAATATATCTTCCATTCATTTTGGGAAACTAAAGCAAGCAACATCTTTATTGTGTCCAAGCTTGCCACCGGTGCAAAGCAAAAAACAATGAAATGAACATGTTTGGACTTTCAAGATGTCCAAGTCTCTCAATTCCTTTACCAATTCCCACAAAATCAATGTCTCCTCTCTCAACCCCTCCACCTATTTATGTACACCAGATGCCATTTGACTCACTAACTGAGTAACCCACTAACTGAGCCCTAACTAACTAACTTACTTAGGGCTCTCAACTAACAAGCCTATCACTTGGTCAGTCGACCAATTATACAAGAATACCCTAAACACCAAAGCACAATGCCTATACTTTCTTCAACTTCTTTAGTGTACCACTTTATTTTATTTTATTTGTTATCTCTTGTTGTGTTGTGTGAGATTTACTCATTGATGGGTCTGATCAGCTGTTTTAAGACATTTTTAACTGAATTTCTTAAGTTATGTTAAATGCCCTTTGCTTCATCTTTTTAAATTTCAGTGCCTTTTTGCTTTCTGTCTGGTGTAAGCATGAGATTTACAGATGAACTTCACTTCATGTCCTTTTTGGTTCCTATCAGGTGTTTATCTTTTGTTCTTGTTTGCTATGTTTTCTTATTAGCAATGACATCTGTATATGTGATTAAACCCGTAACTCTCATTCTAGGTAGCAGTTACTATCCCTCTTTTCTTTCTCTTGGTGGTTTTTTCTTGGTTGGTGAGTTTGGTTATTTCTAGTTCTAGATGCCAAGTTTGGTATGAAGAGTTAGCTTCCATAGGCTTAGATCCATCTGTCTGATACAATAATAACATCTTGTTATTTTGTAGTGTCTTGTCTTTTCTTTTCATTCAAAGCATTATTGATAATTCGGTATGATAGATCCAGTTTAGCTGAAACTCCCAACAAAGAACCTTCAGCTACTCCCAACAAGGCACGACCATCAACTCTCAACAGAACACCACCTGCCACTCCAAGAGTTAGTAAGCTCAGCAAAGCAGTGTCCAAACGGGAATCGGAATCGTTTTCACCTCTGCAAAATTCGAACTTTCCTACAGAAAAACCGCATCGAGCTTTGAATTCAAAGCCCACTTCTGAGCGGAAATCACTAAGATTCACTTCCAACCCACTTGACGTAAGTTATTGTAAATTCATTTTGTATTCCCTTTCATCTTTGAGATTGCGTCATGTCTGACTCTTACTAAATGCCACGCTCTCTTTCCCAATTCTAAATTTTGTGTGAAGCATTTGAGCATTCCAAAAATAGGGAGTCTCTTTTCAAGTGTGATAGCATAAGTAGAAATCTGAAATATGCTACCATGTCTTTGTTATTGAATGATTGTAGATGAACTTTAGCAATACTTATTATATCTCTTTTTTTCTCTCTTTCTGTCCCATTATATTACCATTATACATACCTATATTTATTTCTCTTCTCTCATGTCAACCAATATTTTTCCTAGTTATTTGACAATTTTTCATGTAATTTGAAATTTTTGATACCCATAGCATATTATTCATTTTTATGCGTACTAGTTAAATACAGAAAAAAATATCTGTTTAGTCTCGCTTTCTTTGGGTATATGTACATAAATACATGTTTATTATGTTCCTTGAATATTCAGAAACAATTTCCAAGAGTTGCAAAGGATTCAGAATTGCAGGCTCAGTTGAATCTTTCTCAAGAAGATCTAAAGAACACAAAGGAACAGCTGATTCAAACTGAGAAAGAGAAGGCAGAAACAATTGATGAACTGAAAGCAGCACAGAGAGTGGCTGAGGAAGCAAATGAGAAACTCAGGGAGGCGATGGTGGCTCAAAAGCAGGCTGAGGAGAGTTTTGAGATTTGGAAGTTCCGAGCCGTTGAGTTGGAACAGGCTGGAATTCAAGCTGCTCAAAAGAAGGAAGAGGAATGGCAGAAAGAGCTTGAAAGTGTGAGGAACCAGCATGCCTTGGATGTGGCTGCTCTTTTCTCCACTACTCAGGAGCTTCAGCAGGTTAAGCAAATACTTGCCATGACTAGTGATGCAAAGAACCAGGCACAGAGTCACGCTGAACTTCACATGGTGAAAGCAGAGATTCTTTCAGCTGAACTGACACAGTTAAAATTGTTGAAGAAATCAGCATTAATATCTTTGGAATCTGTAATGAAACAGTTAGAACGAAACAATGATTCGTTGCTTGATGCAGAATCTGAAATTTCTAATCTTAAAGAGAAAGTGGGATTGTTGGAAATGACAATTCGGAGACAAAGAGGAGATCTTGTGGATTCAGAGCGATGTCTTCTTGTGGCTAAGGAAGAGAGTGTTGAAATGTCAAAGAAGGTTGAATCTCTCAAAATTGAACTTGAGACGGAGAAGGCTCAGACTTTGAACAAGGAAAAACTTGCAGCTTCAAGTTTACAGACCCTTTTAGAAGAGAAAAACAAATTAATTTATGTGTTGGGCATTTGTAGAGATGAAGAAGAAAAGACTAAAAAGGTAATGGAAAGTTTAGCTGCTGCTTTACATGAAATATCTGCAGAAGCTAGATATGCCAACGAAAAACTATTAGCCAATCAAGCTGAACTTGAAAACTACGAGACCCAGATTGAAGACTTAAAGTTGATTCTACAAAATACTAACGAGAAATACGAGTCCATGCTTCATGATACACGTAAAGATAGTGATGCTTTTATATGCAGTGTTGAAAATGCCAAGGACATCCAAAACTACGAGGCAACGATTGGTAAGATGCTGAGTAGCCCGGAAAGATGCATTCCTTATATCAGACTATAGAGTAGCTGAGGATGTTATTTATTCTACAACATTTTCTTGTATTTTTTTTTTTTTTCATCAGATTTATTACTTTCTTAATTTTCTCCATTTTTTCAATCAATTTGGCGTGGAGATTTATCATCACAAGATATCAGAACATCCAAAGTGCAAGCAAACTTCCAAATTAATGCCAAACATTCTGTGTGTAATGTCCTAGTTTTGTCTTTTGTCTGCAAACCCGTTTAAGAATGAAAAAGTTTTGCTTGGTTTATATTAGTTTGCATTTTCTAAAGAAATTATTCAATTTATCAAGAACAAGTTAGTTTCAGAGGGATGTGTCCATAATTTATCAAAGACAAGTTAAGAACTGGAAAACATCAATCAATTTGAAAAAAAGAAAACAGAAAAGAGTCTAAAACCAAATCATTTTTGACAAGGATGGAGTGTATCATAACAATTAATATGCATTTTGATGTTTTAATTAAAATATACTTTTGGAAATATCTTAAAAGTTAATAATAATACTTTATATATCATTAAAATATAATACACCAATGGTAATACTTTATTTACTAAGATAATTTTAATAATTTTAATGTTATACAACTTTTATAGAGTTAAATCATATCACATCAGCAGAGTAGAATTGAGTTCTAGTGGTCCAACTTTGCTGAAAACCCATGTGCACTACGTACCAATCATAACATTCAACTATCTTTCTTAATTCATAACAAGTTTCATCCCCCAATAATTTCAACCAACATAATATTTTCTTCTCTTTTACATAAAGATAAACTTAAAGTAATGTTGGGAAATTGTTTGCAGTTCTTTGTCATTGCATAGTAATGTATAGACTTTAAAAAAGAATGAGTAAATTCTAATCTAACAAAAAACCGATGCTTGTAATCTCATGAAATGATCTAATGTTTACTCAAGTTCAGAGAAGAACAATTATCAGAATGTGATTAATGGAAGTACAGAAGACAAATAAGGGCTGAAAACTGAAGAGAAAGATGCTTCAAAAAGTATATATATTATATATTCATTGTAGCTCTACTAGTTGGTGATGATGATGATATTTAATTTGCACAACTATGAGTTGTTGTGTGTATAAATATAAAATGATACGAAGGTAAGAAATACTCATCCAAAACAAACAGTACTCACTCATATTGGTGCATGATGATATCAACGTTTGAACTTTTATTGAAACCACTTAACATCACATGCATCTTTAGTTTTTTAGCAGTTGTTGCATGTTTATATATGGACATTCAAAAAGATAACAGTCCTCACAGATATCATTAAGTTTGTACCCCACTTTTTTATCTGAAAATGGATGCATGTTTAAAAGTTTAACCCGAGAAGAAGACAATGTTATCAACTCAAACTGTTGTATTTTTCAGTGACACAATTCACTGAATTGATAAAACCATAAAGTTGGCATCATTAACTTCCCTGCTACATATGGATGTTCTCTCAGTACGTGTCTAAATCATTCTTGGTGCCTTCAATGGTGCTGCTCGACATGTCAACTAATCACCATATATATACTAAAATGTTCATCCATCTTAAATTTAATTACTCTAATAAGAAATCATTTCCATGGCATTTTCTATTATACGTACTGTCTATTTTAAAGTTTTAGTTTATTACAAATTTATTTTTAAAAGACGTTTTTTTATTAAGAGAAAAAAAATATATATATATATATGATATCGACTTCTAAATATCATCAGATTAACAGAATAAAATTGAATTTATTAAATTTATCTTTGAATTCTAATTTAAGTATAATAATAATTATTTTTTAAGAAATTAACTTTTAAAAAAACGTTTGATTCAAATGTATGGTTATAGTTCGAATCATTGAGAATTTTGAAGACTAATATTATGATGAGAAAAACAAAATTAATATGAAATTAGTTAGAAAATAATTATATGAATTTATTTATATTGATTTCTCTGTAACGCCATTTTGATTAACCAACACATTATTTAACATTAATGCTTTGCTTTTGCTGAAATTATTGAAAGTGATAAAATGAAAAAGAAATAAAAAAAATAGAAATTATGATTATTTGAATTAAGAAAAACAAGTGGATTAGATGAAAATTTAGATAGATTTATTTATTTTTAATGATTTTATTTGTAAAAATTGAAAATGTATTTTTTAAATATAATCAATTGTATTAAAATATATAATCCATTACATGTATTTCCTTTTTATTAGCTTATTCTATGTTTTAAAATTCATAAATTATGGCTTCCTTAAGTTATTATAGTTGAAAGTAAACAAGATGTAAAATCAATAATCCTTCATTTATCAAATTATAAATTAATTTTCTATTTTATATTTAATAATATTTTAAAATATTAATATATAATCCATTTAAAAATATATATAACTAAAATAGTATAAATATTAAATTTTTACTCATTAAAATAAAATAACATTATATATATAAGAATATTTACGAGTAAAACTCACGATAAAAATCAGTATTAAATTGAAATTATAATAATATCCTATGACATTCTATTAGTATTATTTATTTGAACTTATATTTTAATTATTATTTATTTGTATTTATGTTTTAAAGTCTAATAATATTTAGACTTATATTTGTAATTCATTTGAATTTACACCTTTTACAGAATAGTTTTTGAAAATTTAATTTAAAACACATAAAATAGCATTTATAAATCCAAAAATATAAAAAAATTCAAATATTTATAAATATTTTTTATATGGAACGATTTGTTTTAAAAGGTTCAATTTTGTGAATTAGTTGAACAGTTTTCGTTTTCCTTTTTTGTCCATATTATTAATTCCATCAAATACTGAATTCAACTTCGTTAAATAATCATTTATTTTTCAAATAAGTATTTATTTAAAATTATACTCTACATAGAATAAAAATATTAATCTCATTTTTTTAATCTTAAACATATCCACGTTGTTTTCTTTTAGACTTTTGCTATCTAATACTCTTTTTTTAACAAAACATGCTATCTTTAAAAAAAGGTTAATAAATATAATAATAGATTAAAACTATAATCTTTTAAGCTATATTTATATAAAGAATATATGTTTATAAAACAAACAAAAACCTTTATATAAATATTTTTTTGTATTATTTTATTTATTAGTTAATTAATTGAATCACATAGATTTCTAGCACGACGAAGGTGCATATTTTAACTTCTCAAAATACATACAAAACTAAACTTTTTATTTTTATTTTTTATTTTTCATTTTTTTTACTGCAACTCCTTCATGTCCTTTTGTCCTTGGATTATGTTCAGAAACATGATCATGTCTTTCTAACAAGATTCATTGTATCAAAGAGTGAAGTGTTTTTAATGTGCTTTTAGTTTATCCTCAGGTTGTTACAACAACACTTTAACTATCCTACTGCCACAATTTTTGTTTTAATATAATTTTTTTTCTATTTCAATAACTTAAAAATCAAGATTAAAAATATTATATTTTTCAATTTATTAAAATATTTTAAAAATTAAATTGTAATAAATATAGGTTTGAAGCTAATAATATTTTAAATTTTAAAACCGAGACGTTTTATTAAGATAATAATACGTTTATTAGCTTTCACCAGTTATTTAACGGTTTTTTTATATTTAAATGAAACTGCAGTTTTAAAAAACAAATATTTAAAAATATAAATTTAAAGCATGAAAAAAAGTTGAGAAGGGTAAAACCCATCAATATTATTTGGTGATTTGAACTTTGACATGGCTCCTTTTGAAAAAAAAAAAAAATCCAACCTGGCAAAGTGATTGGTAACATGCAGTGCTATCTCTTTCAAATTAATTTTGTAGTTCATGAAACCAAACTATTTTGTTCTGAAATTTTCGACACATGCACATGTTGGAAATTCAATCGTCATGGTATTTAAATTTGGAAAATAATTTGAAAAAAAGAGTTGCAGGGGCAGTTCCTAATCCCATGGCAGAGTCTCTTTTCCTGAAAAGAAGGGTAAGGTTGGAAGAGTCACAGACAGGTCCTTGCCTCTGAAAAAGCTACACATGCCTTTGGCTTTGGCAGATTTAAGAAAGTTTAGGGTTACTTTTGTCTTTTCAATGACCTCAACCTCAAGATATACACTGAAATAATATAACCACTGCTTCCACTGAGAGAGAAAGAAGGAAAGAAAATGAAAATGAAAAGGGTAAAGAGAGAGCATAACATAGCATAGTGTGTTGGTGTGGCTACTCTGGAGACAGGAAAACCAACCCAACTTATTTGGTTTTGGTTTATGTTTATGTTCTGTAAATTCCTGTTCGGCTTCTTCTCCTTCCCATGATTTCCCAAAAGCCAAAAAAAGAAAGAACAGAAACAGTTTTGAGGTTTTGATCTTACTCTGATCCCGAAATTGTTCCGTTTCTTGTTTCTGAAAATGTTGGACCTTCAGCATTCTCGGCTCTGGAACTGACACTTTCAGCAAAGGCATCACCTTCTCTCGTTTTGTTGTTACTTGATTTCTTCTCACCAACATGGCTTCAAAGTCCAGGTATGTCAAGTTTGGTGCTTTCTGTTGTGGGTGTCTCTATTGCTTTGAGATCTGATGATGATTTTCTTCAACTTTCTTCTGTGTACGGCTTCACATTTTCTTTCCCGTTCTGGGTGGTTTTCTAATTGATGGTTTTGATCTGTTTGAACACATTTTTAATTGAATATTTTGAGTTATGTGGAACGCCCTTTTCTTCATCTGTGTAAATTTCTATGCTTTTTTGGTTTCTATTTGGTGTGTGCATGAAATTTTGAGATGGGCTCTGCTTCATTTCTATTTTTGGTTCTTGTTGTGTCTGTGTCTTGATCTTCTTCTGTTCTTGTTAGATTGTGTTTTTTCGTTTGTGATAGCTTTTCCATCTGCGTTTCTGGCCCTAATTCTCAATTTTGGTAGCAGTTACTAACCTACCTTGTCCTTTTTCTCTCGGTTGGTGGTTATTGCTTGTTTGATGAATTTGGCTTGAAAATGCTTTTAGATGCTGAGTTTGGTACTAAGAGTTGGTTTCCTTAGGCTTTGGATCCATCTCTCTGATTGGATTCAAATATGACATTTTGTTACTTTTTAGAGTCTTATCTTTTCTTTTGAGACTCAATGCATGAGTATGAAATTGACATTGTGAATCTGACAGATCCGGTTTATCTGAAACCCCCAACAAAGCAACTCCAGCCACTCCCAACAAGGTAAGGCCATCAACTCCCAACAAAACATCACCTGCAACTCCAAGAGTTAGTAGGCTCAGCAAAGGAGTGCCTAAACCGGAATCAGAATCACCATCACCTCTGCAAAATTTGCGCCTGTCTGCAGAAAAATCGTCTCCACGGACTTTGAATTCGAAGCCTGTCACTGAGAGAAAATCACCAAGACCTGCATCCACCACACCTGATGTAAGTTGTAATAAATGTACTTTGTATCCCCGTATCTCTGAGATTAGTCATGTTTTGCTTAATTACTAAATGGCAAGTTTGGAATGTTGGACTGTTTACTTCTCCAGTTATGTTTTTCAATGGAAATTTTGAATTTGCTATATTATCATGTCTGTTAACAAGTGTAATAAAAAAAAACAAGAAATGTGTTAGTTTGTTTGAGACGGCAAAAAAGGAAAATCTGTTTAGTCATGTTTTTCTTTGGTTATCTGTACTCTGATACATGTTTATTATGTTCTTTGAATTTTCAGAAACAACTTCCAAGAGTTGCAAAGGGCTCAGAATTGCAGGCCCAGTTGAATCTTGCTCAAGAAGATCTAAAGAAAGCAAAGGAACAGCTGATTCAGGCAGAGAAAGAGAAGGAAAAAGCAATTGGTGATCTGAAAGAAGCAGAGAGAGTGGCTGAGGAAGCAAATGAGAAACTCAGGGAGGCAATGGTGGCTCAAAAGCGGGCTGAGGAGGATTCTGAGATTGAGAAGTTCCGTGCCGTTGAGTTGGAACAGGCTGGAATTGAGGCTGCTCAGAAGAAGGAAGTGGAATGGCAGAAAGAGCTTGAAAGTGTGAGGAACCAGCATGCTTTGGATGTGGCTGCCCTTCTCTCCACTACTCAGGAGCTTCAGCGGATTAAGCAAGAACTTGCCATGACTTGTGATGCAAAGAACCAGGCACTGAGTCATGCTGATGATGCTACTAAAATTGCGGAGCTTCATGTGGAGAAAGCAGAGATTCTTTCAGCTGAACTGATGCATTTGAAGGCCTTACTGGATTCAAAGCTGGAAACTGAGGCTACTGAAAACAAGATTGTATCGGAGATGCAAACAGAGATTGAAGCTCTTAATGAAGAACTTGAAAAGGCAAAGGATTATGATGCAAAGTTGAGGGAGAAAGAAAATCACATTGAACAGCTTAATGTAGAGCTTGAAGCTGCCAGGATGGCTGAATCTTACGCACACAGTCTGCTAGAGGAGTGGACGAAAAAGGTTGAGGAGCTAGAAGTGAGGGTTGAAGAAGCAAATAAGCTGGAGAGATCTGCATCAATGTCTTTGGAATCTGTAATGAAGCAGTTGGAAGGAAACAATGAGTTGTTGAATGATGCAAAATCTGAAGTTTCTAGTCTTAAAGAGAAGGTGGGATTGTTGGAAATGACAATAGATAGACAAAGAGGAGATCTTGAGGAGTCAGGGCGTTGTCTTCTTGTGGCTAAGGAAGAGAGTCTTGAAATGTCAAAGAAGGTTGAAACTCTGGAATCTGAACTTGAGACAGTGAAGAAAGAAAAGGCTCAGGCTTTGAACAATGAAAAGCTTGCAGCTTCAAGTGTTCAGACCCTACTAGAAGAGAAAGACAAACTTATTAATGAATTAGATATCTGTAGAGATGAAGAAGAAAAGACTAAAAGGGCGATGGAGGGCTTAACTTCTGCTTTGCACGAAGTATCTGCAGAAGCCAGGGATGCCAAAGAAAAGCTATTAGCCAACCATGCTGAACATGAAAACTATGAGTCTCAGATTGAAGATTTAAAGTTGGTCTTGAAAGACACTAATGAAAAATACGAGTCCATGCTTAATGATGCACGGCATGAGATTGAAGTTCTTACATGCAGTGTTGAAAATTCCAAGAACAACATGGAAAGCTCCAAGGCAGAGTGGGAACAGAGAGAACATCATTTAGTCAACTGCTTGAATCTGACTGAAGAAGAGAACTCATCCCTAGGAAAAGAAATTAACAGGCTGATCCGTTTACTCAAGGAAACTGAGGAAGAAGCTGGTGCCTCGAAGGAGGAAGAAGCGCAACTGAAGGAAAATCTCAAGGAAGTTGAGGCTGAGGTGATCCACCTGCAGGAAGAACTTAAAGAAGCTAAGGCCGAGAGCACGAAGTTGAAGGAGAGTCTATTGGACAAAGAAAACGAGTTTCAGAACGTTTTTCAAGAAAATGAGGAACTTCGAATGAGGGAATCCACATCTATTAAGAAGGTGGAAGAGTTATCTAAGATGCTGGATGAAGTTACAAGCAGAAATCGGTCTGATGAAAATGGGGATGTCACAGACAGTGAGAAAGACTATGACATGCTTCCTAAAGTAGTTGAATTCTCTGAAGAGAATGGACATGGTGGAGAAGACTTGTCTAAGAAGGTAGTAGAGCTTTCAGCCAATGAAGAGGGACTGATACAAAACTTACAGGAAGAAAGTATTCCCTTGGATGACAAATGTGAGAAAACTGAATCTCCCAAACCGGAGAATGTGAATGGAAAAGTGAAGGAAGAAGATGCGAACAAAGGACAAGATGATTCTGTTGAATCTGGATTTAAAATGTGGGAGAGCTGCAAGATTGAGAAAAAGGAGTTCTCACCTGATAGAGAGGCAGAGCCTGAATCCTTTGAAGAGGAAGTTGACTCAAAGAAAGAGGGTGGTGAGGGCTTTGACCAGATGAATGGAACCTCTGTAAAAGAAAATGTAGATGATAGTGGGAGGAACTCACCATCAAAGGAACAAGTGAAGAAGAAGAAGAAGCCTTTGCTTGGCAAGTTTGGAAGCCTGCTGAAGAAAAAGGGTGGTAGCAACCACAAATAGAACAACATTTTACCTTGGCAGGTATATTGAACATCATTAAGTTGTTTGCATGTAATTGCTTTATGATTTTTGCTTCTTGATGAATAGCTTTTAAAGAATGAGGAGGCATGTAATATTGTTTAGGAGTCTTACTCTAGTCACTTGTTTTGGGTTGTGGTTCTCCATGTTGACAGTAAATTGTATGTGGTGGAATTATCATTATTTTTTTGCCCCCATTTATTCTGCTTCTTCATGCCCTTCACATGCATCTCACTCACTTAAGAAGTGACAAGTTGGATTGTATTTTTATACCATCTTCTTATCCTCATTCCAATGAAAGTCAAGTCTTCTAAGCACGTTCAATTCCAAATTAACAAAATGAGTTTCACGGGCGTCTCCAACAGTATGAGATATTTCGCAAACACCTTTTTTATTGCTTAAAAATAATCAACTTTTGAAAGTTGTTGAATTACCTTTCATCTAATTAAAAGAAAATCTAACTCAGTTTATTTAAATCAAAATTAAATTTTGGATTATTCAATCTTCTTCAATTCTATTCTTATAGTCTTATATTCTTCTTTTTCTTTAAAAAGAAGTTTTTAGAAAATATTGTAATCATAATGTTCTACTGACAATCATGGTTGAGATGAATTAAACTATGAAGGAAAGTTAATAAAAAATATATATTTTTATAATTTTTATTTATTTAATTATCATACAAAAAAAACGGAGTGAATCGGTAATAAAATTTTCCACTTATGCACTAGAAGAAACCTAAATTTTATGCGTGTAGAAAAAAGAAAATAAGAAAATTTTCTAATTTTTCTTTTTCTCACGCTAACATCACCACATATAACTCATTTCAATTCGATGAATCAGACTTAAATTTGAATTGACCAATCTTCACCCTTTGAATGCATGGGAAAGTTGACTGCACTAAATCTTATTTGGTGCAAAAATGACTTAATCTTAGAACCACACTCGAAAATAATTAATAATTAACTTTTGAATAGTCAAATTTATGTCACATTGCATAAGGTTTGTTTGACTTGTCCTTGTAATGATTTTGACATATTTGAATTTTTTGGAAGGTTCTGTTCCTTTGTAGCATTCATTAATCAAGAGACCTTATATCTTAATTACATGTATGAAAAACTAAAATCTTAACTACTGCTACCTCAAATTAAGTCTAATGTTCACAAATAAATAAATAAATAAATAAAAATTGTATTTTTATAGTTCATAAAATGTATTCATGAAATCAAGTCTTGTACTAAATACATTTTCCCATGAAAAAAAAAAGTAGAGTTCAAAATAGATGAAAAATAAATTTATTGACTTAATGGTCATGTTTTTAGAAAATAGTTTTGCCTAGTTAATATGTTAGTTATTTTTTGTAATAAAAAATGTGTGTACTTTTATTAGAAAAATAGAAATTGAGAAGGTTTAAATTTGAAGGAGAACGTTGAAGAAGTAGTCAATAGATTTGTAGTGAGTTTAGGTGAAGAAGAGCGAAGAGTGAGGAGCGAAGACGAAGAAGGAACCAACGATGTGGCTCGAGATTATCTTCGGTTTGGTCTTCTACAGATTGTTCCGACGATTTTTCTACGACGACGACGTTTTAGACATGGAAGGATCTGATTCTTCTGTTCTTTTCGCAGTCGCTGATAGGTCTCGTTCTTTCTCTCTCTTTTTCTTTTTCTTCTTTCTTTCCCCAATTTTTCTTTTAGGGTTCAAACCCAATTCACTTTTTCTCAGGCTTAAAAAACTGTACGGAGGAAATGTGTATGTGGGTCTTCGAATTCCCGATGCTGACACTGCTTCTCGACAGAGCATTGATATGGTTCTTCTCACCGAACAGTATTGTCCCTTTTCTTCCTTTCAATCTTTTGGGATTTTGGTAATGCCCACTACTGATATATTGTAAATAATTGGAGTATGATTTCGTTTTTATTTTGAGTTCAAACTTATTATACTGCAGAGAGCTGGTGGTGGTTTCTGTGAAAAACTTCTCAGGAATTTTGACAGTTGGTGGTGATGGTAGCTGGGTCTGTGAGAAGCCAGACAAACATAAAGCAGAGCGTTACCCTGATCCTGTAACGAACTACTAAAATTAAATAGTTATTATTCTTATAAATGCAGAACACTAGCATCTCTAAATGGCTCACTGAATGCTGTTATACAAGATGGCATGAATTAAAAACTCGTTTTGGATGTTTATTTAATGATGTGAAGAGTTGATTGCCTAATTAATAAGTTTGTTCGTCAACTGTTTTCTCAAATTATTATGTACAGGTGGAAGAAGCACGGAAGCAAGCTTCTGTTCTCGAATCATATCTTGAACAGAGAGGGGTTGCTCTGCCTGAAGGATACATATGTGTCAAAGTTATACTTCCAAATCCTAAGTTATGGTATTATTTTGAATGTCCTCGAGCTTTCACTCTAAATTTCTTCTTCAAATCTTTTAGATGCTGCTGTCTTTTGATTTGTGATCATAACAAAAAATATAGTTTCTGCCTATATCACATAACTAATCTTAAGTCTTGGCTAACTCTTATCAATAAAAACATTTTCTGTAGAACTCAAAACACGTATTCACTCTATACAATAACTGACAATTCAGAAACATCGTTGCTAAGCTATTGTCTAATGCTAACCACATCATCTCCTTTCCTACATTACCATCATCTAGAGAATGTATAGCTTCTAAATTTGATTCATGAAGAGACAACTCTGTCAATTCAAGAAGTTCTAACACCGTTGTCAACTGGATCATACTCCACTAATGTCCCTCAACTTGTCTCTCCTGTTCTATACAATTATATTCTTCGTTTTTACTAGGCAAAAATTGGGTCACATAAACCCAAATATTATTCATTCATTTTGGATCCATTTTGATTATCTTCAGAGATGAATAACAAGTATGTACGCCAACTCCTCTCACATGAAGAAAAACATGGCTACACTAGAATCTTTATAACAAGCTTTTCTGATATGCATCTAGAAGTATCCAGGCCATATCTTAGAAAAAGATCAAATGAAAAAATATTGAATACTTTTAATATGTATCTGGAAGTGTTCAAGGAGTATCAGTATTCAACATGGATACACGATCAAGACTTGTATGCACTAATGACTATGTTTCCCTTTTCACATATGTTTATGAATTCTTTGAACAAAATGAAGAAATCAGTACTGTGTAATTTCTAGTTAAACTTTTGTTAAAGAAGTTTCAAAATTTAGTACTTGATTCAATTACTTGACAAACAGTTTTTTTTTTTTCACCGGAAAATGCATCTTCTTATCTAGTCAAAAGCAATTGATAGTTTTATCTTAGCCTTTCATCTTAATGCATGTTAAAGTTAAATAATTAATCTCTTTCTTTGTATTTGCAGTACCATTCCTGCAGGTGGTTTTCCATCTGAAGTTATTACCCATGATCAATGGATTCAACTGAAGCCAGAACTAAAGAGCACAGTGTCTACTTGGGTGAAGAGCGCCTTTCGGTGTGGGAAGAAGAAGGATATGCAAGAATCTGTCAATCAAAATATTGATTTTGTCCTTAGCTCAGCACCAATGTGGGATAGGTTGGTTACAATTTGTACTTGATGAGTCACTGTATTTTCTAGTAATACTTCTTGCTATTTGATGCTGTTAATAGTGGCATGACAAAATTTGGCTTAGGGAAGCAAATATGTAAGTGAGCTATGAGATGTTGACTTGCCAAAAATCTGGTTTGTCTTTGCTTGATAGTGTCAAAAAGCCAATTCAACCTCAAAGCTTTATTAAGGTTTTATCCACGTGACGTCACAGAATAACAAATGATAATGCAAAAGCCGTATGCTTTTCTCGAACCTGCAGCTGGGTTTCTTTTTCTTTTTATAAAAGAGATTTAATACACTGTTATGAAATGACTCATGGGTGGTTCCATCTGTTTTTACTTGTATTTCTATTTCGTGATTTTACTATTTCAATTCATTCTTTTTTGGATGATTTAAAACTCTAATATATGTTGCTTTTTATAAAAGAGATTTAATACATTGTTATGAAATGCCTCATGGGTGGTTCCATCTGTTTTTACTTGTATTTCTTTTTCGTGATTTTACTATTTTAATTCATTCTTTTTGGATGATTTAAAACTCTAATATATGTTTCCTTAACGCTACTTAAACAAATGCTTTTGGTGCAGCTAAGGAAATTCTTCTGAATCAGAAGCTTCAGTTCTGATAAGTTTTTTTGGTTAATTGTTGATCAAAATGGGGCTTAGAAATCAGACATGCATGCCTTCACTACAGTGTGTTTTGGAGCTTTGTTGGTGCCATTTAATGTTACCAAATCATAGTTTTTCACTTACACAAAAGAGATTGTTTGGTTTGTAGGGTGGAGCTTAAAGGCAACAAGTATGTGTTGGGGGACTTCCTGGAATTTAAGGGCAAAAAAGAGGATGTTGAGGCTTTAAGACATATTAGAAGATCAAAAGTTGGTCGTATGATAATCCAAAAGACTAGCATGTTTGGACTAGGTAATCTTTTGGGAAAAAGTTATGATTTTACTTCTCCAGTTGTCTTTGTCTGCTTGACTGTATTTCTGTTATCCTCTGTCCCCAAAATATAGTAATAATTATGGTTGTCGAACTCTTGAGTTAACTCTTATACTTTTATGAGTTTACAATCCTAGGTATTACAAGTTTACTCACAATCAAACTCTTTTATGAGTAAACTCAGATAAACTCTTTAAACTCATGGTAAACTTATATAAACTCTCGGGTCAAGAAGTGAGTCAACAAGTTTGAAATAAATAAAAACTTTTGCAGCTCAAATTATTTGAAGAAATTAACTCAGTTTTTAATTGTTTTCACATTAAGAATTTATATTTTTATGAATTTATATATGATTAGTCATTTATGCAGTTTACTCTTATTTATTTAACTCTTTCGTACTATCATACTTTATTTTTATAATTTTCTACTTTTCTTTATTATAAAGTTGAAATGCTGAATTGTTGTTGTTGTAGTATTAAGAGTAATAAAATGTTATGCATATATGTCATTAATAGATTTTTAAATATTACTTTTCATATTAGGTAAACTCTTGCTAGTTTATAAATTCAATCTAGAAGTGGAGTCTAGAATGCTTCACGAGTTTATTTAGACTCTTGAGTTTACAACCATGGTTAATAATAGTATCCTCCTTTATGTTAAAGTATTTGAATTAAGATCAAGAAAAATCAGGGCACAAAATCATTGTGGGAATGAACAGCCCTCTAATAGTGGGTTTATGTTTGATTTTAAAATGGACATGGTAAAAACCAAAATAATGGATACTGGACAAAAGTTTTAAAATTTGTTTCTCTATAAACCAAGGTACAAATCTTTGTTTCATGCACAACACCATCCAAAAGTTAGAAAAAAAACTTACTTCCTCTTTCCCGAGCCCGTTTCTCTTCCTCAATCCTCCTGCACCCTTTCTTCCCCTTCTTTCTCTCAAAACTGCTTGTGTGGTTCTGCAATGATGAACCACCAAACAACAAACAGAACAAAATTTTGTTGTAACTCAACTACTTATATTGTGCTATTTTGGTTATATTGTCCCTCATTGTGCATCAAAGGCATCTTAGTTGATATTTGGAAATCCGAAAAATATGCTTTTTGATCTGCTCATCGCTGATTATTAAGCATGTGGTTCATCCAATTATGATGCTGAAATAACTACCTGTGATGTGACACGAATGATCTTCAATAAAACGATGGTTTCAACTGATAATTTACCTATCTCATGGAGGGGAAAAATAAAATCAAGAAAGCAACCTTTCGATAGTTGTATTGATTTGGTCAATAGTTTTCGGTTTCTTTTCTTAACTTGGAATTATTTGCAGCTCCTTCTAGGCTTCAAGTTCTATATAAATTGCGGGACTATAGAAGTGAAGGGTCATCAGAACCAGAGTGGAAAGAAGTGACCGTAAAATCAAGTACTGAGATAATCTTCCAGCCTGAAAATGGTTCAAAAGTGCGCAAGATTAAGCTCTCCTCAGTGATCTCTATGCGTCTCAGTGCTTGAAGTAAGCCAAACTAAGGAAGGGTATTATAGTGCTTATTTTTGCAGATGGCATCCATCTCTCGTCTACTTATAATCCTCGTTAAGGATTTGTATTCTTCATTAAGCTACATGAAATGGATATGTACACCATACTAGCCTTAGAAAATATCAATACAGTCAAATTTCTGTCTCATCGACATTGAAATGGATATATAATATATTATAGTGCTGATTCCCGCTAACTTATATTATGTATATTTTAATATACTAAACAGTTTAATTTACTTGAGGTTCATCTTTAACGTTTAGCATTAGATCTCCCATATAATGACTAAAACACTTGTTATTTTTTATCCTACTGTGAATTGTATAGAAATATTGCATGTCCCCATGGTATTGAAATAACCAACGTAACCCTATTCAATGACAACATTCACCCTCAAACAATCAATAGCTTCTACTCTATAGCAATAAGAAATTTTGCTTCCCTGTGTATATTTCAGTGGGGCTATCCAAATTAGTTCTAAATCACGCAGCAAAAATCCTTACTTGAAGAGGGTTAACTTTTGTAATTGAAGTTAGAATATGCTCCGCAATTCTGCAGAAGGTGTAACAGTTCTTACACATAACAATAATTAATATATCTTTAAATTGTTTTATTTGTAACTTTTTACAAAGAGAAATAAAGAGATAAAAGAAAAGTGCGATCAAAGGAAATAAAGAGAAAAAGAATGTCGTGTAAATTGCTTAATTTTTATTTTGTTAAAATGTAAGATCTCTAATTTTTAATCATTAACAATATATTCTAAGTAAAGTTATAATTTTTGTTTAGTCCCTTTTTTCTTTGTCAGTTCATTGGGTCATACATAATTTAAGCACGTAGGAGCACCGAATATTTTTAAAATTTATCATACTCGTAAGATTTATGGATATTTTAAATTCAACTTTATTAGTTATAATGTTAGAAGTAATGATTGATATTATTTATTTTTTGAAATGGTTTCCTTGTACACTGGACCAAAGTAGATTAATTGAAGAAATAATAAAATTTGTGAATTATTTCTCGGCCTTCCTTATTGGGTCAAAATCAATAGGATGATTAGTCTTACCTAACGGATAACAAAAACTCTTGACTTTTTTGTCCAAACATAGATTATCACCAAGCTGTAGAAGGGAGTTGAGTTCATATTACTGACTTCACCTCCAAAGTAAAATATATCGTTCGATTTTCTAGGTTGCGTTCTAGTATATATTACTGTCAAAGGAGAAAATCATGCTTAGACAACTGGTTTAAGGGCAATGTTATTAAGAATTATTGAGAAGTTGGACTTGAGTTAGTGTCATATATTTTTTTATCCGAATCTCCTTTTACTTTACAACATACATAAATGGGTCATATTTCCAAATTGTATCTCGAGTCTTAGTCTCTGCACAACTAATCGTTTATAATATTCACTCCCTTTTTATTCCATTCTTCAAGTTTCAGTCTCTCTCCTTCAAAGATGTTATTAGTTTGTGCAAAATAATGAGACAAACAAGTGGATTAACTTCAACCATTTTCTTCATCATGCATGGCTTATTCCAACCATTCACATTAATGTTTATCACAAAATTATAATAAATGCATTTAAACTAAAAACAGCACCATTTTATTTTATAGTTTTATGCAGAGAAGATGAACATCTTATATTTAATATACAATGCAAGAGCTTTCTATATATATTTGGATCTGAAATTGATCGATTAATCCATTGTCAAATAATACACACAAACCAACCTTATGGATAACTAAATTAACAATATATGTTTATGTATACATAGATCAGCGAATAAATCCCATTCTGTGAAAACTCTCAAATGCCATGATCTTTCATGGAACTGTCGACCACGGCTGGTTAGAATGTTGGCTGCAAATAAACAGATAGAAAGAGAAAAAAATGAGTGCACCATCATCTTGATATATAGTTTTTAAAATAATTATAATAAAATTTTTTAATACTGAGTTTTAAGTTATCAGTGTATATAGTCTAATAAAAAATATAATATATAACATCAATTATAAAGATGTTAATCATTGAGATGAAATATGATGACATTGTATAACATTATTGAGTTAAAATATAAATAACATATATTAGAAGATATAATATATCTACGAACGTTAAACTGTTTTTGACTTTGAAAATAACTCTTATATTTCTGACAGAAAACAATAATATTACCATGGGTGGTGTATCTGAGTTGCAAGAATAATAATAATAATAACCAGAGTGGAGATAGAAAAAGGCAATTATGCAGACTCACTCTATCAAACCTTTCCAATAAGTTTCGGTTGCATCCTCATCCATGAAATCTCCCCACGTTAACTCAAAGGTGGTGGAAGAAGGGTTGGAACACTCCTTTGAGTCTACATTAACGTTTTCTGCTTCCTTCACTGGGGAACGTTCAGGTGAGGCAGAAACCAGATTTGGAAGCGAATTTGATGGTGAAGGGTCAGCATTTATGGAACCTTGTGTTGGCTGCTGAGGGCTCTCAAAGTTTTGGAAATTGGGGTGGATTTGAGAAAGTGAATTACCATCATAAAGGTTTTGGAGATAATTAGAGTGATTCAACCCCAAAACATCATTTAGAAAATTATCTGGCAGTGAGTTTAATGGTAAAAAAGGGTTGAGCGGGTTAGAGTTTGAGGCAGGAGAAGGAGTGGCAGCTATGACTTGAAACATGTTTTGCAATGATTGTAATTTGGCTAGTTGTGTGGCATCTGAGTGTAGCCTTAGAGCATTGTTTATGTCACAAGGGTTTGTGAAACTGCTCACGATTTTCGCTGCTGTCAATATCTGTTGTAGATTGGAAAGAAGGTTTAGGTGATCAGTTCTTGGACGGTGAGTCACTGGGTCTAACCCCATTTGCAGAAGCTTTTTCTTTAAATGTGTGTTCCACAAATTCTTTATTTCATTATCAGTTCTACCTGGAAGATGAGATGCTATAGCTGCCCACCTAACAAAACAATGGAAACAAATTAAGAATACTAAAATCATTGATATAAACTAAGGTTAAATTGAACAGTTTTCATTCCAAATAGCATTGCCTTCAAGTATATGCCTTTAATCTTAGATTATAAACTATATATATTGTAGATTGAAACACCATGCATATATAATGAAGAAAAAGCTTTGGGAATTAGTTGAATACTTATTCCCAAGAACTGCATGTAAATTGATGATGAGTTGCTCTTCTTCATCAGAGAATTTCCCTCTTTTGATATCAGGTCTGAGGTAATTAGTCCACCTTAGTCTGCAACTCTTTCCACACCTGTTCAATCCTGCAAGCTTTGGAAGGGCTCTCCAACTCCCATGGCCATGCTTCTGAATGTAATCTACCAGTATTTTATCCTCTTCTGGGCTCCATGGCCCCTTCTTCAAACCACTTTCGTCACTGCTTAGTGTTCTCATCATCACTACTGCATGCAATAATACTAATAAATGACAAAACAATAGTAAAAGAACATGTAGTTTGATTGAAGAGTAGTTACTTTGCATGACCAAAAAAGAAAGAGACCAGCAGAAGAAAAATACCTTCAAAGTGTTTTGAAGAGGAGAACAAAACTAACATTTACCAGAGAAGTGTTTGTTATATATAAGGTGGCGATATATGCATCATCATGTTGTGGTGGCATATTCCAAGTTTGTCCTTTATATCGTACACAAAGTCATATAGAAAACGACATTAAAGGGAATCAGCACACACTCACTCCTCAAATTACATTTACTCATAATAATCTCAAATTTCATTGGACACGATATCACCAATAGAAACATAATCAAACCACTCAATGTCAACGAACAGTTACGTAAATATTTTCCTTTTCAAATCATATCTAGTTTCTTAAGACATTCTACATATACACATAATTTATTCCATTATAATCAACAGTTACAGAAATATTTGCGTTGAAAATCTATACCTACTCGTTTTTGTCATTATTCTAAGAAACGGATATTATCTTCAGTTTCATATCGCAATATGCTAAAATATATGAAATCATATTAGTTTTCATGAATATATAGATATATAAATATAAATCATTATCCCTGAGACACTCATGAGGCAGAAGTTTCCTAAAACAACAGTGAATAGCTTCTCTGATAAACCTTCTTTCCCTGCCTAATTTGACTTTATTTAATTTGTGGCCTAAATTAATCTTCCATTGACGTACAAAGTAGCAAGACTAGCTAGTAGAGTCAACACAACTCGAATTGAAAACATATATGTATATTTTATTTATGTAGAAGAAAGAAAATTAAGAATGAATAGAAACAATATACGCAGAAGGGTTAGATGATGAAAAATTCAACAGGGGCTGTGTATTGGTAGAGAAGGATGGATGTATGAGTATGACCTTCACTTGTCCAAGAAGAACAAGGCACATGTATGCGTGTGGCTTGGGCAACATATGCCAAAGACTAAGACAAGAGAGAACACATCACAAACAGCAACGAACTTGAACTACCAGCTAGGGTTGGTTTCCACGTGGATACCATTTAGTGAGTCTGAAACTCACTTTTCATTGCCCATTTGGAGAAGAAAACCATCCAATATGTCTTAACATAATTTGTTTTAACCTTTGATCCTATTTTAATCATTTGTGTTTCGTGTCATGCAACTCAATAAACCGTCCACTTGTAGGACCCTTCATTCAACGAATCCACATAATGTTTAAGAACATATATTTATACACAATGTCTTGTTTCTGATATCTATTGGTCGCTAAATCGTACATGGATGCTGAACAAACATATTCAATAGAAACTCGTGATTAATGTTTTGATAGTTGAAGCATATTAATTAATGGATAGTTGGAGCCATAAACATAGTTTAATTATGTGCCGTGCGGTGTGAAAAGTTCCAAACACACAGTGAATAAGCGATTATTGCGAAATCAATAAAATCTGCATATTTGTATATATAAAGAATACTTAAATGGCAGATGTAGCAGTCTTTTTATTCAATCTTGTTAGGTAGTAAAAGTGAAAAATGATTACGTATATGCATCCCACCACCACATTTAAAAAATCAACTATTCATGACTTTAACTGGAATATACACGATTTTTTTTTTCTGGTCTAATGTGTATAGATATATTAATTAGTTCTAATTGAAGACTCCCTCTACGTTTAGGTGAGAGTGAGAATAAGAAAGTTATAGCATTTGTTTGGGTATGTTAAGTTTCACTATGAATAATTAGCATGTTAAAATGCCATCTATTTTAATTTGGTTTGTAATATCTGAGTTCCCAATCTTATACACTATCAATAATAGGTCTAAGCAGCAGTCTCTATTCTCTATCTGATTAGTGACCGAAATGTTTCTCAATATCAAAACCCTAATGGCGTTGACAGTTTTGGCACGTATCTTTTTAGATATATTTTAAACACACAAAAGAAGGGAATCCCCAACTAATTTCGAGTGTTTCCATAGCAGCAATTATAATTTCGAGTGTTTACACGTTAACTAATTCAAATTTACTTATGTTTGTCATTGTTTTTTTTAAACGAACGAAACATGTGTAAGAAATCACCATATTGATCCATAGATATTCGTAGTTTCTCTGGAAAATATGGTTTTAAAGGAGTATTCAAGTTGATTAGCAAGATTATCTCTGTGTATTCAAGTTTGTATTCGACTTCCTCTAACTACATGCTAAAGTGACTCAAATTTAGTGTCACTTAAAACCAACCATTTATTTTGATGACCCATCGGTGTTATTAAAATATTCTTGAATAGATATTTATTAATTATTTTGTCATGATCAAATAGTAAAGGTATAATCCACACACAAATAAGAGTGTAATACACATAATGCAAATATTTTCTTAAGCGGATAATGTATTTATATTTAAGAAATAAAGTAAAAAAAAAAAAAAAAGATAAGATGATTTTATAAATCTTTCTCTCTTCTAGTTTGATTACAAAGAAGACAAAAGAAAGAAATATGCATATAAAATGACATAAATATATTTATATATTATATAAACCAACCTCCCATTTCCTTTCTTTTAAATTTACATAGTATGAAAGAGGTACTTCCTTCTTAAGGTGTTCCAAATGAAAGAAGGGTAAAATGTAGTGTTTTGCTTGTCTAAGTGTTGCATCATTCCAAAATAGTAATAATAATAATAATAATATTGATAAAGTGTTGGTCAATATATAACAAATGACGCGGAAGGAGTTGTAGACAGTAGATAAGCAGCAGGCAAACAGAATGGAACATTTATACAAAAGAAATACAAGGAATAAGGAATGAGGTTAAAAAGATATAATTAAAAGGCATAATAAGCATTAAGCTTATAGAATTTCACAAACTTTTTGGCGCAAGAGAAAAGTTTGCTTTAGGTATAGAAAAGAGTAGTGGGTGTTGTTCCTTCTAGAGACATTAAGGAGTGTTTTGCAGCAAAACAAAGTCACTGTCATTGGACACAATAGTCAATTTGGGGGGTTAAAGGGATAGTAGACCTTGCTGTTGCAGGGGTTTTCTACCAACATTACCTCATTATCCACATTTACAAGCCACTATAGCCTTTTTCATGTTTACTAAATATATTATATATTATCTAACTAATTAACTAATGACACCTCTTTCTCAAAAGTTTTGTGTAAACGGAATATTTTGTGAAGAACAATAACGAAATGTACCACTGTTTGTTACTTACGAAACTTGGTTTCTTTTACTAGATAATAATAATTACACCGTTTAACATAATTCATGTTAACTTGCGCACTTGGTACATGTTTGCCACAAAAAGACTAATGTCGTTAAACTAAAATACTTATATTGATTGGATAAGTGAAAGGGATTGGTCGTTGTTCTGAAACTGAAAGTTGTTCAACTTCAAAAGTTAAAAACCTGGTTTGCAAGTCCAAACCATCACAACCATTAATTATTATCAAAGGAGTTGGTAAATGGAAAGATTCACGTAATTACAAGATTTACCAAAGGTTAGTTGAGAAGACGATGCAAGACGACTTTGAATGAATTTCATAAATATTCTAATAATGGCTTAACGTGCAAAGAACTACTACAGTACAATATTTACCAACAATTATTGGCTCTTGTTTTCTTTTTAAATGAAATTTTGCACATGCAAATTAAATTCAGGGATTGATGAGATCGTAGAATTAAATTATGTGGTTGGTCCTAGTAAAATATTGAACACTATTTTCTTGAAAACTGTTTTCTATTTTAAAAATAACTGGAGTCTATTACATCCTGATTTGAGATGTCTTTAGCGAAGTTTGTTATCAAAGCAAAATGTAATCCACTTTGAGCTACTAACGCCCCTTCAAACACAGCTTTGATTCTCATATTTAAGAATAAGAGAAATCTTTAAATTCGTGTTACATTCATAATTACAAAACATAGTAACTATTCTATGGAACTATGAGCAATTGTGATTGAGTATGAACTAAAAAAGTGAGAGATGAGAATTGTAGAAAATTAAATTAGTTTTATACTTGAAAAGTCTATCACAGAAGTAAATTATCTTGAAACAAACTTGTGGAGGAATGTAAAATGAAATATCGAGCAAGACTAAAAATATATGTATGTACATGACCTTACATTACATTGACCAAGTTATCAATGTAACACTGATTTTTAAAAAACTGGATTAATGTATTTGGGAAGGTTACTGAAGAGAAAAGTAAATTATACAATTTTGAGTTAAAAAAAGGGAGAGATAAAAATGAACATGAAAATGGACGTCTTTAAGAAATACACCATGCCTTGCGTAGAATAGCATTGAGTTAAGGAATAAAAGTATGGGGCGAGGAAGCAGTTTAACTGAGCGGAAACAATGATTTACAATTTATATAACTGACTAGTTTCCTAGGCTAAGAGATATGGTCGGCGTTCTCCCCAACAAAATTTGTGGCCGACAGACAAAAAATGGCACCTATACATCTTAGTGCTGGATTCTATATTTTCTTTATTCTAATCCTATAAAATAAAAGTATTGCTTTTTATTAGTAGTTCAACCCAACATAAAAAGCAAGGATATCTGATGAAAAAGATCACATGCAATGCAAGTCAAAAACCGCTTCTTAGGTTTTTATCCAACAGCTTCTATACCCACTTGTTTCAATGTTAAATGAATGCAGCAGCAGCAACTTCTTGTGTTGTGATACACATGCCGCTAATCCTTCCAACCACAATTCGTAATCAACCTTCCAGACATGCCTCCTGTTCGAGAGACACATATTAGTGTAACCCCCCTCACTGCCAAATAGTTTGCAAGAAAGGAAACAATCTATGCGGCAAATTTTTCTGTAACCCTCAATGAAAGAAAAGCATAACATGCTAACCTCTAGATCTTAAAGCAAGCGGGCCAAAACATAGTCCAAAAATATTAAGTAGTTGGTCGTGTCATTGTAGATAAACCTCTTCCCACTGGAATAACACCGGGATAAACATCATCCACTACTTCCTCGTCTAAAGGAGCTGCACCAGATAGTAAAATTAGTACTTGAAAATGAGACAACTTTTTTTCTTCCAAAATGATGTGGTGAATTATCTACACTCAACATTTAGCCAACACATCACGGCAGTTATCAAGTTCGGTAGAGAATATCTGGCTGTTACCTATGGAACATGTTTAATGTAGATAGATAGATCTTGCAGTTCAAAATTTCAAGTTCTGAAAGGAACAATATGTGTTGATGATGTCAATGTAACATATCAGAGCTTAAGGCTGGATTTGGAATAGGGATCCCATTTCTCGCTTCTTCGTGTTTGGAATATTCTTTTTTCACTTCTTATGTTTGAAATATTCTTTTCAGAATACATTTTTAACACCCAGTAAAACCGAGGAATTGAAAATTTTGTCAAAGTCACTGCTCAAATTTGGAAAAGATGAAATTTGGATTTATGTTCCACAATTCTTTGGAGAAAATAGCAAAGCAAGATCCAATATTAGACACTGGGAATATTACTACACCTGCTATATCTTGTGCAGCCTGAGAACCAGCAATTCCAATGCATGAATATAGAGAATTCTCATCCACTTTCAACTGTTCATATGCAATATATATATCCTCAATAGTAGCAACTTCATATAGAAATGTTAGGTCCTTGATACATGATATGTCCTGGATCCACAATCAATATTAGAAAGAATAACTTAGAAGCAAGAATGACAGATAATAAAATTTTGGCAGGACTAAACCTTAAACCTTGTTTTGTTTTGCAACAAAATAAAAACTTCAATATCTCACACTTCAAGATTCAGATATCTATATCTCACCTTTCTTGGAACAGAAGAAGCTTGTAAATGAGCTAATAACCCTAACCAGTAGGCATTCGACTTAATTTCAGCTTCATGTCTCATAAGAAGGGTGCGTTTAGCCTGCGTTATTAAAAAACCACCAAAGGAATTCTCAAATTTAAAATGAATAGCAAATAGCATGAAAATTTAAGCCATATTTGGAAATAAAATGAGAGCACCACGTGCATTTTAACCATAAAATTATTTGCTTTTTAAGAAACCATCACAGAGAAACACAATATACTGAAGAATAAGTTCATATGATGACAAGAAAAGAATAAAATAAAACTAATCGAATTTGAACAATAATAGTATATATTTAGCAGAAAAACATGTGTTCAAAACTGTTTCCACTAAATTTCAGTTACTAACCCTGTCCAATTCCCTCTCAGTAATTTTGTTGCTATGCAGACCTCTAAGAACATTTTTGCATGCATCAACAGCTTTGTGAACCTGCAAATCAATTTGAGATAAAAATTTTGAACAGAAGGAACCTGGCAGCAAAAATTAGATTGAATATATTACAAGAATGGAGCTCACACCTTGCTCGGAGTTGATGTGACAGAGATCACATACCATCCTAGTTTAAGCCTGTCAAACAAGTTTAATTCAAATGACACGTCATATGTCAATCCCAGAGAATCTCTGACTGTTGTGAAGAGCCTGTTCAGGAAAAATGTAATCAGATTTCCGACCAAAATAAATTGAAAATAACACTCTGTATTTAGTATACTCAGATATTTTAAGATTCCAGCCCAAAATGTTACTACAAAAATAATTTTAAGGGTTAGATTAACAGAAAATGAAGCGTCAAGATAAGGAGAAACACTTTTAAAGCTACCCTTGAGATGATTAGATTAATCTTCTCTCTACACTAGACTTAAAACTTAAAATAAATAAATACTTTTGAACATATGAATTAAATTTTGTAATAAAAGGATACTTTTGAACATATAAAGTAGATATTATATTTATATAAATAGTATATTGAGATACAATATTATTATTAATTGTTTATAGTTTCTCTTTAAAATATTGAAATCTAATTTAAATGTTGAAAATGATAGAATGAAGATATAAGTTAAGAAAATCCCAAAAACTGAAGAATGTTAGTTGAAAATATTCTCGGCCATGATAGGTACTCTAATTTCCTGAGAGAGAGCATATAAAATAAAATGACAAAAATCTAAATTGTGAATTAAGATTTATACAATTCACATTCTAAAAACAAAATTTGTTAAGCTTTTCAATTTCATATAATAATGACTCGAACAAATTGAAAACTAAGAGATAATTCCACAATGCAATATTTACCAAAAAAATATTCCATGATATCTCTTAAATGTTCAAACATCTAGTTTTTTTTCAACCTTAAAACAACTAGTGAAGTCCTTTGAAAATGAACCTAATAATATGTTGAGTATCACAAAATTTATAAGTAGACCTTTTCAAAAATATTATGACAAGTGTGTAAGAAGGGTTTAGCTAAGAGTAGTATCATCCCACTCTTGGGCCACATCCAAACCATGTCAAAGAGCTATCCAGCAGTGTGAAAAATATATCCAATTTGGAAAAAAATATTTTACAATTGTGACACACTGGAGGATTGTCCAACGCATATCAAAGGTGTGTTGGGTGTATGTGCTTCCAAACTTTCTTCACTAAGCTAACTGTAGGTGAGTAGCGAGTAGCAAGAGATACCTAGAATTTATGATCTCAGAAAGCAGTCCCATTGTTATACCAAAGAAAAGAGGATGACCACGTAGGCTCTTTTGCAAACCTTGTGTCAGTTGGGCATCCGAATTTGACTGATCATCTGCACAAACCAAATCAAGCATTTAACAATTTCTGAAAAGAATTTTTGAAATACAAAGAGTAGAATATGGTGCTACTAGAAAAAAAAAATTAAAAAAAAAAAAATCAACAAGGTCCACCATTGATTGTTGAAGCATCATTATTGGACTCTAACAAATATTTTCCATCAACAGTAAAACCCCAACGGTTTGGTGCTGGTCCAGCTATATAAGCACATGCCCTCTCATCCGTGTCCTTTAAAAATACCTGCAAAAGTCGAAAGTACATAACCATGTCACAAGCCTAGTTCATTGATGTATTGACACTAATAATTCCAAGTCTGCAAACCAAACTTGACTAAGCAACTAGGGCATGTTTGGGCAAGCTTCTCCATAAGGACTACTAGGAGAGAAAAAAAAAAAAATTGACTTCCTCAAAAGTTCGTAAGCTAATTTATTGAAGCTCTCTCATACAGCTTCTTTCAATTTTATTATTTTTAACTTGTGCCTAAAGTACTTTATGCTTATGGAGAAGTCAATTTTTTTTCCTTCATATTTTTCTCTCCAATAAATCCTTATGGAGATGTTCATCCAAACAGACCATAAATAATATGTTGTTAACTTCTCAGAAGATAACAGATGCAAAAAGGTGATTAATGCTTAGCTTCTCACTTCTTGAAACTGCAAATCAGATGGAGATGATCGAAATACGGGTGGGTTAAATTCTTGCTCCCTTTCACGAATTCGTGCGGCTTGAGCTGTGCCAAGGTAATCAAGAATGCAAGATTCAATGTCCTCCTCAGTGAAGTCTCCTACAATGCATACCTGAAGGGAAAAAAAAAAATTGGAACACAAATGTAATTGTAAAAGACAATGAATTTAACAAATTAATGATAACAGACCTCCATGTTATCACCAAAAAATTGATTCATCACTGCATCCTTCACAGATTGCAAGGTTAAATTTTCCAGTGATTTTGGCGTAGGCTCAATAAACCTCTCATCCCCATCCAACATTGCTACCATGAGTTTGTGAGCAGTTGAGCGTTCCAAGCTCTTGGGGATGGACCGGTAATATGACAGATACAATTGCCTTGCTCTATCAAAAGCATCGTCAACCCAGACACTATGCTGCATAAGAAACAGAGAAGAAATGTAATTGAGTACATAAATGCATTTATATGAAACATATGTAGATGAGAAAAGGCTTGATAGTAAATGGAAAGATGTTTACCTCAAGCACCATGTGAAGCAATTGAAAGGCCGCACGCATACCATTGTCTCTTAAAGTAAAACGGAATTCCATTGAAATGAATTCTTCCGTAGATTCCAAGGAGCAATTTATAAGGTGATTTACACAGAAAAGTTCCACCTGATATTATGCATAAAATACAAGACATTCATGAAGTGGAAGGGAGATCAGTTGTTAGATACTGAAATTATCTATGTATAAATAACATATTCTCAAACATAAGAAATTCAAATAATACATTTGGAAACATCTGTTAGTAAGAAAAGATAGTAACCTGTTCCCTTGAGAAGTTACCAACACGACCTCCCTCACTAAGTGTCCTCACACCCACAATCACAGATCCTCTTGCATCGGAACTCTCAGCTGCTCGTCCACCACCAACAATCAGCCGCATCACACCACTTTGTGTTTCAGTTTTTGATATCTGTCAACCATAAAATGCATTAATAAGTTCTATATAACTGATGCATTCTCTTTTTATTGGGGTGCAAGTTCTGAACTCTTTATGCCAATCTCAAAGTGCATTTGTGGAATCAGCTAGAAATTGCATGGCATGGTACAAACATCATAGGAAGCTAGAAATTAAGTGTTTGACAAGTTCTGTCTCCTTACAATCCATTATTACAGAAAAGAACAAACCAAAGCAGTAGCAGAGTGCTAGACTTACAATCCATATAGACTGAGCCACTAAGTTTAAAAGCGCAATGCTGAGCACAATGACATAGCAAAGGAAAATAAGGTACTAGTATCATGAGAATCTCAATATAAATTGACATCAAATACCTTATAGTTAACAGGAATTCCATTTGAAAGACGGCGCTGGGTGATCCCAGTTTCCTCATCAAGAAGCTTTGTAGCATCTGTTTCGGGATTTACAGGAATGAAGGCTGGCTTGCGCAGTTTTTTCAACTCCTCTAGTTTGGATGATTGTATCAGCTCTTTTGGCACCTCAAGCTACATACATACAAAAGCAATTAATTAGCTGAACAGCAATTCTGTATATAGGCCAGACACACCCAGTTCATATAAGAATTGGTAGATACCTCAGGCTCTGGCTGAATAGGTTCATCCAATCCAGCTTTGATAGCATCCGTAGTCTCAGTTGATGATATCTTGAATTCTGTTTCACCAGCTCCCTCAATGTGAACTTTTTTTGGAACACAAGCAACAATTGCTGCAGGTAGCGGTGCAGTAGGCTTTGCAAAATCAGCTATAAATTGCAACACCTTGGCACCAACAGAATTGACCTGAACCAGAAGATATTTTGAGTAAATGACTAGAAGGTACCAGATAAGCTTTTATAACATACAAATTTATTTTCTAAGAAAACCTTTAAATATATTAAATTTAAAATATAATACAATATTTAGTACAGTATGTTTAATTTTCAAATAAAATTTGAGAAAATGACATGACAAAAGAAAATAACAGAAATATGAAATGATAAAGGAAATATAATTTCCTAAAGTAAATCAATACACTTGGCAATGTTGTAATACTGTTCTAAATATTTTCTTTAACTAGGACACTAATGAGCTACAAGAAAACAATCTAAGATAGAATGAAAGAAGGTAAAACCTCATCTTTATCATGGAAGGAATGCACAAATCGTTAAGCAAAGGGAAAAATAATCAATCTTCTTATTAGGATAAACAAAAAGGTTGCAGTAAAAAATCAAAACGTAGCAAAGAGATATCTGCAGAAGAACTTTAAATTAGCTCATGCCTCTAATTTAACAATCTGCACAAGGTCCAATGCATATCAATGAAATTACCTCCTCGAGGGTAACTGTCCCAGCAACAGCAAGTAAACTTTCATGCCCTTGTCTCTGGTCCATAACTTTATGCCCAAGAGCATCACTTTCCATGATAAAATCCAAGTTATCAACAGAAGATACATTATCAATCATGGCTGCTAAGTGTTCACTATCTTTCAGAAGGGCATCTAAGTAACGAGTTAATTCACCCTGGGTAACCCCAAACTCTTTAAGTCTCCGAACCTGGATCACACAAATTACATTAGAGACTCTTATCATAGAAAGACTTAAGGGTAGGCTATCATTCAAGCTATTTGAAACCTTAAGCAATATAGTTTTCTCTATGCAACCCAAAATCTAAAAAGATTTCTGGGAACAATTGTAAGAGTTAAAAAAATTCATAAACTTTATGTGAAGTAATTGCCATAAAGTTGAGTTATTTTATATCAATGTTAAACAAAGGACTGAAAACCGGCAAAGTGGAAGTGGATCTTAAAATACTTACTGAAACGGCCAATGGAAAGAAAAATACAAAACAGCTCTATTGCAAACAAAACAATTAAAGCACAGCAAAAGAAAAAAACCTCTTGAACAGCAACTCTAATTGCATTATGCCAATTCTTTGGCTCTGCTGTTATGGTAAGAGTAGTCACAGTGCATCCTTCCCTCCCAGAGTCACTGTGATCCAATTCAACTGAAGTGAACGGTGGGTTCGAACTCTGTAAATTCCATGCATTAGTAAACATTTAAATGCTAAGGGATGGGCATTAGCAAGTGAGAAGTGATTTGTATTGGGAAAGAGTATTATGATTTAAACATTGCAATCCACAGAATGGAATCACTTGTTGTCTCTATCAACAACTTGGAGTATACTTTATAGAAAACTGGGTATAATTACTGAAAATTTTAGGACCAGTTTTTGTATGAGAAAACATTTTACATTTTCATTTATTTTTTTCACTAAAATATTCACTTTGTTTTCTATTTTTGATATTTGTATGAGAAATTATGAAAACAACAAAATCATATAATAAATGCCAATGAATTCCTACAGTAGTCACATAAAAAAGACAGGACTGAGAAAGAGAACTAATGCAGATACAAAGAATTTCATCTCACCTTATATCTTGTATTAATTCGAAAATGAAGAGCAGACAAAAATATTCTTTTCATCAAGACCTGGCGTAAGTCTCTGTATGTTTGAACCTTATTTACTGGTATCTGCAAAAGACATTAAAAACAAAAATTAACAAGAGATGGAGCATAAATTTTATAATATCTAACATCATATCAATCAAACACTAGTGCCAACCCAAAAAAATGGCTTAGCAAGATGGCCAATTTACCATTGATCATGGATGAAAGATAAATACTTTACACTATATACATATAAATGCGCCCAAAAAATGAAAAAATAAAAAAAATAAGCCACCCTACCTTTAAAGACATTCATCAACAATAATCAAATGTCGTAGGGCAGACACACAATTACCATTGATCTAAGGGATAACTAACAAATTCATAACAATGAATGTCAAGAATCATAATGGAAAATAAAAAACAGCACCTTTATATAAGAAACAAATGAGTATTATTTTGGTCCTAATTATAAGAAATATGGACCCACCTTCAGATGTATTACTTGCTAATTTCTTTTTTATGATCTTAATTTATAGTGAAATCTTAATGAGACACTTTTTATCCATGTAAGTGAATGCATTTATTGGCTTAATAACAATATAAGCCACACTCATTGGTGGAAAAATTATTCTTTCAATTATGTGTGGTGTCATCACATAAAACCACTGAAACTAATTAATTCTATGAGGCACATTTTTGGAGTAAAATTTAAATATGTGACATTATTAATTTTAACTATATAACTTAATTACATATATTAGCTTGGTGAATTGATTTTGTGTTCTTATTATATAAAGGATCAAAGGAAGTATTTCTAGCAACTCCAAGCCGCCATAGACAAACTCCAGTGCCTTAATTACAAAAATAAAAAATCAAGGACCCATTGAAATTTATTTTTATTTAGAGAACTATTAAAATTTCCCAAAGAGATCTATGTTAAACTGTTGGAAAGTCGCCTTACACTCTGAGATATGCCATGATTGAAGCCTCAACTACTAGAGAATAGCTTAAATAGAAGTAATAAATATTGGTCCTTGGACAATACATACCTTCTGAATTGGTTTTGTAAAGCTAAGTTCAACTGAGCCCAAATTATAAGATAAACCCTTTTTTTATGTGTCAAGGGATTCTAACTCTAGAATACTTTGGATGCAAGAATAAAAACATTGTAAAATCATAAAAATCTCCCCAATAAATGAGTAGGCAATGGCATAAAGGGCAGACCAGACAGAGATTTCATAACCGTTCAGATTAAGGATTCGCTACAAGCGGAAAATGATTCAATTTGCAAGAGTTATAGAAGCAGCTAGAAGCTGATTTGCCCCCACATTGCTGCTATGGCATGTCACAATTGGCCATTATAACTATTCTAGTGAGTACTTGACAATGTTTAAAGCCAGAAAGGCGTTAGTGCCATAAAGAGAGAAGCATGACAGACACAACTTGCATAGAATTCCAACTTATCTCTAACGGTTATTGCTCATTACTATTCTAGTGAGTACTTGACAATGTTTAAAGCCAGAAAGGTTTTAGTGCCACAAAGAGAGAAGCATGACAAGAACAACTTGCATAGAATTTTACACTCTAATTATCATTAGACCAAGACAACATCTACTAGACAAGTTATATGAATAGGAAAAAAATTTATGTAAATTGTTCATTTGACCAGTAGACCTTGATATCAACCACTAAATCACATGTGCTTGTCCTTTATGTGTTACACCCAACATTCTCCATTGACCATTTCTCCACCACGAGGTCTCCAACTAAGTTATCAACTCCAAAAAAATTTAATCAAGCAAATAATAATTGAACAAAAATGACAGAAAATGTAATTCTTGGTCAAAGACAGAATGCATATACATAAAAGCAACTGCAAAATCTACACTACAAGTTGGACTCAAGAATAAGATAAAACAAAATTCAACCTCTTCATACCTTGCAGAACAAATTAATTGAAAAGTTTTGAAGTAACTCATGTTGAAATATTTGTGGTGGCTTTAAGTCAGCACCACTCCCAGGAAGTGACCAATTATGCTTCACAGGAGGACGAACAGCTTGCCTTTCCTTATTGAATATTTTTGATTGATCCACTGCATTGGCTGACCTTTCGACAGAATTTCCACCCAAACCAACAGATAGCTTTGGAACAAGAAAACTAGCCATTGCACCAAATGCACTTGGAGTGGGTACAGAACCTTTCTCACTGTCTGCACCAGTTTGTCCAAAAACAGCCTGTGATAACAGTTTATTGTATAAGATTCCAAAATACTGAAAGCATGATTCATAACCAAACTTATTAATTAGCAAATGTAGGACATACTTCAATCTGGTAAATAGTCTTTGATATGTTATCAATATCCCCCACAATGTACAAGGTAGCATTTGCAGGGAAATACCAACGCTCATGAAACTTCCTTATTTTATCTGCATCCCATTTCTTTATCTGATCTTCTAATCCAATGGGAAACCTTTTACTCAGCTTATTTTCAGAATGCAGATGCTGTAACAACTGCAATCACAGAAAATAAAAGCAATGCCAAATAGGAAAAAATAAAATTGAGTCAACATTCTGTGCAAACACAATGATAGCTTGAATTTCCTAGAGATATTCTGTTCCTCACCTGGCAATCAACTCGATACTCTATTGTATTCATCATTTGAAGTTCTGATAGTATAGCACGCCGTTCTTTTTCAATCCGAGAAGCAAGAAACTTTGGGTGGAAAGCTATCTGCATACATCAACAACAATAAGCTGAGAGTAAATGCTAACCTAGAAGTATCATATTTGTATTTACTCTATTGTGCCCTATCATGTAGAGTCAAAACCAAAGCATAAGACCTAGATCAGATGAAACACCTTGTTAGAAAAAAAAATGCATTTGTACAGAAGTGGAAAAATGACAATGGCATTTGAAAACACAAAGTTCAATAAAGCATACCTCATTCAGGGCATCCAGAACATGTGGAAGTAGATCCCCATCAGAATCCTGACAAACATAGTCAACAACATAAATAAAATATGAAATATTCAATATGAAGATCAGTCCTAGTTATTAAGCACTGAAGAAAATGAAGCCCTGAAGCAAGACATTAACAGATTTAAGATAAAAGCAAGGTACACTTGGGTAAACTATGCGCAGTTTAAATGTGTCAAGGAATATTTTTTATCACATAATAACATAGGAAATATGACAATCAAATTTTCTACCTTTATAATTGTTGAAAAGTTGCCTTAGTTATGGTTCATTCCCAGCCCACTTTATTGTGGCCTCTACAAAGATTGCCTTAATTGCGATCTCAAGGTAATATTCAATCTTACATTAACTAAAAATATGACTTATAAAGCTTGGACTTTTCACAAATTACCAACTGATTTTGCGAGGTTAGGTTAGGCCCTAACACTAAATCATAAGAATAATATTCACTCCTACATTGCACTCTCTCTATTTGGAGAAGTTTCTTTCCTAGAAATAGAGCCTAATGTTTTCCCTATTACCTAATGGAACTTTAATCTAAATATCATGCTGAACATCTTTTAAAGAAAATTATTTAAGTTCTTTAGCATTAACAAGGATTTACTAATGCATGTCACAAACTTTAAGTGTAGGACACTTGGATACTAATAGAACATTGGGATTGGGATTTGGGAGTATTACTGACAAATTCTTCTTACAACTTAACTCAAAAATTTATAATGTTAGTCAAATACTATGCTGTTCAAAATATGAATTAATCATATCCATTACAATGTCAAAAATTTCCACATATTGCTTAGACAGAGGCACACAAGAAACATCATTTACCCTATTCTCATAAGCATGATTAAATTAGTAATTAGTAACACAAGGAACTAATAACTTAAAACATCACAAGAACTGCACACTAAATGCCCCATACCTTGGTGCTTGTAGGAGCATGGATGTGAAACACTGTATGGTGGAAATCAGTGTAAGCATTTGAACGGGCTCCTGTTCCCAAAAGCTTCTCACGTTTTTTACTTCCTAGGAAAGCAACATGTTCAATCATATGTGCAATTCCTTGCTCATCCTCCTCCTCGTCTATTGATCCTGCATGAACTTCCAAGTGTGCCTCGAACCTAAAATGGAATCAGTTGATACTCAGTAATTGACAACAAGCAGATTCTAGAGAAACTTGCAAGGAGTACATGTGCACACAACCAATTTCGAACTTCTTATCGTCAGTATCTTGCAACAAATCAATGTTTAAAGAGAATGCAGAAAACTATATCACATCTGACTGTATCAATTTCATTAAAAAATCTTCAAGTTATGTGATTGCAAACTAAATTATTTACTTCAAAGTGTTGATGGTATACACACATTTCACCTAAGAACACTTCACAGTTACATTTTAAACTAAATATATTTCACTATAAAAACTATGAACTGCTAACATAGCCTTCCTGCAGAAACAAATACTGAAGAACACGAGAGTAAGGCACTGAGGCAAAACCCCTCAAGGGAATTGAAGAACACAAAGCAATATGCCTCAAACAAGTAACCGTCATGCGAGTGGATAAGTCCAATTCAAGAAGATATCCTTATCTATCCCATCCTTGATCATCATAATCAAACTCAAGGATGAAAAATCAGCAAATCACAATTCCACTATGAAACACGCCCTAGTTTTGGAATGAATTCATAAAAAATTATTAAACTCGCCTTTTTGGTGGAACTTTATTTGGCAAAATCAGATAACGTAACCCATTCTTCAGTTGACCACGATGCAACTTAGGGTGAGATGGAAGTTCAGAACTTAGAAACCCCTCTATCTGCTCTAGTTCACTATCATATACACTTAAACCTTGCTTCTCGGAAACACCATCTGGCCAGGTTGTGCTAGCTGCATGTGGCTCATCTGGACCTACAGTGGCACGCGGAATTTGAACCTGCTTGACAGAAGAAAATATATTAACACAAACATAAACTATGCCCAAAATTCGATACAAGAGACACATCCCCAGTTTAATTCATATTTGGATAATAAGTACAGTATTAAAAATCTTAAAGGCCAGATACAGAAATGACTCAGTTCTAATATTACCACCAAACACCACAGAAAAAGGCAAAAGTAAAAGAAAATAATCATAAATTGAAAACTCAAATAATCAGCTAGAAAGTAAGCAAAAAACTCACAGAAGAACGCTGCAGTTTACTGTTCGATAGGCGGAAATAAGATTTATCAAGAAAAGCTCCAGGCACAAATGCTGCGAGATTGGAACGGCGTTTCCTGGCAAGACAGCAAGAAGCACAAGTTTGTTGCGGCAACAAAAACGGGGGTTCACCAACGACGAAAGCGTGGCCTCGAGGCTTGTTCCTCGGCAATCCCAATCCGCCACAAAGAGCCTTGTGCCTGCTTCTTTCACCGACAGGGAAACACGAATTAGCTACAGTATAGGTGGAATTTGAAATTGGAAGCATCGGAAATAGAAATAGAGAGAAACAGTGATACCTTGGGAGAGAAGATAGGAACAAACGGTTGTTACGAAATCGAGTGCGTAAACGAGTCGAGGAGGCAGGGGGAGGATGAAGACGATGGTTGGGGAAGGCGAGGCCACTTCCGACGACGGAGAGAGAGGCTGAAGTCGAAGCAGCCATAGCCACAGCTAAGGCTCACAGAACAGAAAAAATGGAGAGAGAGGGTAACACGGTGGTTATATAGACACCAAGGGACACGGAAATGGACGCAGCCTCTCGATTTTCAGATTTTTCTTTCCCTTCCGCATCCTCTACTTTCCTTGTGTGTGTAGTTTACAAGTTGTCACGTGTAAACACACGCTAACGCTATGCGCAACTACATCACTAACATACACTCTTTTTCGTAGATTTTTTTTTTTTTTCCGAAATATTTATTAGGTTTCAATTAATTTGTCTTGTGTCTGAAAAAATTTGTTAATTATAATTATTACAATAGATTAAAACACTTTTTCCAGTTTCTTTTTTGTTTTTTTTTAGATATTGAAATGCGTGTTTTCGTAGGATAAATCACAAAAGTAAAAATTATTATACATGGATAAAGTTTTTCATAAATAATTTTGAAAAAAATTATAAATTAAAATTACCTTGTGTCTAAATTAAAATTTCCTTATGTCTAAATAAAAAATTAAAATTTATAAAATTACAAAATAAAATTTCTATAAATTAAGTTGATCATTTTAATTTGTTCAAAAATGCTTTTTTTAATGTGTTTTTCTATATTTTTGTATAGTATATCCAAGGAACGAAATTTATGATTCTTACTGTATCACTTATCTCTGAATAACAAATACTTAAATTTTGTTCAAATGAAAAAAAAAACTCTCTAATAGCAAGTAACCCTATTGAAAAGTATAAGTATGATTTTATTGTATTATATATCCTCGATAAATAATTCACTCGTAAGTTGGTTTCAATAGAAAAATAAATAAAGAAATTAAAATAGTTTGTTCTTATTTTTACTATTATTATTATTATAAGTTGTTTGATAAAATAATTTTTTTAAACAAATTTAAGTAACATAAAGCATATTGGAAGGAAACTTATCAGAAATGTTTATAAATAAAAATATTATTTTAATATAATTTTACTCGGACATGAGTTTTTTTAAATTTAAAAAAAAAACAAAAAAATTAGGGCATCTTAAATGAAATCAACACACATGAGTTATTTTATTGTTAGTATCAAATCGAGAAAAGCGATCGAAATCGAAGAAAAGAAAAGCGAGAAAATGTGACTGATTGACAAATCGATAAGATAGACAAAAAACCATTTGATGTCTAATTAGAAGTACGTAGCACATAACATCGAGAAGTACAATCGAGAATCGAGTGAAAGATAGCCAAATGCCTATTATCGAATATAAACTAAGAAATTAGAGTTATATGAGGTCAAGGTTAAAAAAGGAACCGTAAGCAATTTGGAGTTCTCGAAAACACAAAATCGAAAGTGAAGAAAGCCAACCTGCGTGGACATCGAAACTTTGGCCAAACCGTGAAAAGAAGAATAGTCAAACGCACATATAGGAAGCAGTTTCTAAACCATAATAGAAGTCGAAGATCGTGAGAACGTGGGAAACTGTAGAAGATAAACTGCAACATGCACGTAGAACGTGGTAGCAGTTTTGTTAACTGCCCCTGGAAGGCTTGAATGATGCCCTATAAATAGAGCAAAGGAGGAAGGAACAGGGGGCGGAAATTGGCAGAGAACAGGATTAGTAGTGAAAAAGTCTACCGGAGAAACGACGAACACCATGAAGCTCCTGGCAATCTGGATTTCTATGCTCACGGAGTACCTTTATCGCTTTCTTTATTTTCCTTGGTAATTTATTTTGATGCAATTTATATTCAGCAATTTTATGTTTATGTATTTTCGATTCTTGGTCATTTCGATTCAATGCAAGTTAAGTTTCCGTATTTAAATTCCCTAGTCATTTTACATTAATGCAATTTCGATTTCAGATCATCTATTGCACCTTTGATTCATTGTCCTTTACATTTCCAAGCAAATTCGATTTCTCGTTATTTACATCGTTTTTGTTTCGATTCCTGTCTTTTACACTTAAAGCAAATTTAAGATTCTCGTAGTTTACATTTCTTTGCAATCTAAGTTTCAATGACTGATTTTCGATTCCATATATTTTCTCGCTTTCTTTACTTCGAGTATTCTTAATACAAAACACTAAAAATAATATCTTTAAAATCGGGTAAAATTCGATCCTCATACATATTTTGATTGAAAATTAATTTGCTAGCCTAAGCAAAAAGAACTTACGTGGTAGAATTTTGATTAGGGTCAAAATATCTTAAGAGTCGAAATCGATCGAAATTCCACCGAAACATTTATATATTGAAAAATATAATTTATAGTCTATATTTACCATATAATTATTAAGCAATATACACTAAATTTTGTTCCAAGAAAATCTAAGAAACTTCAAGTAATCACAAGAGATGTGATTTGTGGTTTTATAAAAATAAACAAATCTTAATTTAAAAGAATAAGTGTGTCGTGTAGATATGCTAGGATTTCTTAAACAAATAGTTTCTTCAATTTAAGAAAGTCAAAAGCCGTTGATATTAGAGACAATCTAAATAACTTTTTTCCGATTTTAAATAATTCATATTAAATATAATATATTTTATTTAAATAGTTTTTCTAAAGTACTTTCTTCGAAAATATTTGTATTATATTACATAAGATTTTTATAATAAATAATTATTTCAAATAAGTAGTGTGTTACTCAAACAATTAAATAAACAACTTTTATTTAGGTTCTTTTTAGTTTTTTAATAAATACAAAACTATGTTTTATAGAACCCACATTACCATGTTATAATTAAAATATTTTATTTAAATTTGCTTCAATAAATTCTAAAATTCTTTCTTACAATTGTTTTTTTTATCTGTTTTTTTTATTAAAATAGATTAAAAATATTTCAATTTTATCGACATGGTCAAATTTTTAAAAATTTATAAATAAGGTTAAATCGTGTAACACGATTTTAAATAAAGAAATCGTATATGACTTTAATTATATTCGTTAAAATATAATATAATTTAAATTTATTAATATATTTATTTTTTATTTAAAATATTTTTTCTATTTCTATTATTATAAAAATTATATAAAATAATAATTAATATAAATAAAATAAATAGTTAATATAATATTTTATAACATAAATATATAATACTAAATAAAATATTAATTTTTTAAATAATATATTTATTTAATAAAATTAATTTAATTATTTGAAAAAACAAAACCAATACAAATATAACTAAAATCATAAAATATTATACGACTTTAGTTTTATAAAAAAAAATTACGTTAAATCATTATAGAAAATACGATTTTAGATTTTTTATCACGAAATCGTTTTACGTTATACGATTTCTAATTTTTCATTTAAAATCGTGTAACGTAACACGATTTAACCTTATTTAATAAATTTTAAATTTTTTGACTCATATCAATAAAATTAAAATATTTTTAATTCTTACCCTTTCTCCTTTCCGCCATTAGTTAAGAGAAAAATAACAACTACTTGTTAAAATAACTTTGCTTGAAACATATCTAAATAATTCTCCAATAAAGATAAACATCTTTTATTAAGAATACTCTGAGAAATTCAAATTAAAATATGTAATTTGTAATTTATACTCTTATTGGAGAAGAGATGATATTTTTATTTCCAATAAATCTTTCTTTATATATGAAAACAAATATTAACTTGAAAGAATAAGTCTACCACATAAATATAAGTTTCTTGAACTTAAAAAGTTTCTAAGAAACTGTTACAAAAATGTTACAAGTAGTCAAATCATCACTTTTTTTTATAACCAATTGGTAGTGGGAGAAAAAAAAGGTCCAATCCTCTCTATGAATATTAGTTATAACAATACAACTATTACTTGCGCATGTAATAACTATACTTATTGGTCTTCACTTTTAAATACAATATCACTTTATTGATTAAAATATGATTTGTAAATATCATAATAACGCAGTGGTTCATTCCTATTGCTTCATTCGTCAGGTGAATAACAAGCAACAAACTGCCTTGGATAATCAGAGATCTACTATTTGATGTCTGTCATGAAAGATTTTATTGCTTGTGAATCATAATTCAAAGTTTTTCATTTCTAAAGCCTGAGACCTAATAATCATCATTCATTTGATCGGAACTAAGATGAAATCAGGTGCGGTCTCTTTCCGTTTCCACCATCACAGTTGTATTCTCAATGAAGCTAACAGACGAGCGTGCCCACAATAGCCATTACAGCAAACTACTGTATGAAATTTGTCTGTCCTTTTAACCCTGCCTATTGTAACAATGATCAACAAAATCACATGTTTCATTTTTCGCATACACTTCAAGATTGTTATTATCATCTTCTACAGTATATGTGAATTCACTGAACTGAGGAAGTTTATTATGACAACATTGTAAGAAATAATATTTGGCTTCAATATGATATGACCTTTCTAGAGGGATCAACAATAGTGTGAGGTTGAATGATACAGGAAACAGAAAACTACAAAAAAAAAAAAAAAAAAAAAAAAAAAAGAAGAAGAAGAAAAGTTAAACACACTCATAACCAGAACACTCCAGTGCCACGTTTCTTTTGTTGGGTGTTGCTGACACAAGAGAATGACTTTCTTTACACTTTGCCCGTCTTGATATCTTCCTGCCTCCGTTCTTGCACAGCCTTGCAGCCACTGACTTAAAGCCATTCTTCATGAAGCTTACTATTGCAGTGAGAATCTCTCTGAAATGCGAAACTGAAGTTACAATTTCGGAAAATTATTTTAGCTAAAAGGACCCACAAAAGGATGCATGTGGCTCAAATACGTAATAAATACTAAAAAGGTTAGTATGTTGAGCAGCCAAAAAGTAAGGAGACATTAATTTTGAACTTTGAACATCACTCGATAATCATTTTGACAATAGAATGACTGCAGCTTTTGTGCCATATTACATCATCTAAAACAACTTAGAACAAAGAAATTAAATACTTTTAACACATCATCTTCAAACATGTGTATATAACAACAAAGAATAGGAAGACCCTTATTGGTTAAGGTCAACCTTGTCAAGAGTCAAAAACTCATCCCAGTTAAAAGAGCAATAGCGCAAAATTTTCGACACCATCAATAACAGGATTCGTTTAAAGACTTAACATGTAAGACCAGTCTGAACAAATCAGGGGATAAAAGTTGAAAGGAACTTTATACTTACAATGGTGAGCAAGGAGACCGACCCCCATTTACATAGTACAAGAATAAGAACGAATCATAATGTTGGCCATTGATCAAATAAAATCCCTGCAACCTTCTCACACATTTGAAAGACATTTTCTGGTACAAATTTATTGCAGGGTTATTGTAAGAAATTACATGCAAGTAGACAGCTCGGCAAGTTGGAATACTTGAAGCATATTTAATGACCTCCCGAATCAGAGAAGAAGCTGCATATGAGGCACAAATTAGACTGCCTAATATATAATAGAGGACTACAAAATAATTGAAATTCAAGACTCCTACCTATTCCAAGACTTCTATATGCTTCCACTACTCCAAGCGTCAGAACATAGACTAAAGTTTGGTCACATTTAGCCGAGTCATATCCAAGCATATCCACTATCTATAAAAATATATCCATGCAATAAAATTCACAAATTATCAGCAAAAAAATTAAGCTTTCAAACACTTAAACTTTAAGCAGGGCATACCATATGGGACAATTTGAACAGGTTTACTGCAAACTGAGACTGTGTTTGGTTTCCAGTTTTGGGTGGTCCAAACTCAGCTTTCTGACATGTTTGATTACTTTCAAAAGTATGTTTTTGTATTAAAATTTTGCCAAGAAACATAGTTTTGTAAAAGCAAAATTTGGGTTACTTTAGCAAACTCGGTTTTTAAACTTGATTTTTTCAACACAAACTTACGTTTGCAACTTCAATCCAAATATACATTAAGTTCAGTACTAAAGGTTAGAAACAGAAAACTAATAAAATAATCAAGCCACATGAGTAGACTGTGGATATCAAGAAAAACACAAAGCTACACAAGTCTGTCGTGGTTATCTTCAGACCAAAATGATTGATTGAACCAGACTACCAATATTAAGAGATTTGTCTCGGTGTGCGTGTCCATCGGTTGTACATTTAGACAGGTTTATTCAAGGTACTTTTCCGTTATCTTTTGGCGAAGAAGATTGACTACACACATTTCAAATAAATTTTCCATCAAGAACTTGCTACATAACATATCCCTTTAAAGCCAATAATAAATCGTGAAACATTAAATAGCCACACTTTCCACGTGAAAGATGCATTCAGAGTAGTATAAACACAACACATGTTCTCTTATCACCACCAATTTTAGGCTTTAGCAATGATGGAAGCTTCAAATAATTAGACGAAAGGCATATAACTGTACATAAATGGTGTCAACCTCGCTTTCTTTTGCAAGAACAATCCGTGCTGTTACAAAACCAATGAGTTCATCACTTCGACCATCGGATCGACTGCTGTCAACAGCTCCCCACGACACAATGTCACGTCCATTTACCACGTCATGGAAAAAAGTAGATTCGTACCTGAGAATTATAGATATGTTTGGGTAAACACAAATTCAAAAGCCCAGCTTGAAGTCAACAAACAACACATAATCTCACCTGATGGGAAATAATCTGCCATGGATATGCTCTAAAATGTCAAGGTCAGAAGGTCGAATAGGTCTATAGCATATTTTTGGTTGACTAGACACTTTTGGGTTTACCATTGAGTCTTTTTCCCTTAATCCCCAGCAAATATCTGATATACTTGGAAAAATCGTGCAATAACAACTACTTCCATTTACAAGGCAACAGTGAAAAGGCCCATTGAATAGTTGCTATTACTGCAAATTAAACAACGGCGTCAAAATTTCTTCATATGTATTATAAATACTGAAATAAAGAACAAAACGCGTTTATGTATTGTAATTTGACTTAAAATTATAATTCTACGCTCCAATACTTTTCACAACTCAAAATTTAGAATAATGATTCTGAACCAATTTAAGTTTATCGTGCCAAATGTATGTCAAAGTTTTCATTTCTTGTATAAAAATAAAAAGGAAATACTATTAGAGAGAATCCACCTAGGCAAGACAAAGAAAAGTACAAGAAGGCAATAAATGCAGCAAAACTAGAAAATCTATACAAGTCAGACAAGATGAATCCCTTAACCTGACTATAGGCAGAATACTACAAAAAGGCCATATACACCATCATAGCCCAAAATAAGATGCAAGGCCTTAAGAAACCTTGAAAATAAGCCTACCTCTTTCCGCTAATATTTTTACCAAAATCTTTTAACATATACGCAGAAATGGCTCCAAACTAGAAGTTCAAACTCACCGTTAAGTACTAACCAAGCACCCCAAAAAAAATAGTCAGAAGAAAGCAATAGCCTTACAATGCAACAACAAGTGTCGAGTTGTTCACGAATTAAAACAGCAAACCACACGTGTAAATAAAGATTAAAAAAAAAACATTCTCGAAGAACCCAAAAGTCCAAACTCTCTTACCAGAATTGGAGTGGAATCAACTCAATTTGATTCTTTTCACCGAGTTAGAGAATAAGAACCAAGTACAACACCCTTAATTATGAGATTCCTGTACAATGATCTTGAAAAGATCCAACATGCCTTCCCATCCCCTAGCAAGAGACATACATCTACACTTCCTAGAAAAATGGAGTTAAAACAAGCATCTCCTTGTTCATCCTTTATAAACCTGGATTTTATTCACCTTCAACTGTTCTCAATTCCTACAACTTTATTGGGTTGACCTACAACTGCTCTCAACCCAAGCAACTTCCTTCGAAAGACAACACTCAATTTATAATATTATCTATAAAAATAAAATAAAATAAAAACACAAAAATAAACAAGTTTTGGAAGTTTCCCACATATCTAAAAAGCAGCCATTACCCAGTTTTCTACCCTAGTCATGATCTCATACGACAACTCCCTTTCCTAAGGTGAAGAGATTCAAATATTCAACAAACAATCAAAGGAAGAGAAAAGCGGACATAAATTCATTGTGAAAAAAGTTGAATTGGTAATCACCTTAGTTGAAGACGAACATGAGATTAATATTGTTCTATGGAAAAGATACGGAAGCGGATTGATCGAGGCAACAAAGATGGATTTGAATCGGAAGGAAACAGAAAGAAAGAGTGGAGATGGGTAACAGAATCGGGTTTGATGGAAAATTGGGATTGGCACATACGAACCATCACCATAACACAATCATTGCTTCCGATGACTTTATGCTTCCCAATTCAATTCGTTCCACCCTTCACTCACAACAACGAAACGAATCTCTCTAACAACCCAACCTAACCTTCACCCCTCCCTCTCTTTTTTCAATATATATATATATATATATATATATATATATATATATATATATATATATATATATAAAATTTATTTTCTTTTATTTTTAGCATTTTTTAGTTGATTTTATTTGTAGTATTTCATATTCACAAGCATTAATTCGATCCTTGTCTCCCATGATTTTGTTTTAGGATGTTCTGATTTCGTTTTAATTGTATGCTTAATGGAATAGAATAATGTAGAATTTGTTTCTGCAGGCCTAATATTATTCAAAAATTAATGTTTAGGTAATATTGATAACTATTAATATATACCAACTCAATCTAAACATTTTAGGTTCAACGTGTCTAATCGAATACGTTTTTTAATTTTAATTTATTATTACGTGTTTCGTGCAATAAAGATTAAGAAAATTTACATACATTATATTGTTTCTATCCATATTCAAACATTTTTTAAATGATCTCCAATAAAAAAGATCCACTCGTAAACTTTTAAAGTATTTTCTTTTTCAAATATTTCCGTTTTCAACCTCTTATTTTATTATACTTTTATTCTTAAAATATTGCTTAATTGGTTAAGAAAAAAAAGTTATATTTAATTACTTTTGTTCTCTTCTATAAAACGATCTAAAACTTATAATATACAAAATATTAAAGCATTTTCTTGTTTCTATATATAAATATTAGCTTCTATCGTATGAAAAAAACAGAGTTTTGGCCAATTATGCCTCTTAATCTCAATTAAAGAACTTATTTTGATATATTTATAAGTTTTTATTACTTACAAATCAAACCTACGAATAAATTGTATATACTCTTATCCTTAACTTATGAATGATGGATCCGCATTTTTAAGTAAGTAAATGCGATAATACTTTCTCGAAAATGAACTTTGAATAAAGACATAAGTTAAAATTAAGGAAACAATTATCATCCAAACATCCTTTAAAATAACGTAAAATAGAATATTCTTTAAAAAACTTAGATATTTGGATTTAAAAGAAATTCAAAATATTGATTCAACCCTTAAATCACAAATTTTGTGATTTTTATTTAATGCAGTGTCTTCTCGATGTTTTGAAAATAACCAATTGATTTTGGGTTAAATTGACTAAACCGACTAATTGGTACAACTTTTGTAATATTATTTTAATTTAAAATTTCATTTAATTTTTTTAATTATACAATAAATTTTATTTTTTACCCAATGATTAACCAATAATAATATTATATAATTTGATTAATACTAATATTATATTTTTAATAATTTTAAATGAAACAAGTACGATGTTATATATACATTAAAGGTGTATTTACTGATAAATCACTCCCATTCGAAGCAGCAATTTGATGATCGAAAACAGAATAAAAATTTGTAGAAGCAATGGAAACTGATAAACACATTTACAGTGCGTAGTGAGTCATGTGCATGACTTTTGACCTTCAAATTCAAAGGACTGCCCCTGTCATAAACCGATGATTGAGGACAGCCTCTGCAGTTGGTCTTTTTCGAAACTCAGCATTAAGCATTGCCTGGAATTCAAGATAACAACACCATCAACTTCACTAATATCTCCTCAATTAGGCATTGTTTAGATTAAGTTCTCATAAACACTTCTAAAAACACAATAATTTCAGTTTCTCTCAGTATGTTATAATTAATTAATTTTGAGCATGTTTTGAAATAGTATTTTAAGAGGAAGAAAATAAGAAAACAAAATTCATTTTTCAAAAAACAATAAACTCTTGTCATGAGAAAGCATATTTTTCACCAAAACTAAATGGTAATCCAATCCTGAAATACTTAAAGACAGTTTTGTAAATCAGCTGTAACAGACATAAATACCTGAAGTAACTCCCAACCAGCACCATCTCCTAGATCCAGGAACTCAACAGCATTTACTAATCTGTCATCTGCTAGACAATACCTGTCAAAGGAGGAATAAAAAAAATTAGACAGAAGCAGTGACCTAATGAAACGTAAATATAGACTTCCAAAGCAGTTTTGTTCTTCAGAGCTTAGGTATGCTGAATAAAGTGCAAATTTAGTTTGCGAACTTTTAAGAAGTTCATATCAAAATGTACGTGGATGAATTTCAAATACAAGGAAACTACCTAATTCACTGATTCTTTTGTAAACCAATTTGAAGATTAAAAAAAAAAAAAAACTTCTCTGGATGAATAAAATGACAGGAATGGAATGTTACCCCGAATCCACTAGAAGTTGGATTTTTTTCTAATCTAACTCTTTTCCATACTCTCTCTTTTCCTTTCCATTCCCCTTTTCCATTGGACAACTAGATTTAAGCGTAGAGACTATACATTTAAGATGAGTCAACTGTAGGAACTACTTGTTCATCCCATGAACAGCAAGCATTAAACAAGCCAAGTGTTATAGAATACGGATAAATAGAGTCATCACGCTTATATAAATAAATAAGTACTGAAAATAGTTTTGGAACAAACAAACTAAGCCCAATTTGAATGAATCTGTTAGACATGGACTTGCATAATTGTTTCCATCATGTAGTATTATTATATACTAGTTTTCAAAATTCCCAAACACCTACAAAGTCTTTATTTCAGCTATTTGTTTATATGAATAACTCGTGTCCATAGTAAGTATACCTCAAACAAAGGAAGATCAGATTATAAAATAGCACAGTAACGTGTGCCTAGTCTGTGAGTCTCCACGCAAGATTAAACCATAAATTAAACTAGGAAGATAGCATACTCTCGTGTTGCTTCAAGATCAAGTCGGAAAGTGTTCTCCAAAAGCCTCTAAATTTCATTGCCAACAAAAACTTCAGTGAAGATATTGTCTTACAAGAAAGAAGACTTTGACAGAAAAGAATTATCAGCTACCAAAGACGAAGCCATGTTGGCAGCATATCTTACTTGCAAGGAAAGGCTATCCATTACACCAGCCTCACAGAATGGAACAAAAGCCAAGTATGCGAAAAGAAGACCTGCTTCATATCTGCATTGGAACTCATAAAAGCAATAGGTAACCTGAAAAATACGCTGAAACAAACTTCTGCATTGACCCAAGTTCTGACAGTTACATGTCATCAGCTATTCCAAAAGCTCTTTTCTCCATTTGTGTGAATGCACCAGCAGCTGATGCTCTTCTCCAAAGCCCCTCTGCAAGCTGTCCTGAAGCATCTAGTTCCGTGTACCTACAATGATGCAAGTATATGTAATGCTATTTGTGTTGTAAACTACTTCAGCTTGTAGTTAGTTAGCATACAGCAAATAAAGCAACAAATTGAACACTGGCCTTACTGAAACCAAACCTCAGAAAATAGACTAGGAAATCCAGAAATACAAAATACACAATAGACAAAATTATATCCCGAAAAGAAAAGAGAAAACAAAAGTCATAAAGATTACACCAATTATTGGAAAAAAGCAGTGCAACACATTAAACATACACAAAATCAAAGTTCACGTAAATGATCAAAGCATTTAAATAATAATAATAAAAAAAAGAACAAAATACAAAAAAATTTCATGACATATGCATATGACATACATATGTTTTATCATAATATTAATAAAAAGTTAATTCAAGACTAAGAGCTTGATTAATCATTACCTTACCTGACATTAACAGAAAAGGCTAGATCCCGGAGTCTTGGAATCAAATTAGAACCTTCTTTTTCTGAAATTGTGCTGCATCCATATAAAAAACACTCAAAATTAGGGTGAAAGGTACAAGCCAAACAAAAAATCTTGAATCAATTAAATACTTGATAATTACATACTTGAGAACCACAGAAAACGGTCCTAGACTTTGGTGCAATCTATCATGATCATGTAAGTAAGCTAGACCCTTCATGACACCTTGGAGCAGCTTTATAATAAAATTTTGTCTCCTTTTGATTGTCAGTCCTTGTTCAAAGGGATTCCAGGATGACACTTCTCGGTTTTTTGATAACCTCTCGCTTACAATTTTTGCATAGTCTGCCACGCTATATTTCCCATCATCACGAAATGCAAGCCACTGGATCAAACATATTACTCTAAACATGGTTAACACAATTATAACTACCACGTGAAGTAAAGACTTTATGTTAATTTCATAGAACAAACCTGCTCTCCAGTGGCTGTTTCAAACCCACCTACAAGCAGCACAAGATGCTGAGCAATACCTTTAGAACTGCTCTGCAAGGAAAAGGTAAACCAGCAAGAAGGATTAACAAAAAAGAGAAAATTAATTGATATCAAAGGAATAAATTACATAGAAAGTGATGCACTTCTCTCACCTGAAGAAACAAGTGTGTAGTCAACTCATTTGCAGCGAGTGCATCAGCCACGACTCCCCCAGCTCGCCTTCCAGGATAAACCTTCATTTGTCATTTGTTAAGAGTTTCTCCGACATTAACATGAACAAGTGAGGAGGTAGATTATGATACTACTTACTACCTTAAAAGTAACCGGAGTTCCATTAAGTGGACCCCGAGAAACTCTCCCTTCATAAAGCCTGCAACACAGCCAGAACTGCCATGAGTGTGTATTATCATTATAGCATCCAAAAATGGCACAACACAACATATTACTTAAATAAAATATGAGTAGTCCAAACTTCATCAAACAGTTCCAAGTTGATGAACGTGTGAATGCAACGAAAAGCAAAGATATGGAATCACATTGATATTTTGACATTGCCAACCTGATTTTGACATTGCCTTCTCCAACATCTTGAGTTTTCAGTCCTCCCAAGTCCTCAATTGAATAGTCAGTGCCAGGCCCAGAGGAAAAGGAAGAGTAGCTGGGTAAAATTACATGCAAAAGGTAAAATGTTACTTTGGAAGAAGGTAATTTTGAAAGATCTTTTTACACATTAGGGTAAGCATAATTAAATTTAAAGAATGGAAAAAAAAAAAGACTGATTTTTTTTTTTGCTTTGATGGAAATGCTTACGGAGAAGTAAGTACCTGGTGACGTTGATGAAGCCATAGGTGCCAATGGGTCGACCCACTTGAAAGGAGTCGGAGTTGGTGAAAAAGGGCAACTTGGCTTGAATTATGGGAGGGCGGAAGCAGAGAGTGGAGGTGGTGGTGGAGGATCTGGAGTAAAGCGGCAGATGGGTCGTGTGATTGCGAAGACAATGGTAGAAAGAGAAGCAATCAAGAGGAACCACCACAACCATGGCTCTCTTTTCTGATGTGCCTGCGAACGTGATCGTCAATAAAGGGGAAGAACACAGCGCCAAATATGGATAAGAGAAATTGTGAATTAATCTAAAATATACGATGCATGCACTATTTGTTAAAATAATTATTATATAATAATATATGATGAAATATAATTATATTATCATTCCTATTACAGGATATTTAAAAAAAAACTGTACAAATCAATTAGAAACTAACAACACATAATCAAATATTTAAGGGAATATTTAAGAAAAAATCAATTAAAATTATTAAATACGTCATTATTTTTTTATATTCAACCTTAGTAAAGATTAGAAAAAAATTAATATTTTCTTTAAAAGTTATATATGGTCTAAAAATATATTTAAAATATAAAATTCAGTAAAAATTACTGAATTTTATATCCTAAATATAATAAAGAGAGTGGTATGAATTTTACTGTACCAATATAATATAATTAATTTACAATTAAAAATCTCATTATTTTATGTTTCGAAAGGTGTTAATGAGCAAGTCAATAGAAAAGGTATGAAATATTATTATTTGAAGTATTAAAAAATGGATAAAGAAAATAAAAATAAAGTGACAGGAAAATAATTAAAAAAGCGTATATATTAAGTGAAGTTAGAAGTAAAGAAAAAGAGAAAAAGTAACAAGATGAGAGCTAAAAAGAAATGAAACAAAATTAAAATAACAATTTAATCAAATAAATAAATACAGAAATAAGAGGGAAATTGAAGCCAAAGGAATAAGAGTAGTTTTGAGCGTATGATACTTTACTTTTCCTTCTTATCTTCTTCTTCTTCTTCCTCTTCTTCTGTGTGCAATAAAGGCAAAACCTAAAATTTGTTTTCGGCAGAGGAATCAGTGTTGATCTGGTATGGAGGGAGCATCGTGGAACAGCAGTGTTTGTGTGGCACCGTTTCTGAGCAAGACCTACGACATGGTAGATGACCCCTCCACCGACTCGGTCGTGTCGTGGGGCGAAAACAACAACACCTTTGTTGTCTGGAACGTTCCCCAATTCGCCACAGAGATCTTGCCCAAACATTTTAAGCACAATAACTTCTCCAGCTTCGTCAGGCAGTTGAATACTTATGTGGGCATCGCATCACTTTTTATCCCATTTTCCCTTTACTATTGTTCTTAATTCTCTTGCTTCTTCGAAACCCATCTTTTACTCATTTTTTCTGTTTTGGGGTGTGGGTGATCGTGGTTTCTTGTTGTTGTGGGGTCAATGGATTCAAGGGTTTTGTTGTTTTCTACTGGGTTTTATTTCATTCCATGTAGCACAATCTACCTTTCGTTACTGTGGCTTCTCATTGATTGGTATGAATCTCGAATTTGCAGGTCAGTATTACACCTTCATTGGGTATGCTCGACTTTAGTAAATTTGGCTTAGCTTCGCAAAATTTTGGTTAGATCTGAGTTTTCATTGTAAGTTAGCTAAGTGAACTCAATTTTTCTTTTACTTTTTCCTGTATCACTTGTTATAGGTTCAATATAGCAATTTGTGTATGAGGAATCCGAGTTTGATGACCCTTGATTAAAGATGCTCTCTGTCACTTTCCTTTCTTTCTTTCTTTTTTCCCTGTTTCTGCAATGGGGTTTCGTTGTGTAGGAGTTAACCCCAGTAAATCACGAGAAAACTACAAGTGAAGATTGTGATCTTTGATTAAAGATGTTCCGAATAATTCTTGGCTTGTCCGTACCATGATTGAAACTGCCCCTGCTTGGTATTTGATTGTAAGACTGGATGCTTAAGTTGAACATCTTATGATACTTGGTAGCACTAGGAACAATTATGTAATTAACAGTTGTAGGTCTTCCTGTTTTGCTGACCAATTTACTAGCGGGGATGGTTTCTTAGACGGAGCCCATATATCATCTAACATATTATTAATACACTTGAACAAAGATATAGTGCTACAAAATTTATAATTGTGATTGTGGTAACTTTAGGTTAGGTTGATTAAAAAGGGATCACAGTGTAATTTAGAAACTTGTGATTAAAGACAATCTTTGGTTTTGTACTGTAGGAAATCTATTGCAATGATTTAATGGGGACATAGTTTATGCCAAACAGATCCTTGGTTTAGACTCTTCAATGAATTTAATTAATTATCACAAAATTTATGTTCTACTGCTATCTAAGAAAATTTACTTGTATCTCATACACTCACGGAGAATATTCTTTCACGTGCAATCTACCATTCACAAGTTATTAAGTACTACTACCTGTAGTTCTAGTAAGGTGGATTACTTGTACTGTTTATGCATGTTTTCTTCTCTTAAACTATATTATTCAATGTTATCCTTTTGATTGAAAAACAGGGTTTTCGGAAGGTTGATCCGGATCAGTGGGAATTTGCAAATGAAGGATTTTTAAGAGGTGAAAAACAACTTTTAAAAAGTATCACTAGGCGGAAATCTGCTCATGTAAATGGTAATCAACAACCATCTGAAGTGCATAAATCATCTGTTAGAGCATGTGTTGAAGTGGGAAAATTTGGGCTTGAGGAAGAGGTGGAAAGACTGAAAAGGGATAAGAATGTTCTTATGCAGGAACTAGTTAGGTTGAGACAAAAACAGCAAGTGACTGATAACCAATTGCAAAATTTTGGGCAACGTGTGCAGTCGATGGAGCAGGGCCAGCAGCAAATGATGTCATTCCTGGCAAAGGCCATGCGAAGCCCAGGCTTCTTAGCTCAATTTGTACAGCAGAATGAAAGTAATAAACATATTACTGGTGGAAATAAAAAGAGGAGGATCCACAGGCAAGATAAAGATCATTTAGCCACCAACGGTCTCCATAATGCTCTTGATGGACACATAGTCAAGTACCAGAGTTCCGTAAACGATGCTGCAAAAGCACTATTTCGCCAGATATTGCAAATAAACAATTCTACAGAAACACAATCATCGATTAAGAACCCCGATGTCTTCCTCATTGATGATGTTCCTTCTGCAATTGCATCAGATAGCAGTAGTTCATCCACTCAGGTTTCTAATGTGACCCTTTCTACTGTACCTCCTGTTTCTGAGCTGACAAGTATGGAAGTAGAATCACAGTTTCCTGTTAATTATATGCCAAGTATATCTGAGGTGCAATCTTCAACCCCCGTATTGGGTTTTTGTCAAAGTCAAGGGGTGGAGACAGAAAGTAGTTTAGTGAATCATGAGCTGAATGTTGTGGGGGCTGGAACCGGGAACATGGGGGAGATAGATTTGTCATCTGTTTTGGATGGACCGCATACTGTAGAACCTGATTATTCTGCACCTAATGCAGATGGAATTTCCCAACTCCCAGAAATCAACGATGAGTTCTGGGAGTTGTTTTTCAGGCCAAGCTCACTTACAGGAGACACAGATGAGGGTTTGCCTTTGGAAAGAGAAAATGAGCAGGAAAATGTTGACAAGATGCAGCACGTTGACCATCTTACTAAACAGATGGGACTTCTTGCGTCGAAGTCCTAATGCTGTAGATATGTTTCTTGCAACTGAAGGTAAATTCTTTAGACTGGAGCATCGCACTAATACATCATTATAGGCATACTGGTTCCCATAGTTCCCTCTACTAAAACAAGTTAAAATCCCTGTCATGGCTATCATGCTCAATTGCTGTGTCACCAAACAGAGAAAGATGAGTCAGTAAATCCGGAATGTTTAAAAACATTTACAGTGAATGTCCAAGTCTGACGTAATATGGACATGCACATTACCAAGGTAGAAAATTACCACATATGTCCACTTCCATAAGGTGGTGTAAAGTGGGAGCGGGAATTTACTTTCATTTCTCCCTTGATATGTATGTCTATAACCTATGATATCGACATGTCAATTATATGCTTCCTTTCTTTGTTCTTAACATATCATACATGCATTTGTATGTCTATCAATTGGGTTAGTTTGTGGGAAAATGAAATGAAGTTGGGCAGTGTAATGTTCTAGTTTCCAACGCATTTCTGTTCATGATTCCTACACAGGTTGAGGTCCTGTGCTGCTGAGCAGACAAAACCATCTTACATATACATAAAGAAAGCTGACAGATATCCAACAACTTGATCTGGTGCTTTATTTTATTATATTGTAATATCGCGTGCTCTGTTTGTGATTAGGGGCTTAAAAACACCAAGTTACGAAACTTCATATATACCCTGTGTAGTTTGACAATTGTGCCACTGGTTTTCAATATTAGCTTGCTGATGCTTGTCTTTACCCTCCGGAACAGTATAATAACTTTTCTTTTCTTTACTTCCTTTTCAAACGCTGCACTGATATTTTTGTAGGCTTGTTCCGGATAATTTGATCTTGAGTTATCTTGATCAGCTTTTTTTAACTCTCGCGTTTCCCTGTATAGTATCTGAAAGGAATTTATTAATAATCCCCAAAAATCAAGTAATTTTTACATTATAGATTACCCTTTCCAGAATGAAAGGCAAGAAGAAATACCCCAAAATATGTTAGGTTAAAAGATGTTATGATGGTTTTTCACATTGATTCCCACCAATAGTCCACTCGTTAATTAGGAATGGTATTCAAGCATGGGTTTACAGAACTACCTCATCGGCCATGATTACTTGTATAGTTTGTATGTATAAGCGAGCGTATATTGCATATCAACACCAAGATATTACCAAACAACTAAGAGCATTTTCAATGGAGAATGTTTCAAAGATTTTTCAAGTTGATTCAAGAAATTATCTTTATTAGAGAAGATGACTCTGATTTCCAGCAGAAAAATAAAAATATTTGGTGATTAGATTCTTTAAATAAAATATTAATATTTCAAAATCATGTTCATCAGAGATATTCAGAGTTGTTTCATATGTAGAAAAATATTTGGTGATTAGATTCTTCAAATAAAATATTAATATTTTAAAATTATGTTCATTAATTCTTCAACAAATACAGTAAAATCATATTCATAAAAAAAAATTCATTAATCTAAAAAATCCTTAACCAAAAATTATAAAATTATTAACCACTAACAATAATAATCATCAATTACCAATAATCATCAAATTGAAGACAAAATACACCACTAATCGTGAAGGCAACGATAGTGGTCGTGGATATAGTGATAATGGAGGTATATCGGAAAGGATGCGGAGACCGATGCGAAGGTGAAGTAATATGCAAATAGTGGAGGCGAACAATGGAGGGGGACGCAGAGCGGAGAACTGACATGGAGAAAGGAGAAATGAGAGGTGAGGAAGGAGAAAGGAGATGAAGAAAATAGTCATTACATGTAATTGTTACTAACAAAAAAATTGGTTGTTGTGAAAACTAGTCGTTATAAAACTAGTCGTTGTAAAACTAATTGGTATGAATCTATATATAGTTATAAAATGTTATGTAATGTCTTATATCTTATAGTATTATAATATTAATCTCAATTTTCAAACACTTCAATTATCCATACAATAATATTGATTTAGACGTATTAGTAGATCAAGTCATAGATAGAGAATTCGAAGATAACAATGATGAACAAATCCTGAGATTACTACTTGGGTACCTACAAGTCAACAACAATGTGGTAACAAACAAACAAAAAAAGTAGTTCATCGAAATTGTGAAGAAGGTCATCAATTGTTCAATGACTATTTTGCTGAAAATTCAATATATATGAAATTTTAATTTCGAAGAAAGTTCGGTATGTGAAGGGAGGTTTTTGTCAAAATTGTGAAAACACTTGACAATTACGATGATTATTTTACACTGAGGTTAGATGCAACACAAAGAAGAGGTCTATCACCTTTGCAAAAGTGTATTATTATTATTCGCATACTGGCTTATGACTCAGTTGTTGATAATGTAGATTAATATATTTGAATTGTTGAAAGCATTGTAATAAAATGCTTACAACGATTTATATTGGGCATTTGTGCAGTATTTGGAAAGGAGTATTTAAGGAGAATTAACAACGAAAACATTGATTGACTACTACAAATGGGAGTCACATGCAGTTTTCCATATATATTAGGATCAATTGATTGCATGTATTAGGAATGGAAAAATTGTCTAGTTATATGGAAAGATCAATTCTGTCGAGGTGATCATTCTAACCCGACAATCATTCTTGAAGTTGTGGCATCACAAGACTTGTAGATTTGACATGCATTTTTTTGTACCACATAATCAAATAATCATATTACTGTGTTAAATGCATCTAATACGTTTCATGAAACTATGTTAGGTTTTGCACTTGCAATACACTACACTGTTAATGGAACGCAATGCATCTAATGTGTTTAATGAAGTTATGTTAAGTTTTGCAGACATTACATTGTTAATGAAACATAATATGATATGAGATATTATTTAGTAGATGATATTTATCCAAATTTTGACACATTATGAGAACTATTTCAATGGTATAAGGACAAACAAAAAAATTATTTGCTCAATAACAAGAGTTAGAAATAAAAGATGGTGAACGTGCATTCGAGTCCTTCAATCTCAATTTGCAATTATACATTGTCCAATACTTTTTTGGATGCTCATACACTAAATAACATAATTTATGTATGTATCATATTACATAATATGATTATTGAGGACGAATAATACACTTATCAAAATCGTATTAATTATGATATTTCGTATTAATTATGATATTAAAAAAAATGACATATCAACTATTGATATATCTTTAAGTCCTCGTCCTAGTTTTAAATTTGTATATTTTTAAAGAAGAAGAACAATTCTTAATAGAAATATTCATTATTAACTTCAAACAGATTTGGTAAAATAACAAAAATTTAGAGAAAAGAATAATGAAAATTAATTTTATGCAGCATATTTTTCTAATATTATTTAATTTTTATCATATTTATTTAAATATTGCATATTTTATATTATTTTTATATTAAAATATGATATTATATTATTAATTGAAGTAATTAATTATTTAATGAATATATTTATTTTTAATATAAAATATTAAAATAATATATAAAAATATATAAAATAATGAATTGTTTTAATTATTTAAATTTTTTATTATTAGACTAAAATCAAACGAGAGTTATATAATGCGAGACTCTTATTTTGCTCTTTCAAAAATCGCTGTGGATGTCTTTGTATAAGTGAGATACTATTAATTAAATCATTAAAAAAATTACAATTTTGATTTAATTTTTGAATATGCAGCTAAATAATAAATAGCCACTTATTTGCTGTCAATTCCGTCTTTAAGTAAATAGAAATAATAATTTTATTTTTATAAAATAAAAAATGGAAAAACCTTTTTCGTTAAAACGAATAAAATAAAATAAATGAGATTATTTTTGTAAACTGAAATAAACTTTTTGAATTTGAAAATTAAAACCAAATTCGTCTCAAATTTTAATGACTATAAATGTAATTAAACATAATACAAATATATATATCAAAATATTTATGTTGAGCAAAAATTACTTGAAATTTGGTATATCGATAATTGTGATCGGAAGGAATAACATTTATCAACAAAGGTTAGTGAGAAAATTTTAATTCTCAAATCAATTGTTATAAAGTATAATAAACCATAAAAGATATTTGATACCAACTGCAATCATTTATAACTTTTAAAATAAAAACAAAATTTAATTATAAAAAAAAAACAATATTCCAAATGATATTCGTTTAATCTATATAAGTAAAAAAAATATCATTACGTTAAAAAATAAAAATTATTATCTTTCAAATTATGGTCTATTAAATAAAATTAGATTTATTGATATTAAAATATTTTATATTTTTTAAATCCATCTCTAATACATGACATACATACTTATTTTACATAATTATTTTATTAATCATGCGGTTTCTCTCGATCATTAAAGATGGAAAATATAATTAATGCAATGAGATATCCCGATAATTTCCATTACCATTGCAACATTTTTTTTTCTCGGAGTAGCTCGTAAAAGTGTGATCGTGTGTGAAATTAGTTTTGATAATCATATATAAGCAAGATTTCTGAAACACCAGTTTCTCTTCCTAGGTTTACAAAATTCAAATTCAGTATCGCCAAAATTTTCTTACGCATATTCGAAGGCGTAAGGGCACCGCCACCACCATCTCTCCACCGCTCGCCGCCTCTGTCTCGGCGACCTGACCTGCCGCAACCGCTCGCTCCACCGCTACTTCCTCCGTCACCGCCTTTCGCTTCCGGCATCGGTCCTGCTGTTTAAAACACTTCGTTGAAAGTAATTTTCAAAGTTTGTGAGATTTTGTCGCTATGGACTTAGACGACTTGGATGAAGCGCCGATCAAGGCCACTTCTCGAGTCTCCAAGTTCGCGCCAAAATCATCGAAGCTCAAACCTAAACCGAAAGGGGAACCTGTCCCCAAACCTGAACCCCAATCCCAGCCCGAACCATCCATCTCCAAATCAGAGCCTCAGGAATTCGTTGCAAATATAAAAAAGAACGAAGATGGCGAGGAAACAGTTCCAACAACTCATATAAAGCATGAACTGAACACCACTGTTCCAATGGAAACGGAACCCAAGTCTGAACACGAAGGCAAAGAAGAACCAGGACGAGACGATCCCATGGACGAAGATAATCTCGAAGATACAGTTGTGCGCGAAATTGACGTTTTCTTCTCACCTTCTGTCGATGCTGAGACTAAGGTTTGCATTTCGCGCACGTCATTGCTCGTTCGATTTTGCCTTGTTTGTTTATATATAATTTCTAAGTATTTTTCCTTTGTCGCTTTTTAGTTATACGTTTTTCAGTATCCCTTGAGACCTAGTTGGCGACCGTACGAGATAGATGACCGATGCGAAGAGGCAAGTGTGTTGAATAGTTTTTCTGGAGGAAAGAGGGGCAGCAATCATGTTAATTTTTTTTAAAATATTCTTGTGTAGGTAAGGTTGAAACCTGAGAGTTCAGAGGTGGAGCTTGATTTATCCATTGATCTCGAGTCGAGTAATATAGACACAGAGTTTGCCAGCAAATACAACATCACGAAGCAGGTTTATTCGTTATCTCTGACAATTTGAACCACATGATGCTCCTCAGTTAACACTATGATTATGTCTAAGATGAGCGAGATTGCATTTGTGCATTCCTGTTGTGTCTTACAAACTACAATAAGTAGAGTAAAATAACCAAGATGTTTAAAAAAGTGATGACGAAGGTTCCAGGGCTTCTTGACTCTGAAATTGACAATGTGATTGCGTATTTCTGTTGAATATTTTATCGAGAAAGATTCAAGTCGTATGAATGAATTGGCTCCATGATTCCGTAGATATATCAGTGCTCCCTTACAATATGTTGGCTACTGTTTGAAATTAGCAGCCATCAAAATACTTATTTTTTTTATTCCACTTGCAGGTGCTATGCATGTGTGAAATAGGTCAGACCTGTTTACTTTTTGTAGTTTTCCTTAGGACATTTAGGATGTATTTTGATAAATAACTTAGTTAAATATTTATTGGATATGAGAATTTATGTCGTAATTTTGACAATAAAAGTTTTAAAAATTAATTAAAAATAGCTTATAGGAGTTTAACCCATTGTCATAAGCCCACATAAACTCTTCTAGATGCCCCTTGGTGAATAAATGAAGATTAAATTATACCGTTTTATTTGTGGCTTGTCAATGTTACTGGTGCATGAGAACTTCAACACTTTAATTTTCAACATGTTTATATGGTATGGTTGAAGAGTCATAGTTAGTTTATGCTTCTCATCATACATTGATTGGATGTGCAATGAAATTTTAGCCTGTGAAAAGCTTGCTACACCAACTATCAGAAAATCTGCTGCATTTTTCTCAAAAAGCATATTCTTTTCATGAAATATTGCAAAGAAGTCCTAAAACTCTGCAGCAGTTTAGCCAACCAACTTATGAGCATAAAACCTTGTCAAATCTTTATGAAATGAATCAATGGTACGATGGTTTTTATAGATACCAATGCATTTTTTGAATGGATTTTTTGAACTTTGATCCATGCAGCTGCTTTCACCTAGAGCTATGATGCTTGGTTGGTGGTGTTGTATTCTTTGTTTCTATTTTTTTTTCTATTCCTTGATACGCTAAGCCTTTTTGTTTGTCAAATAACCCAACAAACTTTTAACATACATGAATATTTGATGTTGATGCTTGCAGTTGAGTGCTTTATTTTTGCATTTGTGACTTGTATTAGAAAAACATTATATTATGTGCTTTGTAAGTATGATACAATTGTTTTAATTCTCTTCAGACTTATGCAACTTCGTGGAAGCCATCTCGTGCTGATGGACGAGCTGCAACTGCTACTGGGCTTCTTATGGGAAATAAGGTAATTATTTCTTCCATTCTATTTTATGATGTCTAATTTGGAGTCAAGGTTATGACTTGAAAATTGTACTATGTTTGCCATTGCAACTTGGGCGATTTGTGTCCTTTTATTGAAAACCTAATTCTTCTGATATTTAGGATGAATGCATTTCACTTAAAATACTTCTGAAGACGAGTTTGTTGTTGGTTTAAGATGAGACATCTTATTCAGGTCTAGAAAAAAAGTGGTAGCAATTAATTAATGTGTTTGTTTATGAAAAAGTTCATTGAAAAGCTAATGCAGCTAGGCATACTTTTCACGGTTTGCTTCAATGAAGAGTGAAAAAGGGGGGAAATGAGGAATACAAAGCATGGCTTGAAATTAACATGGCTCCTCCCTTTCCATAAATGTAAAAGCTTAGATTATACTAAAGAAAACTAATGGAACATGCTCTTGTAAAGACTTATCAGGTTAGATTCATACATTATTAACCAATCAAAACTGATATGCTTCATATTTACTCATTGATAATAGTTATATTAGCATGTTAAAATATTGGTAAATTACGCTAACACCACAATATGTTTTCTCAAAATACACAGACACTCCAGTTTTAAAATCATTACATCGTCCCTCCTTTTCATATTACATGTGTCCCCCCTATGTTTTAAAAACATTATGCATGTCTTTTTACATTAAGCATACACCCCCTAAAGTGAAGGTCATTGCAATGATGAAAAAAGTAGGGGGTATAAGTGTAGTTTAAGAAAACCTCAGGGGATCTTAGTATAATTTACTCTACCATATTTCATAGTGCAGCCCATTATGTGTCTATTACCAACAACATTGTGTTTATCTCTCTTTCTCTCTCTCTCTCTCTCTCTCTCTCTATATATATATATATATATATATATATATTGTTTCTTCTCATAGCTTGAGGGTTTTATGAATTGCTTTTTTGTGATATTCAAGTTGATTGTTTAATTTAAAAAAAAGTTGTAAATTTGCCTGGCTTTTTCTTGGTTACAGTTACACCTGCATCCAATTCATGCAGTTGTGCAGCTCCGACCAAAATTACAACATCTTAACTCTGGTGGTTCAAAAAGGAAGAGTGTTGTCTCTGCTGGAGCAAATGCTACTGTCAAAATTGAGGGCTCAAATGAAGAAAAATCTGCTGCTACGTCAAAGCAGGTATCTGTCTTTCTATTTTTCATTCATATTTGTTATTTTGTTATAGCAACTTACAATTGACTTCACTAGAGCAAGGTGCAGGATTTATAGTTTCCATAGAATGGCACTGATGCCTTGCCAATCTTGAAATATTATTCCATGCACTTTTGTAGATGATTAGGTGGTTTATGTTGAGTTGCACCAAAGTTTTTGTTGCTTTATAAGAATCTGGATCTTGATTAAGTGTAGTATTAAGAAATCCATTACAGGTGTGTGCCCCTTCAAAAATAAGAAAGTGAAAAATGTTTGTTTGCTGTTGTTATAGGAACATTGGCCTTGTTCATAAATTTAATATTTAGCCACTGACACCTTGGTTTCATTTGTTCCAACTATGCTTGAAATTAGACACATTTTTTTATCATCGCAACACAAGCTGTCTTGTTGCAGTATTAATTCATATTGCTATTTTTTTCTGCTTCTTGTATTCTGTCAAGGCTTATTAGCTAATTTCCTACTAGCTTATAGATTTTTCATCTCTGTTGCAGAATAAGCAGACTGAACCTTCTGTTATTGAGCAAAAGAATGATGGTGATGAGGTATTATAGTAGTTAGTACTGCCGTGTGATTTACATGTGACTCTTCTTGGTTATAATGAGAGCTATGTTACTCTTAGAAATATAATTATTAGCCTAGTTATTCTTATGTATTGCATTTTCCATTAGGCTGAGTGTTTTTCCAGTAAAAAATTTGCTCATAAATATTCTTTCCTGCCTCAAATCATAAGTTAGCCTTGGTATGGATTATTCCTGTCTCTACTGTGCATCTGTCTGCCTCTTCATGGTTGAGTTTCAATACCAAGTCCATCGCTCCTCAGACTCGGCCCGTCTATTACTTCCATATGGAAGTTATGACCAGACCATGTAGACTTGTTGCTGGGAAATCTGCCTCGTGATGCTGCCATGTTTGCACCCGTCTAGTGCACTGTCTTCTCGTTGTCAGTAAATCATTATTTGTCGCTGCATTCTGCTTGTTGCTGTTTTAGGTCTGTTCTGAGGGTCACCTTTCCCTTCTTCTTGGTCTGTACAAGGGGTCTGAAAACCCTAAACTGTTCAAAGTTTTTGTTTGTGACCATTCTTTGAGTGCAATTTCTATGCTCCTCCCACAGTTCATACCTTTTAACATTTGCAAATTAGTTTTGGATTTTGAGAGAAAGGATGAATCTCTTCCTTAAGAGAATTAGTTTTTCTTATCAGGTAATGATTACAGAGAGTATTTTCAGCTAAAGGCTGTCCACTCAAGAACTACCTCTTCTTCAGTCTCCTAATCTAGTAATTTTTTCAGTTTACTTCTCTCAATCCTTTCCTCATTTAGAGCTAAAGGCTGTCCACTCAATCCTAATCTAGAGCTCCTTGTCACATCATTGCTAACCATTCCCTTTCTCAAACTTTTATCCACAAATTCTCCTCATTTCCATATGCATGGCTATAAAGTTAAGCTACTGGCATCAATCAAGTCTTTCCCTTTTTTCCTAGTATTTGGGTTCTTTTTCTTGTCGTTCCTTACAGTCTGTTTAATTTAGTTTCTACTAATAAGTTGACGACCTGCAGTCTTAATTTTTCAATAACCTTCTCTTATTCATAAGAGAATATGATAATAGATCCTATGAGACAGTAAGGATATAGTATGTCCTGGCAGATAACATAAGACATTCTAAGATATGATAAAATATTTTCATATATTCTAACTACTTCAATAAAAATTAACAGTTATGTCCATAAAGAATGAATGTGGGATAAAGAAGATGGTTATTTTGGCGCTTTTTGCATGAAATGAACTTTAATGTACCAATTAGTTCCACATGTATTCATTTTCTGCCAAAAGAATTTCTTAATGGTGATTTTGTTCCATAAATTTTGCATATTTTCCCATCCTGTAATAATCAGTTTTTTTTTATATCCGGTGCAGTACTGGCTTCCTCTTAAGTACCACAGTTGCAAGAGTGATATCTCCTCTGGATATTTGCAGCAAATGGTGACACAAGAAAGTTCTCCTATAAACTTCACAATGAAAGCGTAAGAAATTGTCCTATTATCCTTTTTCCACTCATGTCATATGTAAACTACTAAATATTTGAATTTTTTAAAACTTTGATTCAAGGTATGATTATGTTACTGCACTGTGTCCTGGAGGGACTAGCAACAATTTACCGAAGGGTCCATCCAAAAGGTACTGTCTTCCTTAAACAGGAAGTTTATTTAATTTTTGGCCCTTGGTTCTGATTAAATGTTTTCCATTAGCTGTCTATTTCCTTCTGATTAAAGGTTTATTTAATAGTTTGTCTTTTTCTGTGTATTTTATTGTTTATACTGCTGACTTATCAGTGGTAAGGTCATTGCTGTTATATTTCTATATTGTTTATCTTTATTGATTTGTACTATTTATACTGGCTTATAATTTTGACTATTGTGTTATGTAAATATAGGGATCTACTATCATTACCTGTGGAAGAGCGACTTAAGAAAATGCTTGAGGTTTGTAACATTATCAGAAAGGGGCATTTAGATCTTACAACATGTTTTAAGATATTCTACATTCCCAATTCACTACTGGTGTTTAATGTGTGTGTGATAACTGTTATGTTTTTAGTGGACATATTTCTCAGCAAATAACCTGGACATGTGACCAAATTTCTCATTGATAACATGACAAGCACTGAAGTTCTGCTTTTAATATAGAAAATGTTTGTATTTTACCAGGATGCTGCTGCCAGGTTTAAAATAAATATGTCATTCTTATCTGTATATTTTAAACTTGGCTCTTAATTAATTATTAAAGGACTTGCATATTTGGGTGGTGGTACACACATCACAACCAATGCCTTTAAAATTAGATTGGTTATTGAACTAATTAATGCAATGATTCACGGTTTATTTATTTAACTGTTGCTGAAATAGTGATAAATATATACGCACATTTCCATAAGTAATAAATTAATGCAAAAATTTGATTAACATCACTCTACTGTATCTTGTGTCTTACAAAATGAGAAATTACTAGTTATTGATAAATATACATAAATAGTATTAATAAAAATGAAAAAATATTAACTTAAATACATTAAAGATTATGACGTGTAGTAATATTTTGTGTGTGTTTGTGTGTATACATAAAGTAACAATGGTTTCCAAAGAGTTTATGAATATTATAGGTAGGGGAATTCTAATTTTTCCCCTATAAAAAATTTCATCTGGTTGTGTGAATTGAATTAGTAGGTTCTTTCCAGTTTGTGCCCATTTCATGATTCCACTGAGTGGTTTCCTGATCACCAGTTAAATGGATTGGGCCTAACTTGATCTATAAGGTGATTCCTTAGTTGAACTGGCCAATATAGTCTAATTATCTTAATTATTGTCTCAACCAAGTAATATAACAACCATCACTACCTAGCCTTTTACTTTGAGGTGGGATAGGCTACAAAGATCAAATAATGCTGTAATCTTCTATTGTGTATCATGCTTCTGTGCTATTTTTTATAACTTGCTAACACAGCTCTTTATGATAGAAATATCCACCACAACGTTTCAGTGCGTTAAAGCACTTTGCTCCTGAATACTCTGAGGAGGAACTTCTACAGTTCCTGCAGCAACATGCAATATTGTTGTGGGGACTATGGACTGCAAAAAGTTCATTACTATTTCCTAATGGTGGAGCTGAATCTTTGGCCAGAGATTATGTCCTACTACTGTTTAGCAAGAATTTGAAAGTTCATTCTTCTGATTTTAATGTTCGAGGTGAACTTACTACTCATGTGAAGGACTTCCTGAAGCTATTTGGCTTGGAAACCAGTGATATTGATAAATCTGCTGGACAACCAAACCCTTACTGGAAATTCAAACAGCATCCAGACGAGTCATTCAAAAAACTCTATCCAGATATTGTTGAGAAACAGGAAAACCTTTTCAAAAGTTTGGAACAACATTTACCTGGTATTGTTTCTAATGTTGGAAAACGGAAACTTGGTAAAAGAGCTGTAGCAAACCAAGGTGTAAACAGTGAGCCTCTTAAATCAGAAAGTTCTGATCAACGGGTAACAAGTCTGGGGGGAGTGTCTACTGGGAAAATGACCATGTCAAATGAAACCCGTCATGCTCTGCCAATTGCCCTCAAGAAGCTATTTCAGACTCACAAAGTTTGCAGGTACGTCTATAGAGAGATCTATACTTTGGTTTGGTGATTTCCTGTCATCAAAATATCGTTGTAATTAACTTCATACCACTTTAAAAGGCTTTCATATGTCAACACCTGTGCTTTATATTAGACTATTTTTTTTATATTTGAAAAAATCAAATCTCTCTTTTGATCTAATTGGAATTTTGTTTTGAAGGGTTTGTTTAGGGTGATAGAGGAGATATTGGGGGACTTGTTGTGGAGAGGGTGGGTGATCTGAGGAGAGATAAAATTTGTATGTGTTGAAGAAATGAGGGGGGGGGGCTAATGGGTCTGGGCAAGTTATATAAAAATAATTATTTCTTTGCCATCTAAAAGTTTGTGATGGTTTCCTTTAGAAACTAAATTCTTTATGGCAATTGGTTATTTGGATTAAATCTGGTTTAAATAGGTACAGGTTGCAATGTCAATGATGCCAGTCATTGAAAATTCACCTCAGTGATATTCATCTTTCTGACAACTTCGTCACTCTTAGTCAGGATGATGGTAATTGCATGAGGGGTGGTTCTCCTCCAGTTGACATTCCCTGGAAGAGATTTGGTTTTGGCCCAACAAAAGTTCTATATTTTTATCTTGTTGGTTGACAGTTTTCTTATGCTGCTTATTTATCTTGGCAGTTTCAAAGTGATATGCCAAGGATTGCGTGAAATGGCAGTTTCCAAAGCTATGCTTTCGAAAGGAGATTCTAAAATTGCTGTGGATGCGGCTCACAGTCTTGATGGTCCACAGAATGAGTTAATGGCAGTCATAAGTGAAGTTGCATGTGAAATTCATGGTTCTTATGTGTTGAAATCATCACAAGATGATCCGTTCAGGTTGTTTTTCTCTTCCCCACCTCACTCCCAAAAGGAAAAGTGAACAACAATGTTTTCATTACATGGGAGGTCAAAGAATTTTGAAAATAAATATCATGTTTCATTTCTTTTATAATGATCTAGATTGCTTTGGTCTCTGCAGAGATGTTGTAATTGATATGCTTCGTGGAAGTGGACCCAACGCAAAGCTGAAGAAGGCTGAGATACTTGAAGCTGCAAGGAGAAAACTTGGCAGGGAGGTCCCTAACAATGAATATAACAAGGTAATTTGAATTTCTTTTTCATGAGTTGGATATGGTATACTATTAAAGTGTTATTTCAATTGTCACTGTTTTCCCTTATTAATTTAGGGTCCATGCACTGGTCTGCACAGCCTTAGATTGAATTTCACTGTAGTTATTACGTTGAAATGTGGTAATCAATAATTATAGAAAAATTGTCCAGCAGATGAACACACTTCACCCACTCCAACCCTTTCTCACTCTGTCTTCTGTATTCTTTTGTTAAAATTTTGTATTGCTTTTCACTGGCCATGGATAGGATGTAAATAAATAAGGTAGAAATAATGAAAGGAAACCGCGCACAACCTAAAATGAGTGGTTGGTTGAGACACCTGTGTAGCCATATTAATTTGAAAGTAGATAATGATCTTAACATCTGTCTCTTTTTAAAACAATTTCAGGTAATGAGTGAGTTATGCGTCTCAAAAGGTTCTGTTTGGGTCTTGAGAAGCGGTGACGGTATTAACCAATGATTGGGTCTTTTTGTCTTTGCATCGTTTCTTCTTTTTTTGGGAGGGGTTTAGATGAGGATTCAGTTGGACATCTGCTCATGGACTTTGGTTCGCATGAAGGGTACTCATACTCACCATTGCATTTTCACCACGCAACCATAGGTTAATGCTAATACTCATTCTCAAATATGCATAACTTATCCACCTTTCTAGCTTTAGATTTTAGCTTTAGATAGGGAGATATAATAGTTTTTGTTAGAAAAGGATAAGAAAATAGGAATACCCAAGATTGCATCGTCAGCTGAGGTTTATATTTATACACACTGCTGCTATCACTTGATATTAACTGAGCTTTTAGCTAACTCAAATCAAATGAGGTTTTTTTCTTTTTTAATTTTTTAGATTCCTTTTTTATATTTTCTTTCTTTCCTCTCTTTCTTTACTCTACTTGGCTTAATACATAAAAGGGGTATCAATACATTTTTATCCATTTTAAACATGTGTATCATTTGTACTCTTGACTATATAAAAGTGAAAATAAACAAAATGATGAGTTTCTTTTCTTATTTGGATAGAAGGAAAAATAGTGAGAAAATAACACTCATACTTCTAAAATGTAAGCTAACACAATTATAGTTAGGGTAATTGTTAGCATTTTCCAGTTAAAAAATTGTAATATGAACATAATTAAATAGTTTTATCAAAGTGTTTGATTAAAATACAATTGATTTTTTTTTCAATTGTAAAAATACAATTGAATAACTTTATTTATAACATTATAAAATAGTATAGCCATGGGAATAATTTTTTGGAGTTTGTATTTTTTAATTTAATGTATTTTAAAATTAAAATTTTTAATGTAACACAATTTGTTAAAATCAAGTCCGAGGCGTACTTTTAACAAAAATTAAGACAAGTTGATTAAATGTGGAAATATAATTCAAAAAGTTTTTACGCATGAAATATAATTCAAAAAGATTAAATTGTCTCAACTATCTTCTACAAAATTTTCATAAAAAGAATGACCAAACAGTACAAATATATAATAAAATCATTTAAATAATATATATTTGGATATATTTCAACGTTAATCTTTCCTTCAATTAGACAGTTTTATTGTAATTTTCTGAATTTTTTGTTGAATATATAATGTGCTGAAATAAAATTCTTATGATTATGGACAAAATAACTTGAATTTTTTTTTTAATACTAATATACATGTTGGCATTTGTTATAAGCATCATGTATAAGCTGTTGTCTATTTTGAAATGTGCCCTCCCTTAAGAGGTGTATATCATTTAAGCAATGTGAAATATTAGAATATCAATACTAAGTTGTGAAAAGAGTTGATCAATTAGTAATTATTATGATCATAATTAATATTATGTTTACATATTTTTAGTTTTAAACAAAACAAAATAAACAAGTAAAATGAAAACGTAACATAAATCACAACAAACAAACAATCAGAATGGATCATTGATTGCTATTATTAGTTTTACGTGATTACTACTACTGTTACTATTAAATTAAAATATACACAATTATTTTACAGTAGGTTATTAGATGTAAACAAAATTATTTTACCCCTAATGCATTTGTTTACCTAATTCATCACCTCTAATCCAACATCTTTTAACAAAGTACCTTTTTCTCCCAACAACTCTATTTAATAATATAATATTATTTTTGAATTATTTTTATTTATGATTATAATAAATTAAGTTATTTATAGATATTTAAAATTTTCTTGTTATCTATCTATCATTACTCTTGTAGAATTAATTTTGTTGAATAATACTAGTTAATGAATAGTCTCTTAGTATATTTTTTTCATAAAATTCATCTGAATTATACTACTGTCTTACTATATTTTTTTCATAAAATTTATATGAATTTTATTGAATATTAGTAATTGTGTTTGAAAGAGTGTAATATTAATTAATTTATTTAATTAAATAAATAAAAACTAAAAAGAGGATTTTGTATCGAAATGCTGCAATATTTTTAAAACTTTATCAAAATAAATAAATTTTCAAAAAATTATAAATAATCTTGTGTTATGATGCATAATTTCAATAATTAAATACATTAAAATTATTATTATAAGTTATAATAATATTATAATTTATAATACAATTATAATAATTATTAAAATATAATAATTAAATTAATATAAATTTATTACTTTTTATTATTATAATAAAAATAACATTTTTTATTATATAATTTAATTATTATTACAATTAAAAAAGTAAATAATAATAATAATAAGAGTATTTACATTATTAATATAATAATAATATAATTATTATATTAATAAGTTATATTATTTTATTATTAATATTATTAATAATAAAATAATATATTAATTATTAGTTTTAATAATAATAATAATATAACTTTTATTATTATTATTATTTTATCAATAATATAAAAATTAGTATTAATAATTATAAGAATATAATAATACCTATTATAAGATAATAATACAAATATATTATTTTTATAAAAAAATTAAAATTCTGAAATACAAGTAATTAGTGATAAACTAATTAGAGCAAAAGACAAAAAGATGGTTCACATATAATGAGTTATAATAAAATAATTAGTGATAAACTCAACCTATTTACACCTTAATTTTAAGTTTCTACCTTTATCCAAGTAGCAGAATCACGTAATTTTACTGAGAATTTGACTAGAACAACAATATTTTTCAGAATATAGTGTGTTTGAACAAAATGAATTATGGAAAAATAAGTTCTGAAGTGAAATAATGAACTTAGGAGCGCAGTAATTTTGTTCAAAATAAAAAATGTTAAAAAGTTGAAATTGTGAATAGTAGATTAGAGAGAAAAAAAAAAAAAGTAATTTTGTGTTGAAAATGCATGAAATGGAAGGATAATGGATTGGCGTGTAATGGAAGGTATCCCACAATCAAACTAATGGAAAAAAGTACTTTTGAAGTCCAAAATACGTTGTGGAGAAGCTATTATTTGTACACCACGTAATTAAATTTCCACACAAGTTCCTTGCTTTCAATTTATTTTTCCTTAATTATTACAAAATTTACCGTTATATGTTTTAGAAATTAAGCATTTAGCATCTAAGAAATTGGTAACATTTAAAGAAATTAGATAAATAATTGTTAATGAAAAAAAAAAAAGGTTTATTAAGAAGATGTTTGTTGCTGTAAAACAAAACAGAGGGAAAGAGAAAAGCAGAGTGTAGCGCAGGGAAGACTTTACCCAGTCATTACGCGTAGTTTCCAACCACCAAACCCAAGGCAACCTTTTTGAGTTCAACCCTTTGCCTTTCATCTTCTCTTGCGAATATCGTTAGTGGGTTGTTCATAGAATTGGAATAGTTGGAAAATGAGCGATAATTTGATGGAAAAGGTGAGTGCTTTGGGGGAGCGTCTGAAGATCGGAGGAGTGGAGGTGGGTCGGAAGATGAGTGAGGGGATGAGTTCGATGAGCTTCAAAGTCAGGGAGTTCTTCCAGGGCCCTAATCAGGCCGACAAGCTCGTCGAGGACGCCACTTCCGAGGCCCTAGACGAGCCCGATTGGGCCCTCAACCTCGATCTCTGCGACCTCATCAACACCGACAAGCTCTCCACCGTCGAGCTCATCCGCGGAATCAAGAAGCGGATCATGGTCAAGAGCCCTAGGGTTCAGTACCTCGCACTCGTCCTCCTCGAAACCTGCGTCAAAAACTGCGAGAAGGCCTTCTCCGAGGTCGCCGCCGAGCGGGTCCTGGACGAGATCGTCAGACTCATCGACGACCCCCAGACCGTCGTCAACAACCGCAACAAGGCCTTGATGATGATCGAAGCCTGGGGTGAGTCCACCGGCGAGTTGCGCTATCTCCCTGTCTTTGAAGAAACTTACAAGGTTAGGTTCTCTCTTTTTCTCCCTCTTCACTTTCAATCAAATTCAAACAATTTAAGACCAGAGCCTGTGATTTAACTACTATGAGATTGTTCAATTTAACCCTATCTGTAGTAGTGATGCTGAATTTGTGTTTACTTGTGATATTTAGGAGTTTTTAAAAACTAAAAAAATGCCTTTTGTTTTTTTTGGTTTTTCAGAGTCTGAAATCGAGGGGTATTAGGTTTCCTGGTCGTGATAATGAAAGCTTGGCTCCTATTTTCACTCCGCCTCGTTCGGTGTCTGCTCCGGAGGCTGATGTCAATCCTCAACAGCAGTTTGAGCGTGATATTCCTGGGCAGTTTGAGCATGATGTTCCTGTGCAGAGTTTTTCTCCTGAACAGACCAAGGAAGCCTTTGATGTTGCGAGAAATAGCATTGAGCTTCTTTCCACTGTATTGTCGTCTTCGCCGCAACAGGATGCTTTACAGGTATATTGTGGTTGGGGTGTATGATGTTATTATTAGTTGCTATTTTTTACTCTGCTGTTTTGATTCTCTCGTTTGATTTGGACGATAAATACTGCTGGTTTGGAATTGGACCGATGTGTACCATTTGTGGATGGAATATGGATAGAACTTCATTTGCTTTTGTAACTAATGGCCTGTGACGTGTGGTACATGACCTTTTCTGTCTTCAAATTTTACTCGGTGCACACTACATTGTGAGTAAAGATCACTGTTTTGCTTACTTTTTTGTGTTTCTAGTATATGTACTTAGAAGAGGTTTGTCACCGATGTAGATAAATTCCCTGTGTAAGATTTATCTATTATGATTTTATGCCTGGACTATTAACAGCATCATTTAGGAGATGGACTAACTTATTGCACATTTCATAATAAGAAAGGGGACTATTTTTTAAAATCTAAAAAGCTTGTCAGTTTGCTCTGACTGGATGCCATTCATGATCTGTTGAACAATGTAGAAACTGTGGTGATGGAAATGTTATCTACTGAACCCCTCCCTTGGGTTATTATCTTCACAAAGTTTGTCTTGTGTGTCACCTTGTTTTGTTCTGATGCATATGATGTTTATCTTGAACTAATTTACTGTGTAATTTTTTTTTTTTTAAAACATTCCTGTTGGTCTAAAATTGTGTATTACAATATATAGATACAGTCATAAAAAATTGTCAGAGTGGTATTTGTCAATATCAGAATTATTTATTTTTTGTTTAGATTACTCTATTTTTGAAACATTGAAGTGTAAAAAAAGTGTTGTAAAACTGAAATAGACTTTAGAAATTGGCCTTCTTTTGAGGCAGTTGAGGGAACCGATTTATTGATGATGTTTTCAGTAATGATATTATTCTCTTCAATGAAAAAATGAACATCTTATTTAGATTTTTTAGTACATTAACCACATCTTCTATAGTTTGCAGTCATGAGATTTCCCCTTGGCCTTGATAATGCAATGATGGGTATTGTTTATCTGAAATTTTGAATTACTGGTCTGTTAGGAGGATGGTGTACTAGAAAGAGATATGCTATTTAGGGTGTGTTTAGAAGAGTTTATTTATAGCTTATTTGAACTTATCTTATGTATAAGCACTTGCGTAAGTGTTTGAGAGGGTTTATTTGAATAGTTTAGAATCGGTCCGTAAGTTGGTTATAGTCTATTTTTCAATAAGCTCCCAGGATAGCTTATAACAAGTCTTATAACTTTTATGTAATAAATTCAACCTTGTTTTCTCTTCAATTGTAGAAGAAACAACTTATACAAACCGGCCCTTGTCCGAACCTAATATGATATCATTCATTATCTAACTAGGTAACGCCCAAGCAAGAACTTGTCCTAATAATCCCTTACAAGTTTCCCCAAACAAAAAACGTCAGTTTTAGCCTAGAGAAGAAGCTATTGAATCAGACATTGATGAATGCCAAAATATGAATGTGACCATTTCTTCCGTCTGCAGGATGATTTGACCTCCACACTTGTACATCAGTGTCGTCGGTCGCAAGCTACTGTCCAGCGAATTGTTGAAACTGCTGGGGATAATGAAGCACTGCTTTTTGAGGCCCTAAATGTCAACGATGAGATTCAGAAGGTTCTTACCAAGTACGAAGAGTTGAAGCAGCCTGCAGGTGTTCCACTTCAGCCTGAACCAGCTATGATACCAGTTGCTGTTGAGCCAGATGAGTCACCGCGTCACACTAAAGAAGATGCCTTGATTAGAAAGCCAGCTGGATCAAGAACGCCCCAGGGAGGGAGCAATGATGACATGATGGATGATCTTGATGAGATGATTTTTGGGAAAAAAGGCGGGGAAGCATCAGATGGGGGACACGATACGAAGAAGCAGCAATCACCGAAAGATGATCTCATCTCTTTCTGAGCTGCAATACTACTAATCTACGCTGAATATAGAACAGAGTGCTTTTAATGTCATGTTACTTTTTTATATCTAGATGTTGATTACGAAGTTTGTTCAGAGTTCAGATTGCTGGGTCCATTATTATTTTTTGCACTTTGTGTGCAACTTATGTTTGAATTACGGTATATAAGTTCTTGACAGACAAGATATACATGGGAAACTCTGGATAATTTGAACGAGGTTTCATTCACTCTTTGTGATATTTTTCTCTTGTTGATGTATGATGGATAGTAATACCACATCAGAATTCATTTTAGGTATCCCAAGTCTAAAACTTTCATTTCGGATCATTTTTTTCCTAAATGAAAGTTTTATATTTCAAGCTACTTTGTTTTAGTACAAGATATATCCGATACTATTATTGGATGCAGAAGGAGAAGATTCTACATGAAATAATATTTCTTATCCAGCTGGTATTTATCATGTGATTTGACTCACAGGTTGACTAGAAAAATACTGTCATAAAATAACTTTGGAAGTGAAGTTGATAGTGACATTAAAGGGGGTGAACGCAGTCACAACAAATGAAAAACACGATCTTTTTATTTTAATCAGAATGGCAATGAATTAAACAAAAAATGTTGCATTGCACACGACACCTCCAAAACGATCATTAATCGATAAAATATAGAAAAGAAGAAATGGTTAATTAATAATATACAAAAAAGAAATAGTGTAACGTTTCGAAGGATTTGAGACGTTATGTTTGTAAGAAAAGCACGTTAGAGTTGTGACAGGTGGGCATTGGGTGGGGTTTATTTAACGCGTCAGCGACCACACAAACACCTAAAACGCTGCTTTTTGAGTGACGATGGAATAGAGTATCGAACAATTTTCTCCGTCATTAAACAATACTTTCTTTTATTCACAATTCAGTTGAGTGTAGCTATAATCATCTTACCACTTTATTTACCAATTAATTTTTATCTGATAAATATAAAAAAACAAGACGTATGTTTTATTCTTCTAATTTTTTTAATTATTTTTTAAAACTTATATTTTAAAATCAATGGACTCAATTTATTTTTTTATTTTTTTCTTTATTATTTAGATGTATTATATTTTTTTCACTCGTTATCTCAATTCTTTTATCTCATGATACGAAAAACTATTATAGAAAAGGAAATCTCTTTTATATATAAAAATAACATTTTAATCTAATTTAATTTTTATTTTATTCTTTACAAATATTCTACATTTTTTCTCCTCCTTCTTATTATTTATGATATTTTTTCTTTTTACAATGAAAAAATAAAATCTCATTTATAATAGTGGAAATAATTCACTGTGATAAAATGACTTATGTATTTTAATAAAGTGATTGAAAATTCAAATATTAAAATACTGAATGAAAATTTTGAAAAAGGAATATCTACAAATAATTTTATGGTGACTTTCATTTTGGGAAAAGCATACTTGAAATGTACAAAACGTCATATTAATATATAAAAAATAACCTCCTTTAAATATGAAATCTTCAACACAGATTACCCTACGAAACCAAATTATAAATACATGAATATTTTATTTTAACGACTCAACCAACTCTAACTTTTAAATTAAATTTTGGTTCGTAGCTGCTAAAATGGTCGAAGATTTTGACTAAAGATAAGATTGAATATACACCTCCCTAAAACTGAAGTACTTTAATTTAAACTTCAAAAAAGACGCGCACTTATCCAAAATTTTATTTGACCATCCACTAGTTTCGAAATTTATGCATTATCATTTCACAATCTCTGGAAATATCGTTAATATATATAAATATTTACACTAATGATTTTTACAATTTAATAATACATAAATTAGTATAAGAAATATTTTATACTAGAGTTTGTATTAAAAAAAATAACATTTTATTTTTGTACTATTTCATTAAAACCCAATTATGCCCTTCTAAAAAAAATTTTAATTTGTTTGTGGCATGTAACGATGATGCTCTGATATTTCTTTCTGAACAATTGGCAACAAAAGTTCACCAATTTTTATGGTAATAATTCTGATTTTGGGAGGTCCCCACTTCGCATGTTCTGGAACTTTATGAAAAGTAAATTAATTTTGAAAAATGAAGTTTTTTCAAAAAACAAATATTTTTATATTATAAAGTTATATCTACTTGATGATACATTTCTCGAGGGAGTACGATATTATTATTATTATTTTTTATTTTATTTGTCTCCACTCTAAATTGTGAGTAACTTTTTTTATATATATAAATTATGCATAATTTTTAATATAAGCAAAGCAAAAAAACTTGTTTCTAACATAATATATTCTATCTCAAAATAACATAGAAAACAAAACAAAAAAAATTAAAAATTAAAATTTCTTCATCTAAATACCAAATTATCAAACATCATGCCGTTACAGTATTGTTTTTTGTTTTCAAAGTTCCTTAAATTCATATATAATGGTCCCTACACTTTTTAAGATGTTTGGAATAATTGATACATCATCCTCTTCAATCATAACACTCACACCACTACTCCTATATGCACCAACTAACTAAACTTCTTATCATGTCAAATGGTCATTGTTTAGGGTTTCTAAAACTTCTATCACAATAACTTCAGTGATTTTAGTTCCACTCATCTTTTCCCACATGCAAATAATTTCCAGAAAATATTTTTGATTGAATCACACATGGAGTTGCATCCAAATTACAGTGAGTGCATGCATTAGAGACTTTCCTTTAATCAAATCAAAGTTTTGGGAATTTTCACATTCCATTCCTTTATATTTCTAATGGATAAACATAACTACACTTAAACACAACATATTAAAATTAAAATAAATTTTAATCAACTGTCCTGAGTTTTATACTTTGCAATACCAATTCTTGATTTACCATAAAAAAATCCTCTGTTTAAGTTTTTTTTTAAGAATTAATTTGTATAAAAAACAATCTCAGCTCCAATTTTGTAATAAAATTACACCCAACACTAGTGTTTTTTATAATTAGATAAGAAGTCCAGAAAAGTTTGTGTTGACCAGAAAGTAAACGATATTATGTTGTTATATAAATTAAGAAAAACTGTAGATATTTATGAAGAAAAAAGTATAAACTGGAAATTTAATTAAACTTCAAAGAATGTACGTATAATTCACTCAAATAAATTTAGTTTGAATAATTAAATTTATTTTAAAAAGTGAAATATAAAATATAATTTATTTTATTCCATTCTAATGTACAAAAAAAAAAAAATTAAATGTGACTGAAGTTAGAGGGAGAAGTTTTTGTGAGGTGGAAGGGGAATGTTGTTAATTACACACAATCTCTTTTAATAATAAAATGAGAGAAGTTAAAAAATGTTTTGGTCGCAGGACTAATTCTGTATCTGTCTTTGCTCTGTCTAAATTGCGTGTGACTGTGTCGTGTAAGCGCGTTTGTTGTTTTTTTTGTATGTTTAAGTCTACAAAGTGACAGTTGGAGAGCGAGTTCGACACTATTTAACTTTTAAACTTTCCATCGGATTCATTTCAAATCCATCTCTTCTCTTCTCTTTTCTTCTCATGGCTTTCTGAAAACTTCACCAAACACAGATCTGAAACAGAGTGAAGAGGTAACCTTCGTTTTCATGCTTTGCACCACCCTTTTGTGTAACATGCATTCATGGTTGCTTTTATACTCCAAGGTTTAAGCTTTACCTCACGAGTTTTTCTGTCCGAGTGATGAGCTCAGGCTAATAAAGTGAGAAAGCAGGGAAATTGTGGATTGGGCATCTCTTTTTTCAAAAAAAAAAAAAAAAAAATTCTGGGATTTTTTAGATTTATGTGTGTTCCTGGGTTCATCGAAGCAGGGAAGTCAAAGGGGTTTACCAACTTTGGCTGACTTGTTAATGTCGTTGTTGATGTTGGTTAGGGACATCATTGACAAAGGGGTTTGTGTTTTTGCTTTTTTGTTGATGGCTTCTGCACCTTTTTAATCAGAATCTGGTACTATTCCGAGATCGTGAGTTCTTCGGTTGGTTTTGTTTGGAGCTAAAAAAAAGGAACATTTTTGGATCTTCTAGTGAGGGTTTATGGAAAAAATCCCCATGGGTTGAGTATCTGCATCTCTCTGCAGATTCCAGTGAATATCTGGTCTCTTCCCGTTTCAACTTCTTTTCATTGTAGTGGTAACCATGCCCCCCATGAAAGTTTACATTTTTCGAGTTCCTTTTTTTTTTTCTGCTATTTGCGTGGAACTGTTGAAAATCTAAGCAGTCTTCAAGATTTTTCTGAGATCCAGCCAGCGCCTTAATTGTAATTATTACTAGATTATTAGAAGAAAAATATATATGAAATATTCAAAAGCTTGGACTTGTTTCAGTTGTTTGTTTGATACTTGCATAATGTATCTTCATAGGGTATGCATTTTTCTCAGTCTTTCTGTATCACATACTCGTAGTTGTGGATTAAGATTCATGTTTGATATTTGGTTCCAGTCTTTAAATTCTATGTTATAGGCTTATTTCTAGTGGATTGAATTAACTGTAGTTTTGTATGAAGTTCTTATTTACTAAATTTCTGAGTTTCAGGATATTATAATCAGTTTCAGTAGCCAATTATGGCATCGAAAATGTTTAGAACAAGCAGATCATCCATGTCAACCTCATCTGATGCACCTGATGGCCAGAAGCCTCCTTTACCTCCAAGTGTACAATTTGGCAGGAGAACTTCCTCAGGTCGCTATGTGAGTTACTCTAGAGATGATCTTGACAGTGAGATAGGGAGTACCGACTTCATGAATTATACAGTGCATATACCACCTACCCCAGATAACCAACCTATGGATCCATCAATCTCACAGAAAGTTGAGGAGCAATATGTGTCAAATTCACTTTTCACAGGCGGATTCAATAGCGTTACTAGAGCCCATCTAATGGATAAGGTGATAGAATCTGAAGCAAATCATCCACAGATGGCTGGTGCAAAAGGATCTTCATGTGCAGTTCCTGGTTGTGACTCTAAGGTGATGAGTGATGAACGTGGTGCTGATATTCTTCCCTGTGAATGTGATTTTAAGATATGTAGAGATTGTTATATAGATGCGGTAAAAACAGGAGGTGGGATGTGCCCAGGATGCAAGGAGCCGTATAAGAACACAGAACTAGATGAAGTCGCTGTAGATAATGGGCGTCCTCTTCCACTTCCTCCACCAAGTGGAATGTCTAAAATGGAGAGGAGATTGTCGTTGATGAAGTCAACCAAATCAGCGTTAATGAGGAGCCAAACTGGAGACTTTGATCATAATAGGTGGCTCTTTGAAACAAAGGGGACCTATGGCTACGGCAATGCTATATGGCCAAAGGAAGGTGGTTTTGGAAATGAGAAAGAGGATGATGTTGTTGAGCCAACTGAACTGATGAACAGACCTTGGAGACCACTTACCAGGAAACTCAAGATACCTGCTGCTGTTTTGAGCCCATATCGGTATAGAGTCTTTACTCTGAAATATCTTTTTCCTTGTAAAATGTTGATTTTTGTTTGTTTTCTAAATATACTAACTTAAACCATGCAGTTTCTAAATATTGGAACAGAGCCCATATCATGAATACAGTCCTGAACATGAAAGGCAATGTGCACCAATCAATAATCTACATCATCTGACTAATTCACTCTTCCTTTTTTTTTTTTTCTGTTTGCAGTCTTATCATTTTTATTCGGTTGGTTGTCTTGGCACTGTTCTTGGCATGGAGGATCAAACACCAAAATACTGATGCAGTATGGCTATGGGGTATGTCTGTTGTTTGTGAGATATGGTTTGCTTTTTCCTGGCTTCTGGATCAAATGCCCAAACTATGCCCAGTGAATCGATCCACGGATCTCAATGTTCTGAAGGAGAAATTTGAAACACCCACCCCTCACAATCCAACTGGAAAATCTGATCTTCCAGGCATAGATATCTTTGTTTCTACTGCTGATCCTGAGAAAGAACCACCTCTTGTAACTGCAAACACTATCTTGTCTATTTTAGCTGCCGATTACCCTGTCGAGAAGCTTTCTTGTTATGTCTCTGACGATGGAGGTGCACTTCTAACTTTTGAGGCAATGGCCGAAGCTGCCAGCTTTGCTAATGCATGGGTTCCCTTCTGTCGTAAACATGATATAGAGCCCAGGAATCCTGAATCGTACTTCAACTTAAAGAGAGACCCTTACAAAAACAAAGTGCGGCCTGATTTTGTCAAGGATCGCAGGCGAGTAAAGCGTGAGTATGATGAATTCAAGGTTAGGATCAATGGGCTGCCTGATTCTATCCGTCGCCGGTCAGATGCCTATCACGCAAGAGAGGAAATCAAGGCTATGAAAGTTCAGAAACAAAACAGGGAAGATGAGCCTTTAGAAACTGTAAAGATTCCTAAAGCGACATGGATGGCTGATGGAACTCACTGGCCAGGAACTTGGTTGAGTCCTACATCCGAGCATTCTAAGGGTGACCATGCTGGTATAATTCAGGTACTAAATAGGTCCTCATAATGTTTTATTCAAGTTTCAAACTAGTCTTACTGAGATGAGTATGATGAATGATTTGTTTTTCATGAATGATGCAGGTTATGCTGAAACCTCCCAGCGATGAACCGCTTCCTGGAAGTGCTGATGATACAAGTCTCATTGACCTGACTGATGTTGATATTCGTCTTCCCCTTCTTGTTTATGTTTCTCGAGAGAAGCGCCCAGGCTATGATCACAACAAGAAAGCCGGTGCCATGAATGCCTTGGTTCGAGCTTCAGCAATAATGTCCAACGGTCCATTTATACTCAATCTTGACTGTGACCACTATATCTACAACTCAAAGGCAATGAGGGAAGGCATGTGCTTTATGATGGATCGCGGAGGTGACCGCCTTTGTTATGTCCAGTTCCCCCAGAGGTTTGAAGGGATTGATCCCTCTGATAGATATGCGAATCATAATACTGTCTTCTTTGATGTCAACATGCGAGCCCTTGATGGACTTCAGGGGCCGGTGTATGTGGGAACAGGGTGCCTTTTCAGACGGATTGCACTGTATGGTTTTGACCCACCCCGTTCTAAGGAGCACCACGCAGGTTGTTGTAATTGTTGCTTTGGTCGTCAGAAGAAGCATGCATCAATGGCAAGCACCCCAGAAGAGAACCATGCGCTGAGAATGGGTGATTCTGATGACGAGGAAATGAATCTATCATTGTTCCCTAAGAAGTTTGGAAACTCAACTTTCCTCATTGACTCAATTCCGGTGGCTGAGTTCCAAGGCCGGCCGCTGGCTGATCACCCTGCCGTGAAGAATGGACGCCCACCTGGTGCTCTCACGATACCCCGCGATCTTCTTGATGCATCGACAGTGGCGGAGGCCATCAGTGTTATCTCCTGTTGGTACGAGGACAAGACTGAGTGGGGAAACCGTGTTGGATGGATCTATGGATCTGTGACAGAGGATGTGGTGACTGGGTATAGGATGCACAATAGGGGATGGAAATCAGTTTACTGCGTGACGAAGCGCGACGCCTTCCGAGGAACTGCTCCCATCAATCTCACTGACAGGTTGCATCAGGTCCTTAGATGGGCTACTGGCTCAGTCGAAATCTTCTTCTCTCGAAACAACGCCCTCCTGGCTAGCCCAAGAATGAAATTTCTTCAAAGAATTGCATACCTCAATGTTGGAATCTACCCCTTCACATCCATATTCCTAATTGTCTACTGTTTCCTTCCTGCACTGTCTCTTTTCTCTGGCCAGTTCATTGTTCAAACCCTCAACGTCACTTTTCTTTCGTACCTCCTGGGCATCACTGTGACTTTGTGCATGCTTGCAGTGCTTGAAATTAAGTGGTCTGGCATTGAGCTGGAAGAATGGTGGAGAAATGAGCAGTTCTGGCTGATTGGAGGCACCAGTGCCCATCTTGCTGCTGTGCTTCAAGGTTTGCTCAAAGTCATAGCAGGGATTGAAATCTCATTCACCTTGACTTCAAAATCAGGTGGTGATGATGTAGATGATGAATTTGCTGATCTCTATATTGTGAAATGGACATCCCTTATGATACCACCTATCACAATTATGATGGTTAACTTGATAGCAATAGCAGTTGGTGTTAGCAGAACCATATACAGTGTGATACCACAGTGGAGCCGTCTACTAGGTGGTGTTTTCTTCAGTTTTTGGGTCCTGGCTCATCTCTATCCCTTTGCAAAAGGTTTGATGGGAAGAAGAGGAAGGACACCAACCATAGTTTTTGTATGGTCAGGCCTCATAGCAATCACAATTTCTCTCCTCTGGGTGGCCATCAACCCCCCTGCTGGTTCTAACCAGATTGGAGGCTCATTCCAGTTCCCTTGATAATAGGGTCATTCTTTTTGTCAGATGAATCTGTCACCAATTTCTTTATTTAAAATTACTTTTTTTTTTAATCTCTCTCACTCTATATATTCTACATATTCATGCTGCTAATGAATGTACTTAAATTATGTTGTCTGTTATCATTATGAATTTTGTTTAGAACTTAATTCCAGAAATGTTATAATATTTAGCTCAGTTACTGATTTTTTTCTTCTGTTCTTACAGAAGCCTCATTTTATAATTACTTCTCAGAACAATGCTTTCTCATCACTTATGATATTGACATTGATTATACATTTCTTATTATATATATATATATATATATATATATATATATATATATATATATATATATATATATATATATATATATATATATATATATATATATTCGTGCTGTGTTCTAGTTGCATCTGTCATAACACGAATACGCGTTACAGTGAGGTGACTTTTGATTAGATTGAGAGAAATCATTTTTTCATTTTGTTTAAAATTTTTAACAAGTAATCATCTATTACAATGATAGTACTCTTTTAATCAATGTACAAATATTTTTATGTATTTTTTTCAATAATTTATAACTCAAAATCAAATCAACTGAAAAGAATTTTTTCTATTTTATTTTTCACTTGTGTCTCTTCAATCAATTTCAAAGAGATGTAAGAAATCCCATCCAAACGAACGCTCCTTAATCCAGACAAGAAAATATCCATCAAGCCACAAGAAAATCCAGAAGAAGAAAAAAACCCTCATTTTGATGCCATCAAAGAAAAAAGAAAAAAAAAAAAAAACAAACTGATACGCAATTAGCAAAATGGGCCACGAGGAAGAAGGCAGACCATAACACCTAACCCAATTAATCTCTTACCAACCTAGACCTACTTCTTGCATTCTTATAATTTGTTGGTTCATATTTACAGAAAAATATAATATTATTCTTGTGTATTTTTTTATGAAATTAATAATTTAAAAAAAAAATTCACGAGTGAATTTATAAAAATTTCAAATTATTAATTTTATTTATTAATATTCTTAAACGTTGATGAGTTTCGTATCCTTTAAAAATCGAGACTTATATAGATTTTTTTCCTAATCCACCAAACCGTTTTTAAAAGAAAACCAAATTAATGACAATTTAAAAAATAACGATACTCGGACATTCAAACTGTCACTAACACAAGACAATGAACTGAAAATTGTGGGCAAAATAACATAAATTGAACCATCTCTACATTTATGAACAACCAAACTGTGAAATGTTGATGATTAATTGGTACCGTTAATACTTTATGGGGTCAAATTTCAATTGTGATGCACCCATTCTTAGAAGATAGTCCTAACAAGACAATTAATTGCATATACATTTATATACATTGTTTGGAATGGATAGAAAATGACATTGACATTGGGATAGTGTGGGAGTGAAAACCTAGTTTCTTACACGAAAGAGGGAACATTTATATATTGGACCACGACAAAGTTTCATTCAGCACGAAACACAAATCTCTACATTTTATAATTTTTGTTTATTTATTTTACCCTTCATATTGATTTGTTTAAACTCTTTTTCCTTTTTAGCTTATTTTATATATATTTACATGCGTTGGATGTTTTTTAGTTATACTTTATCACATCAAAATTGCATTGCTAACTCATTTCAATAGTTCGTAATATTTGTTTCTATGCGATGCTTGTAATATATCAATCTTTTTATTTGAAGATTTATTGTTCTATTAATTATATTTGTTAAAATTTTAATAATTGTTAAATTAAATATAATTTTGAAAATTATAAAATTAAACTTTAAAAATGATCAAGAATTAATTTTCTTTTAATATAATTAAACATTGGTATGAGCTATAAAAACGTAGAAACGGATTGTGAAACTTTAAACGTCTGAAAATGATATCCGTTTGTTTAATTTGGTTTTATTTTAAAAAAATAAAAATAGTTCTACAAATTAATTTTAACTTTTTTAAAATAAGTTGAAATATAAACTCGTTTATTATACGAAATTGATCGCTATAAAAAATTATTATGAAATTAAAAAGTAATTTTACAAAAATATAATGCTATCGATGAAAATACAGATATTATTAAAAAAAAAATTTGTAAATATAAACACTTTTATTATTTTTTAGTTTTAAATTTTTCAAAATTTATTTTGACAAAACAGGTATTAAACATGTTTTTTTTTAACTAAAAATTATTTTTAAAAACAATAAACAAATAAATTTTTATTTTATACACTAAAATAGTTTAGTTTTATTTTTTTATACAAAAAATTATATTTAACTTGATTAAATTGAATTATTATTACTCTATTAGTTTATTTTTGGTTAATAGAGTGTACTTGTATTATAAAATTAAGATCAAATAATATTTGTATTATTATTTTTTAATTTTATCTCTATTAATATTAATTTAATTTTATTTCAATTTTTTGGAATTAAGTGAATATTATTCTTTCTCATAATGATTAATTATTTATATACGATAGTCTCATGATCAAATTTCATTATTAATGTATTGTTTATTTCAGAATTTTTATTTATTTTCATAAAACATTATAAATTAAGAAATAATGATATATACATAAAATATTTTTAGACTCATTAATGTAAAAAAAAAAAATAACATAAATATATAACTATAAATCAAATCACTGTGAACTTAACTTTATAACAGTAAGTTTCATATGTATTAAAAAGCTTTAATATTTACAAAGTAAACATATCAATTTATTTTAATCAACATTAAAATATAATAATAAAATAAAAATATAAAAAATAAACAAAATCATTTTATTATAAAATTAAACAAAATCACAAAAAATATACTATAAAATTCATTTTTATACATGCCTTACCAATTAAATATTTATTCTTGGTGTACCGTCCAATCAATAATAACTACTTTAGATCATTTGAGAACATTGATAAACTTTGCGAAATTACATAACTTTTTACTTATAAATATTTCCGAAAACACTTTTAATTTGTATCTAAACTTTTTTACATAAAATATATTTTTTGAAATTAGTAAGAAAAATATTGAAGGAATCCAACCTCCACGCCAATTTCAATCTAACCCAACATTCTCTCCAGAATGTCAAGTATAATTCTACCTATTTATTTATTTACAAGTAAAGTTAAAGCTAAATATTTTCATCATGAAATTAAAGAATAATTATATCTTAAAACATTAAATTTATTAATCTCTTATGCATATCTTTTTTTTATTTTTTTATTTAATATAATATGTTATGAAACTTTTCAATTTCCATCTAATATTCAACTCACTTATAAATTTTATAATATATTATTTTTTATTTTATATAAATAAGAGGAATATACATATTTATATTTTAAAAAAATTTATTCAAAATTTTACTGAACTTAATATTCTTAATTCTACAATTTTTTAAAATCCTTATTTAATATCTTAAATTAGGGTAAGAGACATAACCACGTGTTCGAATATTTTATGTATTTATTCATCTTCCTATATATATAAACACCATCCAAATCACGTGTTAGTTAACCTGGTCGTCGAAAATTAAAACGTAGTTAATGAATGGTAATGTCTTCTAAATACATCAGTTATATTTTTATTTTTAATCATATATAAAAATGAGGTAAACTATTTAATTCTTAAAATTGTAAAAGCTATCAAATGGTTCTTAAAAGTAATAAAATGGCTATATAATCTTTGAATTATAATAGTACGACAAATAATTATAAACGTTTACTTTTATATTAAATCTGTCTAATTGAATAGTCGGTTATAAATATACACTTTAGGTAAACAATATTCCGTTAAACGTTACAATTTAAATATTAAATTGGTGGTTTTATTTAGAATAATAGTCAATTATTAATTGAGGAATAATAGTAATCTCAAAGAGATTAGGTTAAACAAAATCTCTCATTACGAAAGTCAAACGAACATTGTTTTATTATTTGACCAGCTACCTCCTACATGTATGTTTGGAAACAACTACATCCCAAAAAAGAAATAATATATCTTTTAGGGATTCAAAACACGTTTTAAGAAATAAATAATTACAGTTATATTTCTCATTTTGAAAATATACTATGGATAAGATATGATTACACAAATCAATATAAATATTAATTTTTATTATTTTCATTAAATTTATTAATCCTTTTTTATTAATATATTATTATCTTGCTATTTTTTTCAACCATAATACTTTTAAGTATCTTATTATTTATTCTCTATAATAAATATAATTAAAATTTTAGAATATAGTTGATAAAAGAATAATAAATGTAATCTTAAATTTTATAAATATTATATATTTAAAAACAAAACTTTATACTTAAAACATAGTATATTCAAATAAAAGAAATAATTTTTATTGTTTTTTATTTTGACATTTTCATGCTATCAAATAAGAGTGAAAAGTGTTATTACCTGATAGTAAGATATTTTTAAAAGATATTATAATCACAAAAATTTTATTCTTTTTCTATATACTTAAAAAAAAATATTTTTGTTTTAAACATTAATTTTATTCTCTCACTTGAAAAATTAAATTAAAAGAAATTGAAATAATATATTAATATAAGAGATAATTTATAAGTATTTCCCTTGTAAACTTTTCTTTAACTCATGTAATCACAATATAAAGCATTATATATTTGTCATAATCTTATTCGATCATTTCTATTGTCAACTGTTTTTCTTTTAATATAATAAATATTGTAATTCTTACAACAATTTTGCATTTAATGTCTTCAATAACTTTCGTCATGTTTTTATTTATTTTTAAACTGTCAATTATTTGCGTTATCACTCACTTTGATTTGAAAATTTTATCCCATAACACTCTAGTACAATCATGGTTACTCTTAAAAAACTGACATTCTTTTTTTCAAGATAGATAACATTTATTGCAAATTCACACTATGACTACAAACAACATTTTCTTTTCCCAATCTCTTAAATTTTACTTATTTACTATTCAAAATAAA